CAAAGACAAATGTTTCCAGTAGGCGTGCTTCAAGTCTTCCGCGACATTTTGTTTCTGGGATAAAGCCTTTTTGTACATATTTTTAAAATATTGACCGCAGATAACTCACAATCTTTTAATCTGACCTAGTTACCCTGTATTAAAATGTCACAAAATATTCCCCATCTCCCCACTACTTACATAGAACCCGTGTCAGACAAATTAATCTTTTTTCACCCCTTCAACCCTCTAATACGACCTCGTTCGCTTACACACTAAAATTTGTACCCTAACCGTAATATATTGCAATCAGCCTATCTCAGCCTTTACAGCGAAAGCTGAATGCACGGTGTTGCCATAAATCAACCGAGTTTGTGTACATTCCACGTCAAAAATGTTTGAAAATAAAGATGGGGAGAGTAGCTAGTAGTAGAGTAGGAGGGCAGTTTTATGTATCCGAAAATGCTGGTAACATTTTTTTAAACAGTGTGTTGCAAATTTTGGCAGATGAAGGATTAAAAGGGCTTGGTTTGAAAATTTAAAAGCATTAATCCCGTCTTAGTGAGTACCTGCGTTCTAAAAGGAACCCCCATGCAAAATTTGAGACTCCTAGCACTTGTAGTTTCTGAGATTTCATGATGAGTGAGTCAGTCAGTGACCTTCGTTTTAAATAATTTATTATCGTAAGAAATATTAAACTCGTGTATTTTTTTTAGTCGCTCGTGTGCGTTCTGTTTCAACATACAAACAATGCCAGCTGCACAAATATAAATATTTCTTCATTATACTTGTATGAATTCAAGTACTCGTATAAGTAGGAAAACTGAAAATTTACCTTAGTTATTTCTACGTTGCTCAGCGTTGCTCGCGAAACTGCTCCAGGCGTTTCACTTTGTTCCTCTTTACAATAATCTCTTTTGTGAAATATTAAAATTCTTTATCATTAAGAGGACAATTAAAATATTTAGATTACAGCTAATGGGAATTCTTTTACATTAATGAAGAAAGTAGGTAACTTTTTTATTACCTTGGCCTATTTTGGCGATCTTATTTCAGTGTAATTGTACTCGTATTAGCCATGAATTTATACATCTAATTCTAAACTAATATTATAAATCTGAAGAGTTTGTTTATTTACTTGAACGCACTAATCTCAAAAACNTCAAAAAGTACAGGTCCGATTGAATAAAATATTTTTGTATTGAATAGCCCACTTATCAAGGAAGGCTTTAGGCTATATCACATCACCCCACAGCCAATAGGGGCGGAGCAGTAAAGAAAAATGTTCAAAAACGGGAAATTTTATTCAAGCTATTTTCACGCTTCGAAGTCGCGGGAACAGCTAGTTCATAATAACACATTGACCTTGCGTGATACAAAGTATTTTAGCATTTTTCTTTACACCAAGATGGCAACATTAAGTCTTAATACATCTGATAAGCCCATTTCATTACAATAATCCTTGCAGTGTTGCCATAATTTAATAGTTTGTTCTATAATTAGTTTGTATGTAGGAAGTACACGCTATTTTGTGTTTACGTGTTTCAGACGATTAATTATGTTATTAAGGTTGCATATGTATGAGGGAGAAAATATTAGGTTTTTACGNTTTTTACGAAAGGTCAGAGTGAAATGGTTAATTTTTGGAGCAGTAAGGAAATGTTTTATACATTCGCAAAAAGAACAACCTACTTTTATGGCGTCATTAAATATAATGGAGCGTAGATTGTAGATACACTGTGAATAATATACAGTAAGCTGAAATCTAAGTTAAGATTATAACCATTTAAAAACCATGCAATAATACTCACAAATTTTCACCATAATGGAGAGATACATCGGAGGCACCATTCATTTAGGTACTTACCTGAAATACAAATAAAAAGCGATTAGAATAGGTATATCATAATAATAATGTTCTCTTACAGAGTACAATATCGATGCGCATCGCATTTAATTTTGCCACTTAACTTTGTGAATAAATGAACTTATTTAAAGTCTATCTCTACATTAGTCCTTAAAAACATACAGGGTGTCTAGAAAATAGTTTTTCTAGCTGTCCTATCCGCTCGACCTATTCTACTAATGTTACAAAAGTGGAAGTTTATAAGAATGGATGGATGTTGTTACACTTTCACGCAAATAATACAGAACGGAATTTCATGATATTAAGTCCAGGAAAATGAAAAGATAGTTTTTATACCACTTTTTAAAATGGGAACAGATGCGCGAATAAGTTTTTCTGTGACAAGACCGAAATTTTATTCACGCGGGCGATGCCGCGGGCAAAAGTAGCCAATCTTTTCCCAAATAGCCCACCAAAAACGGCCGACGTGCACAAATGTGGGCCATCATTCATGACAACAGATTACAAAGTCCAAACATGGCCGAATGAGTGATAGAACAATTACACTTGACACTTCAAACATTTGTTTAAACAAAATGTTTAAGACATAGAGATCCTACCAAAACATTTTTATGTAAAATGTTGACAAGATATACCGTATGGCCTGTGAAAAAGTTATGAAATCTCATGTAGAGCCAAGCTTGTAACTGTACACGCCCTGACTCTACAACTTAGTGGAATTTTTGAGAAAAAAACAACATAGAGACCGTAATGCAGTCTAACGGCGCGGTAGCGGCGTCGTGTGCAGGAGCGCTTAGAGATACTTATTGCACAATTAATTAAATTAAACAAAACGATAAGGTCATAATTATGCTGATAATCTTTATTTATAATTATATTATTATTCAAATGAAATACTTTTATCTTAATCGTTAATAAGTATCTTTCAAACTGTAGGCTCACCTGAAACGGCTTAAATACTTATTATTTAATACCTTTATTTCCTTTCAATGTCTTTGTTCAACTCACTCAACTTGTTGAAGTTGAGTTTTTTGGTGTATTGAATACACAATGCAGGTCTCCCACTCCCATATTTTTTAGGGATAGTAGACATTAGTAGAGCTACCTCCCCTAGCAGTTTGTTCACCCATTCTGGGACACCCTGCATAAAGTGAAGACTCGCTGACTTCCTTAAAAAGACACCCTGTATAATGTAATGCTCCTTATCAAATCAACATCTTAATTTCATCAGAGTTTATTGAGCAATCTTACAAACAAAACAATGGACAATACAACACCTATTTTCTTTTATCCTTAACATTGATCCGTCATTTCGTATCTTCGNCTATACGTAGTAATATTACTTCAATGTTCGTACATACGTTCTTTCAGAGTACAATATCGATGCGCATCGAATTTAATTTTGCCACTTTACTTTGTGAATAAATGAGCTTATTTAAAGTCTATCTCTACATTAGTCCTTAAAAACATACAGGGTGTCTAGAAAATAGTTTTTCTAGCTGTCCTGTCCGCTCTAACTATTCTACTAATGTTACAAAAGTGGAAGTTTATAAGGATGGATGGATGTCACACTTTCACGCAAAAAATACAGAACGGATTTTGATGAAATTAAGTCCAGGAAAATGAAAAGATAGTTTTTATACCACTTTTTAAAATGGGGACAGATTTTCTGTGAAAAGACCGAAATTTTGTTCACGCGGGCGATGCCGCGGGCAAAAGTAGCCAATCTTTTCCCAAATAGCCCGCCAAAAACGGCCGTCGTGCACAAATGTGGGCCATCGTTCATGACAACAGATTACAAAGTCCAAACATGGCCGAATGAGTGATAGAACAATTACACTTGACACTTCAAACATTTGTTTAAACAAAATGTTTGAGACATAGAGATCCTACCAAAACATTTTTATGTAAAATGTTGACAAGATATACCGTATGGCCTGTGAAAAAGTTATGAAATCTCATGTAGAGCCAAGCTTGTAAGTCTTGTAACTGTACACGCCCTGACTCTACACCTTAGTGGAATTTTTGAGAAAATAATTGACTTTAAAAAAAAACCGACTTCAAATGCGTGTTGGTTCATAATCGGCGGAGATATTGCGTATAAAAAAGTTCATCCCCAATTTTCCACCCCTGGGGGTGAAATATTTTCTTCAATTTCGCATGAAACCACCCTTTTGATAATACTTATTCAACAAAAAAATAATCGTTCAAATTGATTTATAATCGGCGGAGATATTGCGTATAAAAAAGTTCATCCCCAATTTTCTACCCTTGGGGGTTGTTTTTTCTATTATTAAATTTAAATGGGACCACCCTTGAGGTATTACCTATATGCCGAAAAAATATTTGTTCAAATCGGTTCATAGTTTGCGGAGTTATCGCGTAACAAACATAGAAAAAAAAACATACGGGTCGAATTGTAACCTCCTCCTTTTTTGAAGTCGGTTGAAAACAACAACATAGAGACCGTAATGCAGTCTAAAATTATGCTGATAATCTTTATTTATAATTACACTAGCTGACCCGGCGAACTTCGTACCGCCTTAGCGTAGAGATTTTCTTAATATTTTTTTCCGTAAGAACCATCCTTGGACTTCCACAAACATTTAAAAAAAAGAATTATCGAAATCGGTTCAGCCGTTCACACGTGATGCCGTGACAACGCGAAACGGGTTTCATTTTTATATATATAGATATATTCAAATGAAACACTTTTATCTTAAACGTTAATAACTATCTTTCAAACTGTAGGCTCACCTGAAACGGCTTAAATACTTATTATATAATACCTTTACTTCCTTTCAATGTCTTTGTTCAACTCACTCAAAACTCAATACAGTGTATTGAGTTTTGAGTGAGTTTCAGTTTGTTCACCCATTCTGGGACACCCTGTATAAAGTGAAGTCAGCGACTTCCTTAAAAAGACACCCTGTATAATGTAATGCTCCTTATCAAATCAACATCTTAATTTCATCATAGTTTATTGAGCAATCTTACAAACAAAACAATGGACAATACAACACCTATTTTCTTTTATCCTTAACATTGATCCGTCATTTCGTATCTTCCAATAGAAAATTTATTATTGTCTAGGAAACGTAAGGTTTTCCTGTAAGTTCTAGTATAAAACTAGCTGTTACAGGAAATGTTTAATATTCTTTTAATAACACTTCAAAGTACAACATGAAATACTACTTGGGTGAGTAAAATAGTAAATAATATTGTTTACTTTTACATCTCTTCATTTAAAAAACCACTATAACCATAAACTTTTCATAATATCTACGAGTATTCGGACAAAAAAGTTTTAGAATAAAAAAAATATAGCCTTGAAGAAGCCCGGATTATAGTGTTTGGTAAAGAGCACAGGCAACGAATTCCAGCCCCTAGCTGTTCGCATTATGAAAGAGTTAGCGAGAAGATAATTTAAAATCCAGCTCCAAGTTTACACCGTAAAGAAGGCAATACTCGTGTAAACACAATTTAAAAATATTTGCACCTAATAAATTATATTCAGACACCGCCCCATTACACCGTTCCATCATCTTTCAACATAATAACATCCAAATAATTTGTCACTTTCCTGACACGTTCCTGTGCTAACATTTTCATAATACGGTTTTTGGCCTTGGTTTGATTCCCGCACAATATCCCAAACATTTTATATCTGCAATTATATACCCAGTAAAACCTTCAGCCTGAAAAAATCGAACTGCCTAAGGCGGGAATTGTACCCACGACCTTCCGCTTGCCGGGCGACTGCTCTTCCAACTGAGCTACTTAGACACTGGACGAACTCGTCGAAATTTTTCAAGTGTAATACGCTGTTACGGCCATCGTTTGTTTCATCAATGTTGGGTATACCTACATTCCTAAAATAACTAAATCCCTTCTTAAAATCATTGGAGGCGACATATTTTTCAGCAGTGAATGTACCTAAGTATGTTTGAAATACTGATTATTATTTATTTGCAAAGAAAATCCCATTTTTGTTTTTTTTTCATATCCCTGACGGATACCCACCATGGGTATCCGTATCCACAAGCTATTTTGGGATTACACACTCATAGCGTTGTGAAGAATTACCAGTGGTAGTGTTTTAATTAACGGTCGTTTGGACATTGGAAAGTTTAATATACCTACTTTAATTGGACATTGGCCTTTTAAGTGTCAAATGACAAAGTTTACCCTAATATTTATTTATTTATTTATACTTTTGCACAAAAATTGTACAGTGGCGGACTTAATGCCAGGTGGCATTCTCTGCCAGTCAACCACAGGTCGAGTTGTGAGACTAAGACTATTTAAGATTTTGTTCCAGTTCTTTCCATCTTCCTGGCTCTATCAGCCACGGCTGTCCAAGCGGTCGAAGAAGAAGAATCTCACGGAGAACCGGTCGACGATGCTGTGGTCGTCGAGCCAGAAATAGAAGACGCAGTCATCCGGGTCACCATCGTCGACCCGGTTGCTGACGAGGCCCTCGTGGAGGATACTGTGGACTGCTTGTACCAGAAACCGGACTGCGTCTGTCCGGAGGTCGAGGAGCCGGTCTGCGCGGCGAATAACTGCACTTACGGGAATGATTGCAAGTGAGTTGTTTCGTCATTCTTGGTTATCATTACCAGTGGGCCGAGTGTGAGTTTACAAATGAGCGCATTTAAAAATGTATGAAAATTGTAGTCTTTGAACGTTTCCCGTTAGGGGCTCTGTACAATCAGTCATACATTAAATGTCATTTTTTGACGCGCTCAGTGAGCGCGTTTATTAAAAACTCACACTTAGCCCTCTGGTCATTTATTGTCCACTCCAGGAGCACGACCCATATTAATTAGGATTTGTAGTTTAAAAAGCAACATTAGTCGAACGGTGAAGGTTGGACTGGCCGACTGAGCCGAGGAACGCGGGTTCGATCCCCGTTTCCACTAGACTATTGTGGTGAACCCACTCGTAACACAAGCGTATTTACCACGACGGGTTAACAAATTATCTTCTTAATATATTTTTTTAAATAAAATTAAAATAATTCCGGCCAACCAGGAAATCATAAGGGGAGGCCTATATTAAGCAGTGGACGTCCTGTGCATTTTTTTATGTGACAGGAGGCAAACGAGCAAATGGATAACCTGATGGTAAGTGATTACCGTCGCCTATAGACACCCTTATAATGATAATTTTCATGATGGTGATGACAAAAATCATTTTGACCTATAATTCCTACGCTTGTCAGACGCGTTTAGGAGTTCAGATGTTCGCATGTTTTGTCCCTTATTTACTCTTATTAATTATTGTATAAATTAATCATTACTGTTTGTTTTAGACGTCTCTGCGCCGACGCAGAATTCGCATACGACGGTGCTTGCCAGGAGGTCATTGACCATGAGGAGGTTGAAGAATGAAGTTGACCAGTACCTACACAATCTAGCCTTTTTTAACTATCTTACTTAGTGCATATGCTCCTAAATATTTTCTTTTGTTCTTTGAATGAAGTTTAATGAAGATTATCTTCAAATAACGCCCGTATTCACAAACATTACTATGAGGTCTCACAGGGCGCGTGAATGCACAGGGTGACACACGAACCAATCACAAAGCTCTAATCAATGCTGTGCGTTCGATTTGATGCTTCCCTTAAGCAATTACGGTTTGTGAATACGAGCGCGTTAGCCTCTTCTTAGACTAGGCGCAGACCATTGATTTTTCGTCGGCCGATAGTTTAGTCGGGCAGTTGATCAGTATGGGCATGTATGGAAGTGCGCACATTACACCGATTTCATTTGGCCGATTCTTCATACAATTTAAAATCGGGCACAACTATCGGCCAACTAAAAATTGATGGTTTGCACCTACTCTGAGAGATTTCCATAAAGTATGATATTGTGCCTTTTTTCTCCATGACGTGATGCCTGATGTACTTTTTACATCCTTGTCCTCCCTACGACCCTGTCTCTCTTTCTTTTGTTTTCTTGGACACTCGGTTACGTTCTTGACTCATTTGTCTTTTGTTACTCAGTATGTTGTCTGTCCTCTTCTACTTTAGTATTTTAATGCTATACGTCACTAATTATTATAGTTATTTATTTATTGTAAAGACTAAATGATATTAAATCAATCATATACACGATACAGTTTTTCTTTTTATCTCTAATTTTTCCTCCCCGCAAAGATAGTCACCGGAACCAGCAATCAACACGAATTTAAATCGTCAAACGTAAAATCCAGTTGGATTACATTATTATCATTCACTCAGTATGATTGACATTATTAATATAATTATACTTAATTCTTAAATGAGTGATTTACACTTTGACCCTTTTGTAAACTGTCCTTCATTGTTTTGTTTATAACATTTGTCTTCAATATTGTAATTTAAATTCCTTTCTTTGAGGTAAACCTTGTGAGAATTTACCAACGTGTGCAGATCACGGCGGCGATGGCGATGGCGATCACTGTGCGTGCGTAGATCGCTGCGACCAATGACAGGAAGCGTAGATGTGAACTCATCGCTACAAATTCATACACGGTATCTGATCGCCAAAACATCGCGCACGCAGGCTGCACGCGTTAGTTTGGCCGAACCTTAAGAGTAGTAGAATGATTTGCTATAACTTAGTGCAACTTGCACGAGTCTGGAAAATTATGAAACCCAAATAGTCAAATCTACCTTAGATTTGACACTAACTTTTACCAGCAGCTTCGTCTACAACGATCCGACGGTCAAAAAAAAGTCTTTGCATCTATGATATTGAAACTATTGAGAGTAAATACTCATACAACAGGTAGTAAACACCCGTATTCACAAACGATGCTTGCTTAAGTGATGCTTCACAAATGCAAATCGAACGCACAGCGTTGAATAGAGCTCTGTGATTGGTTCGTTCCTGTGCGTCCACGTGCACTGTGAGACCTCATAGTAATGTTTGTGAATACGGGCGATAGTTTTGTATGAGTATTTACTAACCCGATTGCGCCAGAAGGAGGGTCATTTTATAAGTACCTACTTCANGTATGATATTGTGCCTTTTTTCTCCATGACGTGATGCCTGATGTACTTTTTACATTCTTGTCCTCCCTACGACCCTGTCTCTCTTTCTTTTGTTTTCTCTCTCCACTCGGTTACGTTCTTCACTCATTTGTCTATTGTTCCTTATCATGTTTCCTGTTCTCTTCTACTTTAGTATGTTAATGCTATACGTCACTGATTATTATAGTTATTTATTTATTGTAAAGAATAAGTATGATATTAAATCAATCATAGAACGATATAGTTTGTTTTCTTATCTCTAATTTTCCACCCCGCAAAGATAGTCACCGGAACCAGCAATCAATACGTATTTAAATCGTCAAACGTAAAATCCAGTTGGATTAGATTATTATCATTCACTCAGTATTATTGACATTATTAATATAATTATACTTAATTCTTAAATGAGTGATTTACACTTTGACCCTTTTGTAAACTGTCCTTCATTGTTTTGTTTACAACATTTGTCTTCAATAAATGAATTACCAATCATTAAATTTTGTAATTTAAATTCCGTTCTTTGAGGTAAACCTTGTGAGAATTTACCAACGTGTGCAGATCACGGCGGCGATGGCGATGGCGATCACTGTGCGTGCGTAGATCGCTGCGACCCATGACAGGAAGCGTTGATGTGAACTCATCGCTACAAATTCATACACGGTATCTGATCGCCAAAACATCGCGCACGCAGGCTGCACGCGTTGGTTTGGCCGAACCTTAAGAATAGTAGATCATTGCTGTAACTTAAAAAATAGTCTGGAAAATTATGAAACCCAAATAGTTTTAAAGTTAGATTTGACACTAACTTTTACCAGCAGCTTCGACTGCAACGATCCGACGGTCAAAAAAAGTTTTTCATGCATCTATTATATTGAAACTTTTGAGAGTAAATACTCATACAATAATAAACACTCGTATTCACAAACGATGCTTGCTTAAGTGATGCTTCACAAATGCAAATCGAACGCACAGCGTTGAATACAGCTCTGTGATTGGTTCGTTCCTGTGCGTCCACGTGCACTGTGAGACCTCATAGTAATGTTTGTGAATACGGGCGATAGTTTTGTATGAGTATTTACGTACCCGATTGCGCCAGAAGGAGGGTTATTTTATAAGTACCTACTTCTNCTACTTCAGAAATATTTGCTTGAAATATCAATTAGCCGGTAAGATTTTTCACAGCATATCTAATTATTGATTGACAATTAGAAACGCGGCATAATAAAGTTGTAATTAAAATTCCAATTATGTTGTTTCATTTCACGAATTTTCACTTTACAAAGTTAGGTAAATTAAGTCTGTGAGTATATAACGCATAACGGAAATTATAAGGTAGATTGTTGTAGAGAGAGCAAAATGAAGGTCATATTAGGTGAGTATTGTCATCATTATACGAGTACTTATGTAAATATTACGGGACTATACCCACCTCTCGTTCCCACCGCTGCACCTCCTGTGTAGCGGATCTACAGCTTGACCGCCNTCATGCATCTGTAATACCTGCTGAAACTAAAATACTTAAATAACACCATAGTAAGCTACTTTAGAATAAGTATCACCTTGAAATATCAATTTGCCGGTAACATTTTTCACAGTATATCTGATGATTGACAATTTGAAACGCGTCGGAATAAAGTAGCACTTAAATTGAATTGTGTTATTTTATTTCATGAATTATATAATCAAATTAAGTCCATGAGTATATATCGCAGAGCGGAGATTAAAAGGTGGTAGATTGTTGTGGAGAGAGCAAAATGAAGGTCATATTAGGTGAGTTAATGTCATCTCTAGGTACGAGTAGGTACTACATACCTACATAAAATATAGGAATATTGTCGCCGTTCGATCTCACCGCTACAACTCCTGTATGCAAGAACCAGTATTCAGCTTGACCGCCAGCATCCAACAACTTCTGAAAACCCACTTCATCATCATCATCATTACAGCCATAGGACGTCCACTGCTGAACATAGGCCTACCCCAGTGATTTCCACAAAGGCCTGCATTCAGCACCTGGTAGCAGAAAATTTTTGTGAGTTCGTCGGTCTACCTTGGACGTCCTACGCTTTCCGATACTTGACCTCCACTCCAGAACCTTGCTACCCCATCGGCCGTCAGCTCTACATACTATGTGCCCTTTCCATTGCCACTTCAGCTTGCTAGTCCGTCGGGCTGTCAGGGACTTTAGTTCGTTTACGGATCTCCTCATTTCTGAAAACCAACTTACTGTCTTAGAAAGGTGAATATTCACCGTTTTCCAATTGGTGTAAAGCTGAAACCTATTTTTATATTGCAGCATTATCAATCTTGATGATAGCTGCAGCCATGGGCAACAGCAATGACCGCGAGTATTGCTACCGCAACGCAGTACACGTCTGCCCTTGCCACAAAATTTTGGATCCAGTTTGTGGAGTAAACGGCTGCACCTATCCGAATCCTTGCGAGTAAGTCACACACTTTACGGAAAAATATCCTAGAATATCGATGGGGCAACAAAGTTCTGCCGCAAAGGACGTAGGCCGCTAATAATCGATCAACGTGGAAAGCATTGGGGGCCTATGTTCAGCAGTGGACGTCCTATGGCTGAAATGATGATGATGATGATGAACAAAGTTCTGAAGTAGAGGCCGCGTACCAGAAAACGCAGCGTGGGACGTCCACCCACAAGGTAGACCGACAACATCATAAGAAGGCGCTGGACGCATGCAGGTCAATGTGGAAATAATTGGGGGAGGCTTATGTTCAGTGTTCCATGGCTGAAAACATGATGATGAATGATGATTCTAGAAGGACAAAGATGATAAATAGCCCAGTTTGCAGATTAAATAGCTCAAAGCCCTTTCCTTGTCAACCCCTCCAAGTAAGATCCCCTTCAAATATGCTTGAGTAAAAGTGGGTTGACCACAATAGTAGTCCGATACCAGAATCTTGGGCTATTTATCCGACTGCGCTAAAAGGAAGGTTATGTTTTTTATTGTTTAATAGTTACATTTTTGTTTATGTTGCAGGTTGAAATGTGCTAGAGTTAAAATGTGGCATGAAGGAGAATGTTTGACAAAAGATGCGAGTTTTCTGTAATAAAAAACATTAGGTACCTATGTATAAAATAAATGTTAAAACAAAAGTTAAACTGATTTTTTATTATTGTTCCCATCTGCTACTATTCCCTATACATACTTTAGAGACCTTAGAGAGAGGGAAAGAGATACACAGTCCTTGATACGTTCAGCTTAAATTATTTTGATAATTAATGATAACTTGAAGCCACGATAGCCGAAAGGTGAAGGGGTCGGACTGGCCGACTCGTGATCCGGGGAACGCGGGTTCGGTCCCCGCCGCCGCTCGACTATAATTGTGGTGAGCTCACTCGTGATACAGGCATATTTAGCTTAGTACGAGGGGCTAACGGGAGTTAACGGGAGTAAGAGTAATTTGTGTAATAACAAATTACTAATAATCATTAAAAAAAAATCTTTCAGACAATTTACCGTACTAAAATATAGACGTGGCATCAACCCAGAAAGGGATCGTAACCGTATCAACTCGAGGCGATAAGTATTATTTGTATGAAACCACTTCTGCAACGCACTTATTTCGCACCGTAACGTAAACGCCTCGCCTCGCAGTTGACAGCGCGCGAAAGACGATGACAGTTCGCTAAAGGCGATACGGTTTTGATCCCTTTCCGAGTTGATAAGTATGCTATGACCTTAAAATTTAGACTTGACTTTGAATTTATTTTAATACATAAAACCTCTTCGGTTGATTACCAACACCTGTGCCTATTTACTTTGTTGTACATTGTTCGTTGCTTTAATTACTTTTGCGGTACAAACAATGCTCGGCACTGTTTGTTTGTCTGTCGCAGAATATACTGGTTTTGTTTTTGTGCTGTTAATATGAGTTATTTTATTCGTGAGTATTTAAATTTTTATTACGCTTAGGCACGCCTGTTAAACTGTACTGTGATTATTAGATTCGTTCTTTAAACCTTATGTAAAATCTTGATTTATATTAGGTCCTTTACTTATGAAAATAGTGTTTTTTTTCTTCAATATTCATTAGTAGATGATTCCTTTCTTAATATAGATCAGTTTCTTCATTCTTTTTTTATTTGAAATTAGATTTCAATGATTTACTTTCACGCATAAAATGTTTAACTATTTTTTTTTTTCAATTAGGTACAGTTAAATCTTCAAAAACAGCTCGTCCATAGTGGCGTCCGTTTCCGTTACAAAAACAAAAATATTTTTGTTTTCTAGTTTTCCTCGCACTAATGCTGCTGCTCTGCCAGTCAAGTGCGAAAGTGTGCGACTGCCCGGATTACTTCAGATGCGCGTGCGCAACCAACGGGCTCACTTATCGGAACACTTGTGTGTACGTAACCAAATCATTATAATATTTTCAAAATATTAAGAAAAAGTTTTTACAGTTGTTTATTCATTGGAATTTTTTTTCTTTCTTAATATAAAATTATTGAAATTTGAAATTATTGACTTTATTGAATATTATTTAATTTTGACTTCGCTGTATTGACTTATAAAAACAGTCTAAGTAATTATATTTTTTACACGCCGAATATCGGTAAGACATGTTGATACTAACAAAACCTACTAACACCAAAAATATATTTCTGTATTGTCACACATGTTCTGATAAATAAAAATATCTTTATCTTTAAAAAAAATAAGTTGACGGTGTTAACCCATCAAATCCTAAGCGCTCGCCATAAAACCGCGTAAAAATTATTTCTATTGTGTCTCAAATTGCGGCTTGAAGGACTACAATGAACTTAGAGTCAACATCATTTGTGAAAGAAATAGGTAATCAAAGATATTTTAATTCGAAAATGTATCCACCTTCGACTATGTCTTTTCGGAACCATAAGGGTAGACTTATCTGCACATAACCCACGAAAAAGTAATTAAACAAACACTTAGTTATATTTTTTTCTACGTAATAACAGTAAAGTAATAATTGGACATTACGAGTATTTTCCCTTACCAAGAAAAAATTGTAAGTACAATGATCACGGAGTACCCAATCATAAGGTACCTATCATTCATTATTTGGTAGTTAATTTTTCCTGTTATTATTAAATAATCTCGATAAATTTTATCGAGTGGTTTTCCGTTAAGTATTTCTAGAATCTAAAACTCAGGAGAATCATGATAGATAGGTTTAGGTACTAGTCAGCAGTTAGTACGGCTAGCATGAAAAATTTTCGAGTTCAAATCGTTTGCGTACTCGAATCGACATCAAAAGATTTAGTAAGAAAACTACAACAGCGCCCTTGTGAACGTGTCGTAAAGTGAACTTAGTATAAGATGTGGTAGCACGAAACTTATTTTGAGAATCAATACTCAATACTCAATACTCAAATCTTTATTGCATTTCACGTTGTCGTCGTATCAAAATTGTCACGTTATCGTTTAATTCAAAGATTGAGTATCGAATTTTATCGAATACGCAAACGATTCGAAGACGAAAGTTGTTCATGCTGGAGGTACAGAACAAGAATATGTGACGAGAAACATTTTAGTTGTTTGTTATAAGTATTTATTCTATATGTAATATATAAAAGCGAAAGGTCACTGACTGACTCACTCATTCATCACGAAATTTCAGAAACTACAAGTGCTAGGAGTCTCAAATTTTGCATAGGGGTTGGTTCCTTTAGGTGCTCACTAAGATGGGATTTTCCAAAATTCAACCCCTAAGGGGGTAAAACGGGGTTCACGCGTACGAAGTCGCGGGCAGCCGCTAGTATTGTATATTTCTAATACTTTTCTAGTTCTGTATAGATTAAAACAAAATAAATCCAGATGTTTCCTCAAGTTGCTGCGGGAATCTGACGTTTATGTGATTTATACTGAAAGTTTGGCAATTTGTGTTTGTTTTCGTTTTGTTTGATGTTTTGTCCATTTTTCTTTGCAGAATGAGCTGTGCAGGCGCTACCTACTACCACGGCGGCACTTGCAGCGATCCAAATAATTACATTGATTGNATCATTATACGAGTACTTATGTAAATATTACGGGACTATACCCACCTCTCGTTCCCACCGCTGCACCTCCTGTGTAGCGGATCTACAGCTTGACCGCCAATAAAAACCCAACCAGTGAAGGTCAAGTTTGTCCCGGGGGAAAGTTTAACTGTCATTGGCCCCGCAACGAAATTAGTCAGAAGAACATAGGAGTTCGAAGTTATGGTATAGGAATATTGTCCCCGCTCGATCCCTCTGTAACTCCTGTTTGCAAGAACCAGGATATAGCTTGACCTTAGGCATCCAACTAAAGCTAAGACTTGGCCGCCATGTTTCATTAAAGATGCTCCCATAATTATGATAGTTCTTATCTAATACACTCAACATCAAATAAACCGCACCTTCCGCGACGCGAACTTTAAAGATTTTCTTCTGACACAATTATGGTACCCCAACAATATTGGTGTTATTTGAAAGCCCAATAAATATCCTTAAAGAAAAATACATTTAATTTCTAAATAAATGATTAACATATACCATAAATGTGACTTGAAAATAGACCTCACTTTGGGCTCGCCTCAGGGATCAATTAGACCAATTTTTATGGTTATAAAACCAAATAAAGATCTCACGTGTCCTCTTTAACAGATGGATAGCGATTAATCCCAAATTAACAGTTTTATAGTCATAAAAAATGGCTATAGCGTAAATACCTATTTTTTGAAGAAGTGACTCTGGATCCTTGTACAGACACATTTTTGGGGTAAAAACCTTTCCGTTAATGAAATGAAGTTTAGAACTAGGCTTTCAAATGGTACCAATGTTGGTGGGAAGTGGGGATGCATACGTTTGATAAGTGCTTGTCGCGGGAGGTGCGATTTATTTGATGCCGAGTGTAGTATAATAATTCGGAAAGTAGGTAACTAGTGTAGTGGCGACCACGAGCTGGAAGACATAGTGTGAGCAGACCTTGCACTAGGTGGACAGGCAATCTGGTGAAGGTCTGGAGAGCGTATCTTCACCTTAAAGGCCGGCAACCTGTAACGCCCCTGGGTCTGCGGGTGTCTATGGGCGACGGTAATCACTTACCATCAGGTGATCCGTCTGCTCGTTTGCCTTCTGTCACATAAAAAAAAGGTCGTGACGAGTACCTGGATGCGGGCAACTCGGGAGATCGTCGTGGAAATCCATGTTGAAGGCATCTGTCCACTCAGCAGTGGAAGTAATATAGCTGAAGAACGATCATTAGGACGCCGGGTCACAGATTTTTAGAAATTCTATTTCGAAGATTTTTTTGCCTACCCTCACTATTTTATTGCTCAAAACGAAATAGCCGAGAGGTGAATGGGTCGGACTGGCCGACTCGACATCCGAGGAACGCGGGTTCGAATCCCACCGCCGCTCGACTATTGTGGTGAGCCCACTCGTAACACAAGCTTATTTTGCTTAACACGAGGGGCTAACGGGACTTGCCAAAAAAAAATTATAGCTCCCTGCTTCGGCAGACACGTCAAGTCACCGTAATTTCCAAGTGGTGTAAAGCTGAACACTCTTATTTATATTACAGCATTAACAATACTGATGATAGCTTTAACTGTGGTGACTTCCCTGGGCAAAAATCCCGTTTGCAAACGCAAAAGAAGCTGCGTATGCCCCAAAAATCTGAGTCCAGTCTGTGGAGTAAATGGCTGCACCTATGGTAACCCCTGCTGGTAAGCACTTTATAGAAGAAGCCCAGTTGGCATATTAGATAGCTGACCGGCATTGGGCGGGGTAAAGCAAATTAGGCTGGGTTGTACCATCTTACTTTAATTTTGACGAACGTCAAAAATCTCTCAAACTCCATACAAAAACACCGGTTATCGTTATCGTTAAAGTTAGGTATTGCAACTCAGCCTAAAGATGTAATGGAGTTTTAAAATAGTTTCTCCTTGTTAACCCCACCGAGTATCAAATAGGTATGTATTCAGGCTGGAAAGGGAAAGTGACCTCACTTGATATTTCTAAACTATTGAAGGAAGATATCGAAAAAACTGGTAACTGATCCTGAAAATTCAGCAGGAGTTCTATCTCTATCAAACGGTATTAGTTATGGAAAACATTGGTTTCCGGCTTTACTTGCTGACGAGTGCCATGTGGATGTATTAGATTTATGGAAGCTGGAAACATTGAGTTTTCGGATATATCCAGTTTATAGGAAACTCGGAAAGGGATCAACATCGTATCGCCTTTCGAACCGAGACGAGGCGTTTACGTTACGGTGCGGATAAGTGTGCGTTGCAGTCGTTACGATCCGTTTCCGGGTTGATAAGTGTGCTTCGTCCTTATTTTGTAACCTATTATTGTTACCGTTTGATAGAGCTCGTGAAGCACTTTCAGGGTCAGTAAGCATTTTTCAAGATACAGGGTGTGGTTTTTTAAAACAACGCCAATACCAAGGGTGGTATAATTATATGCACGACAGTAATGCCAAAAAAATATTTTAAAAAACGATGGAAAAATCCATGAAATTAGGAAAATGGTATTATTATGCAGGGAAACTATCGGACAGTCTCCCCGTATTCCTGAGGCGGCGGTCGCATGTGGTCGGTGGTGTGGGGGCGGTAACAAGCGCCGTCTTGAAAGTTTTAGGAGACGTTTGAACAAGGTTTTTTACTAATAAAATAATAGTTAAAATTTTATTTATATTTATCTTGTAATTACTTTCATGTGTACTACTACCCCTGAGATGGGCTTTGTTTTACAAAACCACACTCTGTATAGTATAAGTGAGATCCCTTATCGTATAGAAGTAACTTCCTCACATCTAGAAGTTAGCCTGAGAACGACACTGTTGGGTTTTATTTCAATATTTTTTACAATTAAAAATATTACGTTTTGTTTTATTTCAGGTTAAAATGTGCTAGAGTTAAAATGTTGCACAAAGGATATTGTGGAGATCCCTATAATGACGATGATGATTATGAGTAACCACGGAAAACCTCGGCGCACTTGTTGGGATACCTATTTAGGTTTAAATGGATTGAAATAAAGAAGTCAATATGATTGAAAATCGAAGTATTATTATAAGAATTCCATTTATCTTTCCTTTTGATTTTTTTATTTATAAATAAAAATTCAACAGATACCTAATATTGTATGCTATTAAACTAATCTAGAAACTGTTCCAAATACACCGTGTTACTTTGCATTCTTGCCATATTCACAGAGATAAAAGTAGGNCATTATACGAGTACTTATGTAAATATTACGGGACTATACCCACCTCTCGTTCCCACCGCTGCAACTCCTGTGTAGCCAGGATCTACAGCTTGACCGCCATTAAAAACCCAACCAGTGAAAGTCAAGTTTGTCCCGGGGGAAAGTTAAACTGTCATTGGCCCGCAACGAAATTAGTCAGAAGAACATAGGGGTTCGAAGTTATGGTATAGGAATATTGTCCCAGTTCGATCCCTCTGTAACTCCTGTTTGCAAGAACCAGGATATAGCTTGACCTTAGGCATCCAACTAAAGCTAAGATTTGGCCGCCATGTTTCATTAAAGATGCTCCCATATTATTATGATAGATCTTATCTAATAGTATAATAATTCGGAAAGCAGGTAACTAAAGCCCGGTCCGTGAGCACGTAGAATTTTGTCCAATGACCCCTAGCTACCCATCCTTATCGCTCGCGCGTAATTATATTGCTGTCGCAAAATGTACGACTGGCACCCGCAGTGAGTGTGCGAGCGCGAGCTAGGGGTCATTGGACAAAATTCTACGTGCTCACGGACCTGACTATAGTGTAGTGGCGACCACGAGCCGGAAGACGTAGTGTGGGCAGACCTCACACTAGGTGGCCAGGCAATCTGGTGAAGGTCCGGACGGATACGACCTGCAAGCTTTCAAGAGGAGAGCGTATCTTCACCTTAAAGGCCGGCAACCTGTGACGCCCCTGGGTCTGCGGGTGTCTATGGGCGACGGTAATCACTTAACAACAGGTGGTCCGTCTGCTCGTTTGCCTCCTGTCACATAAAAAAAGGTCGTGACGAGCACCTGGATGCGGGCAACTCGGGAGGTTGTTGTGGAAATCCATGGGGAAGGCCTCTGTCCAGCATTAGAAGTAATATGGCTGAAGAACGATCATTAGGGCGCCGGGTCACAGTTTTTTAGAAATTCTATTTCGAGGATTTTTTAGCCTACTCTCACTATTTTATTGCTCAAAACGAAAATATATCACAGCCACGATAGCCGAGTGGTAAATGGGTCGGACTGGCCGACTCCGGATCCGAGGAACGCGGGTTCGAATCCCACCGCCGCTCGACTATTGTGGTGAGCCCACTCGTAACACAAGCTTATTTTGCTTAACACGAGGGGCTAACGGGACTTGCCAAAAAAAAATGTATAGCTCCCTGCTTCGGCAGACACGTCAAGTCACCGTAATTTCCAAGTGGTGTAAAGCTGAACACTCTTATTTATTACAGCATTAACAATACTGATGATAGCTTTTACTGTGGTGACTTCCCTGGGTAAAAATCCCGTTTGCAAACGCAAAAGAAGCTGCGTATGCCCCAAAAATCTGAGCCCAGTATGTGGAGTAAATGGCTGCACCTATGGTAACCCCTGCTGGTAAGCACTTTATAGAAGAAACCCAGTTGGCATATTAGATAGCTGACCGGCATTGGGCGGGGTAAAGCAAATTAGGCTGGGTTGCACCATCTTACTTTAACTTTGACGAACGTCAAAAATCTCTCAAACTCCATACAAAAACACCGGTTATCGTTAAAGTTAGGTGTTGCAACTCAGCCTAAAAATGTAATGGAGTAAGGTTTAAGGGTTAAGGTTAACCCCACCGAGTATCAAATAGGTATGTATTCAGGCTGGAAAGGGAAATTGATCTCACTCGATTATTTCTAAACTATTGAAGGAAGATATCGGAAAAACTGGTAACTGATCCTGAAAATGAAGCAAGAGCTCTAGCTCTATCAAACGGTATTAGTTATGGAAAACATAGGTTTTAGGCTTTACTTGCTGACAAGTGCCATGTGGATGTACTATATTTATGGAAGCTGGAAACATTGAATTTCCGGATATATCCTGTTTATAGGAAACTCGGAAAGGGATCAACATCGTATCGCCTTTCGAACAGAGGCGAGGCGTTTACGTTACGATTGGGATATGAGTGCGTTGCAGTCGTTACGGTCCGTTTCCGGGTTGATAAGTGTGCTTCGTCCTTATTCTGTAACCTATTATTGTTACCGTTTGATAGAGCTCGTGAAGCACTTTCAGGGTCAGTAAGCAGATTTTCGATATACAGGGTGTGGTTTTTTAAAACAACGCCCATCTCAGGGTTGGTAATATACACGACACAGATACCAAAAAAAAAACATGGAAAAGTCCATGAAATCAGAAAAATGGTATTATTACGCAGGCAAACTATCGGACAGTCTCCCAGCTCTCCCGGGGGCGGTTGCATGTGGTCGGTGGTGTGGGGGCGGTAACAAGCGCCGTCTTGAAAGTTTTAGGAGACGTTTGAACAAGGTTTTTTACTAATAAAATAATAGTTAACATTTTATTTATATTTTTCTTGTAATTACTTTCATGTGTACCATCCCTGAGATGGGCGTTGTTTTACAAAACCACACCCTGTATAGTATAAGTGAGATCACTTATCGCATCGAACTAACTTCCTCACATCTAGAAGTTAGCCTGAGGACAACACTGTTGGGATTATTTAAATATATTTTACAATTAAAAATATTACGTTTTGTTTTATTTCAGGTTAAAATGTGCTAGAGTTAAAATGTTGCACAAAGGATATTGTGGAGATCCCTATAATGACGATGATGATTATGAGTAACCACGGAATACCTCGGCGCACTTGTTGGGATACCTATTTAGGTTTAAATGGATTGAAATAAAGAAGTCAATATGAATGAAAATCGAAGTATTATTATAAGAATTCCATTTATCTTTCCTTTTGATTTTTATATTTATAAATAAAAATTCAACAGATACCTAATATTGTATGCTATTAAACTCATCTTCAAACTGTTCCAAATATAAATTACTAAAGTGCCAAAGAGCCAATCTTGAAACGCAGCAAAAGGACTGACTGTTCGTAAATTCAATGTTTATTAATATGTACAAAATTACCAAGTAGCGATACCAAGTATTTTGCCGTGGACTATTTCCTACACATAATGGCACATCAATCTAAACAACGAGGTATCTTAAGTTGTTTAAATAGTGGTATCTACACTAATATTATAAAGAGGAAAACTTTATTTGTTTGTTTGTTTGATTGTAATGAATAGGTAGGCTCAAAAACTACTGCACCGTTTTTAAAAATTCTTTCACCATTTGAAAGCTACATTATCCATGAGTAACATAGGCTAAATTTTATTTTGGAAAAAAATAGGATTTCGTAAAATATGTAGATAATGTAGTCCAAGCGCGCGAAGCCGCGTGCGGAAAGCTAGTTCTTCAATAAAAAGGATATGTAGTGTAGTGTGATGTGCTATCAGATGTAGGGAAGTGTGTCTATCACATACAAGGTATGCATTTAACACACTTAGGCTGGGTTGCACCATCTTATTTTAAATTTGACAAACGTCAAAAATCTGTCAAACTCCATACACACCGGTTATCGTTAAAGTTACGGTCAAAGTTAGGTGGTGCTACTAAGCCTTAGCGTAACAGCGTATGTTTGTAAAACTTAAAAAAATAATTTGATATACACGTCCAATATTAGAACTTAGAAGTTCAGAGGGGGCAGTAGTGAGAGAGCGCGCAGCCCTAGTTCAGAGAAACAGCGCAGCCCTAGTTCAGATAAACAGCGAGGCCCTAGTACAAATAAACAGCGCGGCCCTAACGCGTTGCTCTATTCTGCATGAATTTTAGCTATAAACTTTGCACACAAGCATATTATACATACACACTTAATTTGATAGACCCTTCTATACGTCCAGTTTTAGAAGTCTAAAGGGGGCGTTAGTGAGAAAGAGAGCGCGGCAGTAGTTCAGAGAGAAAATGTGGCGCTTGTTCAGAGAAACAGCGCGGCCATGATAGATTTAAGCCATGTATTCATTAGGCAACATTTGTTGATAAACACTGTTTATAAACTGTTCATAAACAATGTTTCATAATGTTTCATCATCTCTGTACACAGTTTATAAACAGTCCATAAACATAGGCGATGAAACATTGTTTATGATACATATTGCCGTGCTCCCCGCTATGAGTGGAGAGCAATTGTGGACGGCCAAGTTTCAGAAACCTGTGTTTATGGTAAACTTGTCTCACACTAGTCATAAACATTTATCAACAAATGTTGCCTAATGAATACATGGCTTTACACTTTGCTCTTTTCTACATGAGAATATCTATCTTTAAACTTCGTGCAGGTTATTTGAAAAATATGTAAGTACCCCAATGGTTTTAAATTAGGAAACCAATGGTCCGCAGGAGTTTTGGTCCGCAACGATTTAAAATTTCAAGAGTGATTAGACATTCCGCGTGTCATGAGAGAGTTTAAGCAGTAAGTTCTAGGATTATAGATTTTCTAAATAATTCCTTAAGTAATGCTTATTTTGGATAAACTTGAATTTTATTTACGAAATGGTAACTGCGAATAATGATAAAATTAAAGTGGTCCCTGGTCAAAAAAAAGGTTGGGAGCCACTGTTTTAAAGTTACACAATATTTTTTACACGTAGCTTCGCCTGCTAAGGAGGTATCTACGATCCGTCTGTCACAAATAAATTGTCTTTCGTGCATCTGTGATACCTGCTGAAACTAAAATACTTAAATAACACCATAGTTCTAGCTACTTTAGAATAAGTATCACCTTGAAATATCAATTTGCCGGTAAAATTTTTCACAGTATATCTGGTGATTGACAATTTGAAACGCGTCGGAATAAAGTAGCACTTAAATTGAATTGTGTTATTTTATTTCATGAATTTATATAATCAAATTAAGTCCATGAGTATATATCGCAGAACGGAGATTAAAAGGTGGTAGATTGTTGTGGAGAGAGCAAAATGAAGGTCATATTATTATTAGGTGAGTTAATGTCGTGTCCAGGTACGAGTACCACATACCTACATAAAATATAGGAATATTGTCGCCGTTCGATCCCACCGCTACAACTCCTGTTTGCAAGAACCAGTAATCAGCTTGGCCGCCAGCATCTGACAAGTTATGAAAACCAACTTCATCATCATCATCATTACAGCCATAGGACGTCCACTGCTGAACATAGGCCTCCCCCAATGATTTCTATAATGATCGGTTCATAGCGGCCTGCATTCAGCACCTGGTGCAAAGCAAAATTTTTATGAGGTCGTCGGTCCACCTTGGACGTCCTACGCTTTCCGATACTTGACCTCCACTTCATAACCTTGCTGCCCCATCGGCCGACAGTTCTACGTACTATGTGCCCTGTCCATTGCCACTTCAGCTTGCTAGTCCGTCGGGCTGTCAGGGACTTTAGTTCGTTTACGGATCTCCTCATTTCTGAAAACTAACTTAGAGTAGGCGCACACCGTTGATTTTTCGTCGGCCGATAGTTTAGTCGGGCAGTTGATCAGTATGGGCATGTATGGGAGTGCGCACACTACGCCGATTCGATTTGGCCGGTTCTTCATACAAATTAAAATCGGGCACAACTATCGGCCAACTAAAAATCAACGGTGTGCGCATACTCTTACTGTCTTAGAAAGGTGAATATTCACCGTGTTTTCAATTGGTGTAAAGCTGAAACCTATTTTTATATTGCAGCATTATCAATCTTGATGATAGCTGCAGCCATGGGCAATAGCAATGACCGCGAGTATTGCTACCGCAACGCAGTACACGTCTGCCCTTGCCACAAAATTTTGGATCCAGTTTGTGGAGTAAACGGCTGCACCTATCCGAATCCTTGCGAGTAAGTCACACACTTTACGGAAAAATATCCTAGAATATCGATGGGGCAACAAAGTTCTGGAGCTGGTCGCGTACCGGAAAACGCAGCGTGGGATGTCCACCCACAAGGTGGACCGAGGACATCTTAAAGGTAGTAGGATAGGAAGGCATTAAACGCATGCAGGACGCTAACCAACCGGCCAACATGGAAATCACTGGGAGAGGCCTATGTTCAGCAGTGGACGTCCTAAGTATGGTTGAAAATATGATGATGAATGATGATCCAAGAAGAACAATGTTTTTTTTTTTAAGATTATTAGCAATTTGTATTGCAAAAATTACTTATAGTCCCGTTAGCCTCGCATGGTAAGCTAAATAAGCTTGTGTTACGAGAGGCTCACCAAAATAGTCGAGCGGCGGTGGGATTCGAACCCGTGTTCCTCGGATCTCGAGTCGGCCAGTCTGACCCCTTCACCGTTCGGCTATCGTGGCTACAAAATAGCCCAAGGATATAATATAGCCCAGTTTTTAGATTAACTAGCTCAAGGCCCTTTCCTTGTTAATCCCTCCAAGTAAGATCCCCCTTCGAGTTTGCGTGAGTAAAAGTGGGTTGACCACAATAGTAGTCCGATACCAGAATCTTGGGCTATTTATCCGACTGCGCTAAAAGGAAGGTTATGTTTTTATTGTTTAATATTTAAATTTTTGTTTATGTTGCAGGTTGAAATGTGCTAGGGTTAAAATGTGGCATGAAGGAGAATGCTTGACGAAAGATGCGAGTTTTCTGTAATAAAAAACATTAGGTATGTATAAAATAAATATTAAAACAAAAGTTAAACTGATTTTTTATTATTGTTCCCATCTGCTACTATTCCCTATACATACTTTAGAGACCTTAGAGAGAGGGAAAGAGATACACAGTCCTTGATACGTTCAGCTTAAATTATTTTGATAATTAACGATAACTTGAAGCCACGATAGCCGAACGGTGAAGGGGTCGGACTGGCCGACTCGTGATCCGGGGAACGCGGGTCCGGTCCCCGCCGCCGCTCGACTATTGTGGTGAGCTCACTCGTGATACAAGCATATTTAGCTTAGTACGAGGGGCTAACGGGAGTATTAGTAACTTGTGTAATAACAAATTACTAATAATCATTTAAAAAAAATACTTTCAAACAATTTACCGTACTAAAATATAGACGTAGCACACTTATCAACCCAGAAAGGTATCGTAACCGTATCAACTCGAGGCGGTCAGTATTATTTGTATGAAACCACTGCTGCAACGCACTTATCCGCACCGTAACGTAAACGCCTCGCCTCGCAGTTGACAGCGCGCGAAAGACGACGACAGTTCGCTAAAGGCGATACGGTGTCGATCCCTTTCCGAGTTGATAAGTATGCTATGACCTTAAAATGTAGACTTGACTTTGAATTCATTTTAATACATAAAACTCATAAAAACTCTCATAAAACTCATTTATTTCTGCAATTAGGCTTTAAAAAAGCACTCTTACACGTCTCAGTATTAACCCTACCACTGCTTTAGGACAATAAATAGGCCAGTGCTGAGAAGAAACAGCGCAAGAAACTCAGTCACTATTGTCAGCCTCTTTTTCAAAGGTTTACAGACTTTAAAATAAATATTTATGCGAGCTAAAACCTCTTCGGTTGATTACCAGCACCTGTGCTTATTTACTTTGTTGTAATTGTTCGTTGCTTTAATTACTTTTGCGGTACAAACAATGCTCGGCACTGTTTGTTTGTCTGTCGCAGAATATACTGGTTTTGTTTTTGTGCTGTTAATATGAGTTATTTTATTCGTGAGTATTAACATTTTTATTACACTTAGGCACGCCTGTTAAACTGTACTGTGATTATTAGATTCGTTCTTTAAACCTAATGTAAAATCTTGATTTATATTAGGTCCTTTACTCATGAAAATAGTGTTTTTTTCTTCAATATTCATTAGTAGATGATTCCTTTCTTAATATAGATAATTTTCATCTTTCTTTTTTATTTGAAGTTAGATTTCAATGACTTACTTTCACGCATAAAATGTTTAATTTTTTTTCAATTAATTCTTCAAAGACAGCTCGTCCTTAATGGCGTCCGTTTCCGTTACAAAAACAAAAATATTTTTGTTTTCTAGTTTTCCTCGCACTAATGCTGCTGCTCTGCCAGTCAAGTGCGAAAGTGTGCGACTGCCCGGATTACTTCAGATGCGCGTGCGCAACCAACGGGCTCACTTATCGGAACACTTGTGTGTACGTAACCAAATCATTGGTGGGGATTCTTGGATGGCTTAAACATGGAGTGCAGGTGCGGTTTTGTTCCCCAGTCGATGAAGCACCTGATGTCATGCCCTGAGTGCCCAAGCAACTGCACTCAGAAGGATTTGATGAGTGCTACTGACAACGCCACTCTTGTGGCTAGTTTTGGGCTGACACTGTATAGGTTTGTTGTCGACACGAAAAGAAGAAGAAGAACCAAATCATTATAATATTTTCAAAATATAAAAAAAATAAGTTGAAGGTGTTAAACCCATCAAATCCCAAACGATCGCATAAAATCGCGTAAAAAAATTTTCTATTGTGTCTCAAATCGCGGATTGAAGGACTAAAATGAACTTAGTTTCAATATCATTTGTGAAAGAAATAGGTAATCAAAGACATTTTTATTCGAACCATAAGGGTAGACATATCTGCACATAACCCACGAAAAAGTAATTAAACAAACAGGTAGGTATATTTTATTCTACGTACCTAATAACAGTAAAGTAATAATTGGACATTACAAGCATTTTCCCTTACCAAGAAAAAAATTGTAAGTACAATGATCACGGAGTACCTAATCATAAGGTACCTATCATTCATTATTTGGTAGTTAATTTTTCCTGTTATTATTAAATAATCTCGATAAATTTTATCTCGTGGTTTTCCTTTAAGTATTTTTAGTATTTTTTAGAATCTAAAACTAAGGAGAATCATGATTGATAGGGTTAGGTATTAATCAGCAGAACAAGAATATGTGACGAGAAACATTTTAGTTGTTTGTTATAAGTAGGTATTTATCTATATGTATAAAAGCGAAAGGTCACTGACTTTTCATGGGGGTCAAATTTTGCATGGGGGTTCCTTTTAGAACGTAGGTGCTCACTAAGACGGGATTTTCCAAAATTCAACCCCTAAAGGGTTAAAACGGGGTTCACGCGTACGTAGTCGCGGGCAGCCGCTAGTATTGTATATTTCTAATACTTTTCTAGTTCTGTATAGATTAAAATAAAATAAATCCAGATGTTTCCCTAACTTATTGCGGGAATCTGACGTTTATGTGATTTATACTGAAAGTTTGGCGATACAATTAGTGTTTGTTTTCGTTTGGATAAGGGTTACCTTCTCTTTTTTTATTATTTACTATATTTTGACATAAGTGCCACTTGTGGTCTAAACTGAAAAAATATTTTTGAATTTGATTTTTTGAATTTGATTTTTTGATTTTGATTTTTGTCCATTTTTCTTTTCAGAATGAGCTGTGCAGGCGCTACGTACTACCACGGCGGCACTTGCAGCGATCCAAATAATTACATAGATTGTTAATTAAGTTTAATAAAGTTTTTTAATACTGTTAAAAGCTATTTTCTTAAATAAAACACTAGATACTTGCACGTCATATTGCCTCATTTTAAATTACTATTATTAATCACTTAGCACAATAGCGCGCGGAGGAGTCCGCGCGCGTCCCTCTATTCCAGTGTTTTTCAACCTGTGGGTCGCGGCCCCTGGGGGGTCGCGAAGCCTCTATAGGGGGGTCGTGAGAGGTCGTAAAAACTACCTCAGTAAAAAAACAGTAAATTTTTAAAGCTAGATTTACTAAATTATTTTTATTAAATTATTAAATTATTACCTATAATACCTACTCATGAAAAAGTAATATATATTAATCAATGATATTATATAAAAACAAAAGCAGATATGTTATAAGCGCTCGCGCTGTGAATACTCAAATACGTCGCAATTGGGACGTCTTGTGTTTAGTCTTCGTGTGGCCTGCGTCGTGCGCAATCGCGTGCGTACCACACCGTAAGTTCCTGTGTTCTTACCAAAATAAATAAAAATNTTATTCAATGAAAATATTGTCCGAACTCCGAACCCTTGGTATTTCTCTTCGACAAATACTTTAACACATAGTGAACCACTTTTCTTTCACGACTATAAAAATATTTTAGCAATTTCATTCACAAAATCAATTGCGCACATTTAAAATAAAGTTTGTTTACACTTTGACAGCAATAGACTGACATGCAAGGTGACATGTCACTGAAGTTTTTAGTTAATATTGCCATTAAAAGAAATTAGTACCATTAGATTTCCGCAACATGGCGAGGGTTTTTATGTTCCTGGTCAGGCTATAATTAAGTTTAATAAAGTTTTTTAAATATACTTATAAGGCCAGTAGATCTATTTTCTCAAATAAAACACTGGATACTTGCACATTATATTGCCTCGGAGTGGTCCGCGCGCGTCCCTCTATTCTGACGTTTCTAAACTGACATTGAATTTGACATTACTTACGTCAATGTCAGTTTGGCAGCAGCTCATTGGCTTTACAGCAGATATTTTAACGCTTAATTTTTTCACAATTACCAATACATACTTAATTTAATCTAAGTCAATAGCTCGTGCGCTTATTTATTAAATTGTTATCTACGTGTAATTCATCACGATCTAGAAGATAAATTAAAATCATAAGCTGATACTTTCCGGATTATTATCTACTTTATTAGCTGAGTTTAGAGTTTATAGATAGGGAAACTGATACCATATCCGATTTGGTATTGCCGGGATGATAAGTAGGTTAAATTGGGTATTTAATTCTAAGATATTGTTCATCAAATCTTACAATATTACCCATAGTGATTACATTTATTAAATTATTACCTATAATACCTACTCATGAAAAAGTAATAATATATAATAATTAATTATTTTTCAAAAGTGACAACGCGTTTGAAATTGGAAAGTTGTTTTGGGGATATTTTAGGCCTGACACCGTCGTGTCCTGAGGGAAATTATGTCCTCCTGTATCCTGATCATGAATTTTTACCTCCAATAAACAAAAAGTATAATATTTGATATATAAACATACAACTGGTTTTTAAGAATGAAGCCACGATAGCCGAACGGTGAAGGGGTCGGACTGGCCGATTCGTGATCAGGGGAACGTGGGTTCGGTCCCCGCCGCCGCTCGACTATTAATTGTGGTGAGCTCACTCGTGACACAGGCATATTCAGCTTAGTACGAGGAGCTAACGGGAGTATTAGTAATTTGTTATTACACAAATACCAAGATACATTAAAATGACATTAATGGTAAACGATATGGATATTATAAAAATTAAAATAAACAAATTTATTTGAAAACTAGTATAAGCCTGCAGTTTTGCCCGTGTCTATTACCTACAATAAAATGCTTATTTTACTTCGAAATCTTTTGTTTTTATTTGAAATCTAACTTGTTCTTATCCATTCCAATCTAGAGCCACTTTCAGCTTCGTTATTAACGAAGCGTTGAACGGCGCGCCCAGAGCAACTTAGTTCAAACGCTTATTGCAAACGTTGTGATAGGGATAGAGACATGAGATTTTTGGTTTTACAAAGGTATTATGATAGAAAATAACAACAAGTAATAAAAACTACCTGTTATGGGGGCATTATTTGGAGAAATTTTTCAAATAACCAAAAAAACCCGAATTTAAAAGCAGAATTTCTAGAATTTCTATTCTAAATGTATCATTTTTTGTTATTTGTTGCCATTTTCTGGGTATTTTATGTATTTTTTTAGTATCACCTGTTAGGTATTTAGCTTTATTACTCTTTTTATTTTATGATGTTAAAATCGATTAAGCTAATGATTTAATTATGGAATCTCAAAGGTTTAAAAGCAAATCAACTAAGAAGACGCGGTCAGTTCAATTTTATTGTTCGCTTTGCAATTAATAAAATGAAGTTATTTTATTACGGTAAGTTCCTTTTATTCCATACAAACTGTACCGGCGAACTTCGTACCGGCAATGAAAAGTTGACTTAACTTATTTAGAAAATCGCAATATTTGTTTCTGAATATATCCTGTTTGACAATAATATTTTGACAGTAGCTGGCTCGGCGAAATTCGGTAAATGTGACGTGAAGTATGAGCGCGGGTGAGAATCGCGCCATGAGTTCTTACTTAGCCTTACGATCCCTTTTCGAGTTGATAACTTTACTTCGAACCCGTATCATCAGGTGTGATTATTTGCTTCCAGCCCTAACTGTATTGCTGCTCATCGTAAATCTAATGGCAGTGAACGCATGCGTCTGTGTTTATCTGGAGTATGACCCCGTATGCGCCACCAATGGAGTAACATATGACAGCGACTGCTAGTGAGTATATCCTACTATAGTCTGGTCGCTGAGCACGTAGAATTTTGTCCAATGACCCCAAACTACCCATCCTTATTGCTCGCGCGTAATTATATTGCTGTCGCGCTCGCACACTCACGCATCACGCACACACACATTGGACAAAATTCTACGTACTCAGCGACCAGACTATAATATTACTTATAAATGCGAAAGTTTGTGTGGATGTCTGGATGTCTGTTACTGTTTCACGCAAGAACGGATTTTGATGAAACTTTGCAGTATTATTGTTTATAACCCAGAATAACATGGGCTATATTTATGACGATCTGTGACAAACTAAATTTCACGCGGGTGAAGCCGCGGATGAAGCCGCGGGAAAAAGCTAGTACGTATATAAACTTAGTAGATTTGCCCGCAAGTTCGTACTTACGCGTGAAAAGAGTTTTAATATTTTTTCCTCGTTATAGCAATTTTTATTGATGCTCTGCTCATATTGGTCGTAGCGTGATGGGCTAATAGATAGACTATCGTTCTAATCTAACACAAAAATATTTTTTCAAATCGGACCAGTAGTTTCTAAGATTAGTATTCGACCAGACAAAGAACTTTTCAGCCATAGAATAAGTATTATAGTTTACATTTTAATCAGCTCTTTTGCTTTTGTACTAGTAAGTAATTGTCAAAAACCATTGCATCATTAATTGGTAAATTAGGTAAGTATACTAATTATTTAAAGGATACTTGAGCCCTTAGAATAATTACCATTCTAAGCTTGAACTTTTGTTTTGTCTCCTGCCATCCGCTTTGTGCTGGATATGAAGTCGAACCTTAATTTCGAACTCCTCCTATGTTCTTCTGATTCATTTCGTTGCGGGTCCAATTACAGCTTTCCCCCGGGACAAACTAGACCTTCACTGGTTGGGTTTTTATGGCGATCAAGCTGTAGATCCTGGCTACACAGGAGTTGCAGCGGTGGGAACGAGTGGTGGGAATAGTCCCGTCCTCAGTTGAAACGATTGTTTATTTAATGTTAATAATAATAATCATCATCATCATCTCAGCCATAGGACGTCAACTGCTGAACATAGGCCTCCCCCAATGCTTGCCATGTTACCCGGTTGGTAGCGGCCTGCGTCCAGCGCTTTTCTGCTACCTTTATGATGTCGTCGGTCCACCTTGTGGATTATGTTAATAATGTCATTTCTCATTTACAGTTTGGACTGCGCAGCGACAGAACTGAAGCACCGCGGCCCTTGCGAGGGCCACACGGTGTTTTCAGCCGAGGATTTCTATGGTTAGGCCTAAAATCGTTTCCCAAAATATCACATTGCAAACAACGTTTCTCAAATTTTCTTGTACGTGCCTTATGCTTTGATTTGAATAAGTATGTGAATTACCAATTTGACTGAACAATATTTTAATTAGGTACATAATATTTAGCAAAATAAAACATTTTCCAAAATAAAACTTGACCAAGTAAAATTTTGCCAAATGAATTATGTGCGAAAAGTACAGTTGCTAAAAGTTCATTTGGGAAATGAAACTTAGGCGATAAGTTTTTTGCGTAGTGAAATTTGGCGAAAAATAATTTAGCCATACGGAAGGATACCTATACAAATGCTAAATAAATACATGAATTGACTAAGAAAAAGGACTTTTTTATTTATTTTCATCTCGGTTTAATAATAAAGGAAAAGTTATTTCATTTATTTTAAAAGAAAAACTGAAGGTAATATAATAGTAGGATACTGACATTAAAAAGATTAAATAATACCAAATAACCGTACCAAAAATGTAGTTTATACTAAATAAAGAACTATAATAAATATAAAGATTCTAATACTTACCTANCCTATATATAAGATTTCACAAGCTCCTATTAAAATACAACACAAAATCAATACAGTGTTTGTTCGATTATTCAACATGCCGTCAACCTACCTACTTAATACTTTAAAACAATTATATTATGGACAAAATATAGCTCAAATTAATATCAGTGAGTATAAACTACCAAAACACAAGATTGGGGTGGCGGAGAGAGGGTTATCGGCCCCGACATCCGACAAATCCGACACGATTTTTTTCCGAACGTAGAGAAACACCCGACTCTTGTCGGCGCCGACACAAAATCGGTTTCCGATAAGTGTGAATAGCTTCATACATAATGTTCTGCCACTGGAACCTCCGATTAATATACGGCTCCGATAACCGACAATTAGTGGGAACGAGCTGTAAGATTTTTAAAGCGAGCGGTGGTTCTCAATTCGAGTGTATGTTTTTTGTATGTAACATAACCGCAGAACTCCGTCAATTACGAAGCTATTTCCAAATTATTTTTTTTGTTTGATAGAGTATACTCCCGAGGTGTCCCATTGTCACCAAGTCAGGGTCTGATGATGGGATCCTAGGGAAATCGCGGGCAACGCTCATATTGATGAGCTGATGATAGAAGGTAAAACTCCTCAATGCTTAGGAGTTGGAGGATAATTCTTTTAATTTTATAGGCAAATTTTTATACAGTGTGAGTCACGATAAAATGCACATATGAAAATAGGTGAAACTAAACCTATTTTTATCGACAAAAAAGGAGATATAAAAGGAGAAACTGACTGACTTAGTGACATAATTATCAACGCACAGCCTAAACGGCTAAACGTAGGCACTTGAAAAGACAATGCCGGAAATTGGCGTCTTTTTTTTTTCGCGCGGCCATCGACCAAACCTTGTTTTTTGATTACAAAATAGTGTAATAAACCAAACTTACTATGACATGTACACCTCTAAACTCAGTCTGAACTGAGTTACGAGCATTAGAAGTTTGATGATTTTCATACTAGATTTGCTTTTTGCGCGCAAGTTTTGTAAGAAATTGCAACAAAATATTGACATTGTATGTGACAACAAACAATACCATCCATTAAAGGCTCCAGACATCAGTATGCAGCAGAATCAGCGCAATAAAAAAATAACGCAATATTTTGTTGCAATTTCTTACAAATTTATTTATGCATGTAATTATTTTAATTGTTATCATGTGCTATATCAATAATAAATCAGTTAGAAAAAGTCGTTTAATGTACCGTTTTACGTTTTAACGCAAATACGCCCATATACTGTGCTCGAGATTTAGTTAGGTCTTTTAACATAATGTGTCATATTTTAAAAAAATATAAATAACTTGAAAAAATCGAATTGCCTAAGGCGGGAATTGAACCCACGATGCCTTAGGCAGTTCGATTTTTTCAAGTTATTTATAATTTTCAAATTAGTTTGAGATGCGACTCTTAACGCTAAAAATTAAATAACTATATAATGTGTCATAATTTATAAATAAAACAATTTGCTAAATATTTTCATGGCTTTATTTAAGATTTGGATTATAAAAAATATATGTTTATGTAAGCAACTACTCGTATAGATTGACGAATCGTATGATTGGGCTTTATACGTGGCGTAGTTTTGCACATACGCCTATTTGCCTAAAATTTTATTTTGTATCTAATGGAAAAAAAAATTTTTTTTCTTACTGATGTTATAGATTAGAGCAAAGTGAAATCATTGCTTAAATAATTGGAAAAAGCCGTAAGCGGCAGTTTCGCCCTTATACGTAGGAGCCATCGCAATTCGAGTGTATGTTTTTTGTATGTAACATAACCGCAGAACTCCGTCAATTATGAAGCTATTTCCATTTTGTTTTTTGTTTGATAGGGTATACTCCCGATTTGGTCCTATTGTCACCAAGTTAGGGTCTGATGATGGGATCCTAGGGAAATCGCGGGCAACGCTCATATTGATGAGCTGATGATAGAAGGTGAAACTCCTTAATGCTTAGGAGTTGGAGGATAATTATTTTAATTTTATAGGCAAATTTTTATACAGTGTGAGTCACGATAAAATGCACATATGAAAATAGGTGAAACTAAACCTATTTTTATCGACAAAAAAGGAGATATAAAAGGAGAAACGGCTAAACGTAGGCACTTGAAATTTGGAAGGGACGTAACTTAGGTACTGTAGAGGTGCACTAAGAAAAGAATTCTTGAAATTCCCACGGGAACGGGAATTAGCGGGAAAATCCTAATGTATGAAAAATCTAAACCGCTTAAGTTTGACGCTTTAAATTTGGCATGCAGGTACCTTAGTAAACTTAAAGCTTATTTACAACAGGATATTGCAAAATTTCCACGGGAACGGGAGTTAGCGGGAAAATCCTTTTCTACGAAAAAATCTAAACCACGTAGGATAGATGAAGGGGATTAAACGGGATCCACGCGTACGAAGTCGCGGGCGGCCGCTAGTAATATAGATTTCAAAATCACTGACTCCAAAGACAATTTGACTGATTCCGTCTCCTTAATTGATTTGCTTTGATACCTTAGAGCACCCATTATCATTAGCCTAATCGATTTTAACATTACTTTAATTAGTGGTCAATTGGACAATTTTACTCACTAAATTGTACAAAACAAAGGCGCTTTCCTGGCTGTCGGTCCCTCTGTATGCTTAGAGCTTTAAAACTACGCAACCGATTTTGATGAGATTTTTTTAAAAGATAACAAGATACTTAATGATTCAAGAGGAAGGTTTTTAAGTACAGTATTGTTCCTGTGCGAAGCAGGGGCGGGTCGCTAGTATTATACAAGTAAAATTCTTCAAAATCTGTCTGTCTCACGTGAACCATTGAACCGTCCTCAGTCCTCACCAAATTTAAATAGGAGGAGGTTATATGGCTGTATGTATTTTTTTTTCTATGTATGTTCACCGAGTACTCCGTCAATAATTGTAGAACGATTTCCAATTTTTTTTTTGTTCGATAAAGTACACTTCTGAGGTGGTCCCATTCTCACTAAGTCAGGATCTGATAATGGGATCCTAGGGAAATCAAGAGCAAACCTTAAATTTTGTAGGCACGTAGGTATTACGGTTTTCATATTTATTCTTAAGTAATTCGTAATATTCTTATGCGTCTGGTAGTCATCATCTAATGTTGATGAGGTGATGATGGAAGGTAAAACTCCTTAACGGTTAGGAGTTGGAGAATAATTCTTTAAATATTTTAGGTACGTTGTAAGTACATACAGTTGTATTATTTGAGGTTGTTTATGTTAGCTGATGATGAAAGGTCAAACTTCGTAAGTTAGGAGTTAGATGATACTTTTTGTTTGCCGATATTTAAAGTATTAGCAGACCTGTTCATCTCCGCGAGTTTACATCGAAAACAAAACAAGCACGATGGCACCCTACACGATTACTATTCGACAAAGTTTACCGAAGTCAGCCCTATGGCTTCGGCCGATTTCGGCGCAGTACCGATCACTGACGTTTGTCAACAAAATGATGCTTGACTCTAGAGACAAGCTAAATTACACCATATTGCTTATGACATTGAGCATACATTTTTTAAATACCTTCGTAAACCTTCTGTACGTAGTACTTATTATTATTATTCTGTGGTATTAGCCTGTATTTTGTAGGGAAGATTATTTACCCTTTAAATGGAAAACTATAGTCTCAAAATCTCATTAAACATAGGCACTGTCCATCTTCAGTGAGAATAACAAGAACTAATCAACTAAAAAGCATGAACGAAATTAATTTTAACAAAAAAATTTAAACCGACTCCAAAAAACCTGTTTATCAAACATGGTTACATTTGTCCTAATAAATTGATTTGTATTGTATTATCTTTGATACTAAATAAATTATGTTTTTTCTTTCTTTCTTTCTTAAATAAATAATGTAATTATTTTCTACTTTTTAGTGCAGGTTTTTTGGAGTCGGTTTTATATTTATACCTACTAAGTATGTAGTGATTAGTATAGTTGTCCAATTGACCACTAATTAAAGTAATGTTTTAATTGATTAAGCTAATGATAATGGGTGCTCTAAGGTATAAAAGTGAATCAACTAAGGAGGCGGGATCAGTCAAGTTGTCTGTCCTGAAGTTGAATTATATTATCAACATGAAGTTATTTTATTACGGTAAGTTCCTTTTATTTAAAACTAGCATTTGCCCGCGGCTTCACCCGCGTGAAATTTTGTGTCATAGATCGTCATAAATTATAACCTATATGTTAATCTGGGTTACAAACTATAATACTGTAAAGTTTCAACAAAATCCGTTCCGTAGTTTTTGCATGAAAGAGTAACAAACATCTAGACACTCAGACATCCAGACATCTAAACTTTCGCATTTATAATATTAGTAGAACTTACTAAGCTGTCCCGGCGAACTTCATACCTACAGTAAATTGTAAATGCGAAAGTAACTTTGTCTGTCTGTCTGTCTGTCTCTCTTTCACGCCTAAATCACTGAACCGATTTTGATGAAATTTGGCATAGAGATACAGAGACGCGCGCTATAAAGTTTTTCTGTGACAGACCAAATTCCACGCGGGTGAAGCCGCGGGCGGAAAGCTAGTTTACTATAAAGTCGCAATATTAATTCAAAATCAAAATCAAAAGTATTTATTCAGTTTAGACCACAAGTGGCACTTATGAACGTCAAAATTATTATAGATATATAACGCAAGTTTGCTCGCTGGCTGTATAAAAAGAGATACGGATATTACCCCTATTTGTACCCGTCCTTGTTTGTCTCCGGCATGGTTGATTTGGAAACCCTTAAGTTTAGGAGGATAATGTCAAGTATAATATACTATTTGTCGATTATACATGGCAAAATTGATAGTCCACAAATATTAGCGAAAGTAGGCTTATCAGTGCCCACGCGCATACCACGGGATGTTACCGGGATGGTTGAACCGCGTCGCCGCCCTAGGCTGCTACGCCGGCCGGTCACGCGCACCACTCGCGCAGCGAGCGCGCCTTCTACCCGCGCATTACGTTTAATCGGGGACTTAGTTGCTCAGCACGATATCGACATATTTGCCGACCGCTTAGGTACAATAATGGTATTAATTCATAGATTTTTGTGTAAGTAATAACTTTGAATAACTTTGACATTGATCTCTGGACATAAATGTATTTATCTCTTATTCTTATTAGTAGTCTTAGGTATGACATTCTATTTTGGACTTAATTATTTTATGTATTTAATTTTAATGTTATTTGACTATTATTTAATTTATCGTTTTAATTATTTGACAATTTTACATATTGAAATTGATATTATAAATTATCTGTATTGTATAACTTCCGCTCCCAGTATGAAGGTTACTTTTTATTCAAAAAGGTTACTTTTTTTATATTTCTGGTGATTTCTGACTAGACCCGACTGGCAACACTGCTGTCAGTTCCACTCCTGTTATTTCTGCTCTCTGGGTCTAGTCAGAGAGCGTTATTTCTGCTCTCTGACTCTGGGTCTAGTAGACAAAGTGCACATTGTATGGAGATAAGTCGAAATTAGTTTTTCGAATCGATCAAAAAGTGCAACTTGTCTAGTGAGGCACTAAGAAAGTAATTTAAATTGAACACTCGACTGTTAATCGATTTACTAAATCGAGAATGAATGACTCATGTCATTCACGTATGTCGATTGTCGACTGTCAAATCTTTCAAAATCGACCAGCTGTCACGCTAATTTGTTATTCATTCCTTTAAAACATGTGAAAAAATTGGAAATTTCCATTCAAAGCCAATTTTGTTGCACTGTTTTGTTATTTGCAACAACCGCATTCAATTTTGAAGTCTAAAACATGTCTAATGGTGAAGCAGAGCCGAATGGAGACTGCGCGATGCAGACGGAGCAGGCCGCTGAAAAACGCGTTGGTTGTGCCCACTACAAGCGCCGAGCTAAGTTTGTAGTAAGTTAAAACTACAATTTCAATACTCCCCATTGATGTTAATCTATAACATGCGTGGAGATTGTTCAGCAGGGTTCACAACACCCGGGTCTATATTTAAACTCGCGACGTAGAAATTATTATGATTTGATGAAACGCGACTTTACAAAACAAAGACATGTCAACGAACTGCGTATTTTATGAGTTCATGGATTCTGGATTCTCGAGGATTTTCAGCCAATTTCTTTACATATTTAAATCCTTTGTTTAAAAATGACATCAATGGCAGTACTTTGTTAGAATAAATGAATTCCCACTTTTTTCATGTTTCATTGAGTGTTACTACTAAATAATAACGTAGAATGTTAACAGTCACTGGCATTGCTGGTAAATTGAGAACTTAATTTTTGTTGTCTCCATTAAAATCAATAATTTATTTCAGACGCCATGCTGCAACAAGTTGTACATGTGCCGATACTGTCACGATGAAAACGAAGAGCACTACTTCAACCGCAAGTCGGTCACCGAGCTCATCTGTACGGAGTGTGACACTCGGCAGAAAGTGCAGGCTGAGTGTGAGAACTGTGGTGTCCGGTTTGGAAAGGTATGTGTAATATAGCCTGACCAGGAACATAAAAACCCTCGCCATGTTGCGGAAAACTAATGGTACTAATTTCTTTTAATGGCAACAGTAACTGAAAACTTCATTGACATGTCACCTTGCATGTCAGTCTATTGCTGTCAAAGTGTAAACAAACTTTATTTTAAATGTGCGCAATTGATTTTGTGAATTAAATTGCTAAAATCTTTTTATAGTCGTGAAAGAAAAGTGGTTCACAATGTGTTAAAGTATTTGTCGAAGAGAAATACTAAGGGTTCGGACAATATTTTCATTGAATAATGTTTCCGACAAAGGTTGTCAAATTTTTTTTTTATTTTAAAGTCCAAAATGACAATGTTCCGAAGATTTCCGAAATGCGACACTTGGTGATAACATAGCTTATATGTTGCATTACATAATACAAAAGTTAATTTCTTAAGAAAGCTTGAGAATAACGAATAAAATTACAATAAATGTTGAGCTCCATACAAAAAAAAAAGGAAATTGTCAATAACTTATTAAATAATAACTTTATCAAGAAACGTTACATAACATAAAATATTCCTTTTTGGTAAAGGAACACATTGGCATATTTATTTTTTCAAAATTCGGCACTTGATTTTTGAGCGACGCTAAGTCTATGAAGCTCTAATATCAGCCCACCGTGCGACCTGCACAGAATCAGAACCATAAACAAAGCGCTCGATTTACGCGCGACTTTCCCGCCGAAAATGGTCTAATTTGACAGGCTGCGCCCGCGCACGTGCCGACGCTGCGCAATATTGGTTGCGAGCATTTGGAGTGGCGATTGTTTTATTTAATTAGAAAAGAGCGCAAATGTTTCTATTGAGTTGGGTTTGGCAATCAGTCTGAGAATTTTAGGGCGTTGCTTAAGCGTAAGGTTCCGAGTTTAATCCCCAAGTACCTATGGTATGTTAGGAATAATAACTTCAAAATTACGCTGTTTTAAACCTATCGCAATAAAAGCAATCCCTAGATACTTCTACGTGTCGGAATCTGGTAACCCATCTCATGTTAACACGAATAATGGGGTTCCATAATAAGTCACTATCATAATAATAAATTGGAGTTCTTCAATTAATACACCATGATAAATAAATGGCGTTTATCCTTTCAACAACTCTTTCAAAAACATACCGTAAGTTACAAGTTACAACCAAAACGGGACATCGCTTGAAGTTGCAGTCAATATTATCAACAGTTTAAGTAGCATGCGCAAGCGCATGGTAAGTTGCATTCGCATTTGAATACACTTTCAACAGCTGACAGTTCCCATGGCGTCGTATTAGTGCGGACATAATTTCGGTCGGCGTCTGCGCTCAACGACGCTCAATGGGCGGATTCCTAACAGTAGTATTGCTATATCAGGACCATAAGCTCGCTTGCCGATAGGGTTGTAGGGAAGTTCAGAAGATTTACCGGTTTAATTGTGTACAACCGGTCCTGGTTTTTACTAGCAGAAAATCGGTTTAGTACCTTTGCTACAAAAAATAAGGGGTCACAATTTGAACAGGAGATGAAAGCTTGTATGACGACAATTTTCAGGATTAATAACGCAAGAGAATTAGCGGGGACAAGCTAGTTTTTAATACACAATCCTACTAATATCCTACTAATATTATAAATGCGAAAGTTTGTATGGATGTCTGGATGTTTGTTACTCTTTCACGCAAAAACCACTGAACGGATTTTTAGGACACTTTACAGTATTATTGTTTATAACCCAGAATAACTTATGACAATAATACTTATGGCTACATTTTATGACGATCTGTGACAAACTGAATTTCACGCGGTCGAAGTTGCGGGCAAAAGCTAGTTTATTAAGCAACAGTCGATATATCAACAATGTCACCAGAAGTGTAGATCCTGTCTAGACTGATACTTGTCTTAGGTCTTTCATATCTAGCAATAATCTAGTTATCAGAATCTACTTTGATAAACAACAAAGTAAGCGAGTTATATCGAGTTCTACCGATTACGCCTTTCATAGATACAGCACTAGAGCAACCGATTTATGCCCTGTCCCCGGTTGTAAGTATAACTGCACTTAATGTACCGGTCAGGTTTGAAGTTTATTACGTATTTCTATGATAATTTTGTTCTGCCCGATGGATAATTGATTTAAGGAAGGAAGAAGACGAATCGTTATTTGCTTTGTACAATGTTTGCGAGGTTAATTGGGAGGTTAGGGCTTCTCCAAAAGAGGATTAGATGTAACCTGTATAAGGCTTAGAAAGTATAAGCAAAGTAAAGACGATAACAAATAAGTAAATACAGTTTGACGGAGTTGATATCTTCCGGCTTTCTACAAGTGTCGCACTAAAATCACTTAAAGGAAATTTTATGATTCTGTGCTTGACGGTAGCCATTTAGATGACTTTAGTAATATAAATAAACTAATAAACATTACACATAATACAGTCTGAAACTAGAGTTGGGCGGTTACTCTATTTTGGCCTACAGAAGAATAATTGGGATAGTAAAAAGATATGGAGCGATGGCATACATTAGGTAAAGACTTAATAGAGAGTGGGGATTTTGGAAGGTGTCATAAAATACTCTTTACCGAACAAAGTGGAGTTGGAGCGTCTTTCCTTCTGTCTTTTTTTTTTATCCACAACGAGGAAGGTCTTGGCTTGTATCTCACCTGATGTTAGTGATGATCAAGCCGAAGGTGGAAGTGAGCTCACTCAGGAGTCTCAGGTAAATGTTCCTATACAATCAACATCTGTCAAAAGAGATAGCTGTAATTTACAGCAAAACTAACGAGGTGGGTAGCGAATGCCTACCTAAAACCGATGTCAGGTTAAATGCTAATAGGTGCTAACTGTGACCAGTTAAAGAGAAATCTTTCGCAAATGAAGATTCCACACCTAGAGTTATGGCGGCCCTTTGTTTATGGTACGACAGAAACTCGTCGGTGCATCGAGTGCAAACTTCCGTGTTTGTGGTTAGTTGTAACCGTTTAATGGCTAATTTGTGAATGCCTGATTGATTTATGGACGATTGGACCTTTAGGCAATTTCTTACGTGACATAACCTTAACTTTATGGGAGATAAGAATGCATACCCACTTTTTGATTTATTGCTCACCTCAGGCATGGATTGAGGCAGAAGTATCCATAAGATTTAATAACAAGTCAACTATTGCAATTATAATATTTATAATGCATGGACAATAAGTTTATATTTTTGGTATGAATTTACGACTTAAATCACATGCTCATTGCTCATATACGAGTAAAGAGGTAAGATTTGTACTTACTTTTGTATCTTTGTCCTCCTTACAATTAACTCAAAAATTACTGAACCGATTTCAAAACTTCTTTCACCGTAGAATGCAATATCATCTCTGAGCGACGCTATAGCAGACCAAAATTCACGAGACGAAATTTTTTTCCCGGGCAAAAGTTATTTGGTAACTAATAAAGAAGTAATGATGTAATATGGGTCAGGAAGTCACAGTTAACAAAAAAACATAAGCAACAATGTTAACAACAACCTCGTGAAACCTCCTTAACCAAACCAGTCCCTAACTGGACATTGTCCTTACATCTATCAGCCTTAACCCGTTCATCACCGCGCCCTACAGAGGGGTGTCCCGCCCACGGGATAACGGCGCGCGCGCACGCACCGCCCAAGATTACCTATCGCGTGGATCTTGATTGGACGGATGATAAATTCAATGTTTACACGATTCTAGATGGGATTGAGATAAACTGGTTTTGAGAACTGATTTATTTGTGGACTAAGTAACAGTTTCATTCGATTCTCGAATCACATTTTAGGTTCTAAATAGATTCAAAATCAAAAATCAAAATCAAAAGTATTTATTCAGTTTAGACCACAAGTGGCACTTATGAACGTCAAAATATTATTATAGAAAATAATAAAAAAAGAAAAGTTAGCCCTTATGGAGCACTTTACATGTCTCCTTCATTGGGATGATATCTTTTATGACCACAGCACTAGAGGCACAAATACACAATACGTTATTGTCACCTCCATTTGACCTTATCTTCCTACATATTGTTGCTTTAGTAGGTCAATAAGTATAGAAAATGACATTTGTCAAAAATCAATTTTATGGTCTTTTGTCAATTTTCCACGGTGCGAAGAATGGGAATTATAATAGCGATGGGGGCGTTAAAAATGCTTCATTATTGTAGCTCATTAGGCCAAGAACATTTCCAAAAGACATGAGCTACCAATTGAAAGATACCTTAAAATAGGTGTTCACAATAAATACATTTTTGTTATAACAGGAAATCCATCCAACAAAGTATTTCCCACCTCCGTTGCATAGCACAAACCTGTGAACCCACACTTAATGGGCAACACTTACTTGCACAAATCATTATTCATCTCCAACATCCCATCAGCAAGCTGAGCCACAGCGAAGAAAGATTTAGTAAGTCCATTTGTTTGAAAATATTTTAGAAATAAGCGAGGCTGAAGAAAAGACTGTTAAAACGTTTTTCGCGATGACTCTTACAGTGCAGATTACCCAAAGCTTTCTAATTGAAAAGTAATATTTCATAGAAAAATGTGTGGAATTGAAAAGGTCTAGGATTATTAAGTATCTTGTAGCGTGCGGGGATCGAACCTGCAATCTCTACCGAGTAATTCAGTACGCGAAGCTGCACCAGGCCTTGTGGCTATCTGAAGAGTCTTATAAGTAGATATTCGTGTTGTGTTAAAAACTAGAATTAACCAGTATTTAGAACGCAATATTAGTCAGAAACGTCGTCATCATTGTACCTACACAAGCTAGCTTTTGTAACGTTAGAGCAAAAATTTTTCTCAGATAAAAGTTTTGTGATTCTACTGAGTAGTAAGTGTACTATGGTGGAACGGTTCGTCGCTTTGCGTTTCCGTGACAAATTCGTAATGTGCAAACTGCTCACAGAACCAGACATCCTGACCTCCCGCTTCCTCATCAAGACCTCGCATTTTACTCCCAAAAGGGAAACCTTAATACCAGGTGAGGGATCTACGTAGCCTGGTCATGGTTCCTCGAGGGTGTACGCCTAATTGTTTTTGCGGCAACTCCAGATTTATGACGTCACGCTTATGACGGCCTCTCACGATCTCCTGAGAAACCGTTCTTCCTCTTCGTTAGCATAGTAAGTGAGGATTTTCAGAATGACTGGCGAATTCGAAAGATGCAACCTTTAATCAGATATGGTCGAAAATTACTAAACTATTGTAAATCTGTTAAATAAATATTGTAGGTTAAATTTTTATTATGATTGTATAGTGCTACTAATATTATAAATGCAAAAGTTTGGGGGATGGATGGTTGTTTGATTTGCGCAGATAACATGGAAATAAAAATTTATAATGCATCAAAAAATCAAAAGAAGTTTGATAAAATAACCCTGAAATCACCCACAACTTTAAGACACAGTTATTTCTTTTTTATGCATGACAAGACAAGGCAGGTATTTGACCGCAATCGTACCTGGTGTTAAGAGAGATGCAGTCTAGGATGTTATTAAGTATGCATTTATTTACCACAACCAGGTTCGTCAGTACGTGAGGCACCAGAATTAACTAGAAACGGACTGGTCAAGATCCTGTTACTCCAGACGTCAATAATTTCTTCGTAAGTCATAAATTATCAATAGAGGGTAATGACTTTTCAAAGTAATCATTGACAAGAAGCAAACTTGTAATTAGTTAAGCTGACCCCATACTGGTACTCAGTTAAGCAGTGCTAATAACATGACTGCTGGGCAGATCATGGTCTACCTGTCAGGTGACCTGGTGCATGCAAAACGTTGTATGTTGGTCACCACTGGGGGTGCCCCGATTCGATTAGGTTTTTCCGCGATGCAGCGCTTTTTGATCGATTTCAAGACATGAAATATTATCCACAGGAGTAGAAAATCTATAGGTAGGATTGATTCAATGTCGGAGATCTTAAGATCTTAAGGATAAGTAGGTATACATACTATTGAAATTAACTATCATTTTTCAGATAGTCGTATATGCTATGAACGGTCGCTTTTATGTTATTGAATACAAACGATCATCAGGTGATCGGTCTGCTCGTTTGCCTCCTGTCACATAAAAAAAAACGAGTACATTTCCACTATAATTGAGCTTTTTATTTTGATTTAAACAAAATATGGCGTCGTTTATATGCCATAGATGTCATGCTCTATAATAACTGTCTTCTCCATTCCATATTTCGAGGATCATTCCTAAAAATGTGATCAATTACCAACATCTGACATCCCTATCAGTGGTAATAAGCTGTANGCTATACATGTAATTTTATCCATCAAATACTTAAATAGTTACAATTTAATAGTAATAGCTAAGTTGTTCTGAGAAAGTTTTAACATGGAGTACCATGCTAGAGGGTTCGATCCTAGCACAATACAAAAATTTTGTATAGATCTGGGTGTCTGCATAGCTTAGGACTGGAGAGCATAGTGTATAATGTCCAACGTCCAAAAATATTTATTATAATTGTTTTGTATCCGTTCACATGAGCTTGGTGTGTTCTCTAGCTAGAGCTGAAAATCGGTGTTCTGCCCTTTTGAAGGCAGTGTTTACACTGAGCTCCTTGCGTTTTGCTTCGCTGCAGCACACATCACTCTGACGCAGGAAACTATTTTATGAGCTAATTTTGTTTCATGAAACGTGCTTATCATCTCTGTCTCCTGCTGTTTTGTTGTCACTTTTGTCTTGTTGCAACTATACATAATGTGTGTTAGGCGATTGTCACACTACACCGCGCTCCGCCGCGGTACGCGGGACGACAGATTTAATGTCGCCACGCGCACCGCAGCGGAGCGCGGTGCAGTGTGATAATCGCCTTAGTGTTTGCAAATAAACGATTTATCTATCTATCCCACAGTACACATGTCTGATCTGCAACCTGTTCGACGACGAGGATAAGCGTCAGTACCACTGCGATGGCTGTGGAATATGCCGCGTGGGCGGTCGCGACCGTTTTTTCCATTGCGAGCGGTGCAATATGTGTCTGCCGGTGCAGTTACAACGCGTCGGCCACAGGGTGAGTGCTGCTTGACTTCTTATATTGCTCAGAAGTCCACAGAGGCACAGACTTTGATTCTATTGTAAATAAGCCTGGTTCTTCCACTGCGAGCGATGCAATATGTGTCTGCCGGTGCAGTTACAACGCGTCGGCCACAGGGTGAGTGTTGCTTGACTTCTTATATTGCTCAGAAGTCCACAGAGGCACAGACTTTGATTCTATTGTAAATAAGCCTGGTTCTTCCACTGCGAGCGATGCAACATGTGTCTGCCGGTGCAGTTACAACGCGTCGGCCACAGGGTGAGTGTTGCTTGACTTCTGATATTGCTCAGAAGTCCACAGACTTTGATTCTAATTGTAAATAAGCCTGGTTCTTCCACTGCGAGCGATGCAATATGTGTCTGCCGGTTCAGTTACAACGCGTCGGCCACAGGGTGAGTGTTTCTTGACTTCTGATATTGCTCATAACTCCACAGAGGCACAGACTTTGATTCTAATTGTAAATATGCCTGGTTCTTCCACTGCGAGCGGTGCAACATGTGTCTGCCGGTGCAGTTACAACGCGTCGGCCACAGGGTGAGTGTTGCTTGACTTCTTATATTGCTTAGAAGTCCACAGAGGCACAGACTTTGATTCTAATTGTAAATAAGCATGGTTATTCCACTGCGAGCGATGCAATATGTGTCTGCCGGTGCAGTTACAACGCGTCGGCCACAGGGTGAGTGTTGCTTGACTTCTTATATTGCTCGGAAGTCCACAGAGGCACAGACTTTGATTCTAATTGTAAATAAGCATGGTTCTTTCACTGCGAGCGGTGCAATATGTGTCTGCCGGTTCAGTTACAACGCGTCGGCCATAGGGTGAGTGTTGTATCTCGCAGTACACGTGACGCTGATTTGCAACCTGTTAAGGTGGCAGTTTGTGCTGCGAGACCGCGACCGTTACTTGACTTAATGTTGTAAGACTTAAGGCAAATAAATAATGGATGATGGATTTCAGGGAAGAGCTCTTTGCAGTAATTCAACATTCAAGTAGTTATTCTGCAGTGTAAACTGCAGAATAACTGCAGTGCAAAATTTGAATTTTTATTGTTTTTGAACCATAAAGGATAGATATCCTTCTAGATAGATAGTAAAGCAGATGCTTTTATGGACCTTTTTAAAGCCTACTTGCATAAATAAATGAGTTTTATGAGTTTGTACATAATAGGGATNATCTTTACAATGTAACAAATTTTGCCTAGCATCTTGTTGAGCTTTTTGTAAACGATATTTAAGTTCCTTGGGATAGTCATCAAAATTGTATAATGGATCTACATGCTCTGATAAGTTACTTGGTAAATTACAAACTTTGCCAAAAACAAGTTCATATGGAGTATATTTTGTTTGTGAATGTACACTAGTGTTAAAAGAAAAACACCAAAATGGAATCCAATCACTCCAATCAGACTTATTATTTTCGCATTGAATTCTGAGATACGCACCGAGATGCTTGTGTGTGTTTTCTAAACCACCTATAGTCTCATGATGATACGGGGTTGAATGGATTTTTACTATATTTAGTAATTTGCAAACTTCAGACATAACGGAAGATGTAAACTCAGTTCCCTTATCACTAATAAACTGTTTCGGTACTCCATAGCGTAATATAAAGTTGTTTACAAAACTCCTAGCTACTGTTTCACTATCTTTCCTTGGCAGAGGATAAGCCTCAACGAATTTGCTTAAATCGCATTGAATAGTTAAAATATATTTGTTATTATAATTATCTATNCTTCTAGATAGATAGTAAAGCAGATGCTTTTATGGACCTTTTTAAAGCCTACTTGCATAAATAAATGAGTTTTATGAGTTTGTACATAATAGGGATGTTTCCTGGGTCAAAAAGCAAGAGTTTTAATTAGTCCGTCAGTTAACTTATCAAAAAATACTCTACACGTATTTTTCACTTTTACAAACTAATGAAAATTTAAAGAGACAAAGCGCGCCAAAGTTCATAAGAAGAGGCCCGTGACGTCAATGCTTGCATAAAAGTGCCGCACGTTGTGACGTCGTGCGGAACTTCAACGCACCATAATGTAATTATTTGTTAGACTAACAAATAAAAATATATGTGTCCAATATTTTTTGATATTAAACATGACGGACTAAAAAAATTTTTTTAGGAAACTAGCCTATTCCGTTTATAATCCAGATTCCAGATGCTTCCCACATTAGCCTGTTCTGCTACGGTGTCTAAAACAACTAATTTTCCCCTTGCAGTGTGTAGAGAACGTGTCCCGCTCCAACTGCCCGGTGTGCTTAGAAGACATCCACACGTCCCGGATCCCGTGCCACATCCCGGACTGCGGGCACTTGCTGCACCGGCCCTGCTTCGAGCAGCTGCTGCATTCGGGACACTACGCTTGCCCTACCTGCCAGACTAGCATGATTGATATGTCCAATGTAAGTAATCTACTGTAGAATAAGAGTAGGCGCACACCGTTGATTTTTAGTTGGCCGATAGTTGTGCCCGATTTTAATTTGTATGAAGAATCGGCCAAATCGTATCGGCGTAGTGTGCGCACTCCCATACATGCCCATACTGATCAACTGCCCGACTAAACTATCGGCCGACGAAAAATCAACGGTGTGCGCCTACTCTAACTCAACAGTAGCCGTATTCACGTAACAAAACTTCAACGACATGCAAACGATTTGATCGCTGGAGTCACTTTTCGTATTCACGTGTTTATCGCCCGATTTTGTTTCGATTTCGTTTTTATGCGTATTCAGTCGTAGCCTCCGCGGTATTCACGTATTACCTATTTTGAAGTTTGGTTCAAGTGATTAAACGTCAAATGACTAATCGCTGAACTGCGATCCTATCGAGTAATCGTTCTATCGATTTAGAACTGTTTTTCAATAGGACGACTTCTAAACGTCAACGAGATTGAATTAAGCCAAAGGTTATTTGTATACTGACCACTGCAGAAGGGTCTTGCCCTTCCAATTTCCTTTGTCGTTTTCAACCATAAGACGTCTCTTCTGGAGAAATCTTTGTTGTGCCGGTAGGGTTAAAGTAATACTGGGACTTATAAGAGCTTTTTAAAAGCCTACTTGCAAAATAAATGAAATTTAATTTGAAAGGCCACCTCGCAGTGATGCCGAAACAATACTGGGATACAAGTGTGTTTTTCGATATTTGTGCTACTTAGGAAATAATAAATAAATAAAAGTTTATTTAACAACTTTAACATATTACATTGCATTGTTGTACATACTTTTCCTTAAAGACCCGTTTAATGCTAAGGTTGTATCGACATACGCTTCAGTTCATAAAGTAACTGAGATTTCTACGCTAGGCTAAGCCTGTCACAAGTTAACAAAAATATTTATATCATACGCGACCTTTTTCAATGCACCCTAAAAACACGGTTCAAGAAAGGCATTATTTATTTATTGATTGTATTATTCTCTTCCAGTTATGGAACTACCTGGACTCAGAAGTAGCAGCGACGCCCATGCCTCCAGAATATGCGGACTACAAAGCAACGATATTGTGCAAAGACTGTCATAAGGTAAGTGATAGCAAAACTCTGTTTATAGATGACCCACGCTGAACTGTCCCACCAAACTCAATGACAGGGGGGCGCTACCATCGTTCAACTGTATGGTTTCCAGCATGGCAATAATCGGAACCAGCGCTGTCAATGTCATGGATAGGACAGTTCAGTATTTTGGAACTATCTATATGTTTCAACCATAACACGTCCAATGTTGGACAAAAACCTCCCAAAAGTATTTGCACAACGAACGGTACTAAGCAGCCATCATGGAAACCTTTAGTAGGCGCACACCGTTGATTTTTAGTTGGCCGATAGTTGTGCCCGATTTTAAATTGTATGAAGAATCGGCCAAATCGAATCGGCGTAGTGTGCGCACTCCCATACATGCCCATACTGATCAACTGCCCGACTAAACTATCGGCCGACGAAAAATCAACGGTGTGCGCCTACTCTTAGCATTGTCGGTACATCGAGAGGGAGGCCTGTCCACAAAGTCCACACACAACTATTTGTTTTTTTTTACCATTTTGTAAGGTCCAAAAAAATACTTACAAATTGTTATTTTTCTTTCAGTTGTCCACTGTCAAGTTCCACGTGGTAGGACTAAAGTGCCAACATTGCGGGGCTTACAACACGTGCCAAACCAATGGATTCCACAAGTAAGTTTCATTTGATTCTATGAACCTTTTATAATTAATTTTCGCCAGTCTACTTTGAACCTTATGGCTTTGTCTTCACGTCTATAATTGCAAATTGTTTTGAGTATCACACATTATCGCAATATACATAGCTGAATAGACAACTAGTTTTTCTAAATAGACCTACCTAACCTTATGTTAGAGCTAGATATGTAATGCTAATGTCGTTTAGCTAATTAATATTATATTTAATTTAATTATTCGATATCAATTTTTTTAATCGATTTGTAATTTGAAAATTATAAATAACTTGAAAAAATCCCTTAGTATTTTTTTTTATGCACAACGAGGAAGCTCTTGGCCTGTATCTCACCTGATGGTAAGTGACGATCAGGCCGAAGGTGGAAGCGAGCTTCACCCGGAATCCTCAACCACGGAGGAACTGGCTATCTTACCTCTAACTGCCGGAGTAGCCTTAGGCAGTTCGATTTTTTCAAGTTATTTATAATTTTCAAATTAGTTTGAGATGCGAGTCTTAACGCTAAAAATTAAATAATCGATTTTGTACTCGTCAATNAGTTACAACGCGTCGGCCACAGGGTGAGTGTTGCTTGACTTCTTATATTGCTCAGAAGTCCACAGAGGCACAGACTTTGATTCTATTGTAAATAAGCCTGGTTCTTCCACTGCGAGCGATGCAACATGTGTCTGCCGGTGCAGTTACAACGCGTCGGCCACAGGGTGAGTGTTGCTTGACTTCTTATATTGCTCAGAAGTCCACAGAGGCACAGACTTTGATTCTATTGTAAATAAGCCTGGTTCTTCCACTGCGAGCGATGCAACATGTGTCTGCCGGTGCAGTTACAACGCGTCGGCCACAGGGTGAGTGTTGCTTGACTTCTGATATTGCTCAGAAGTCCACAGACTTTGATTCTAATTGTAAATAAGCCTGGTTCTTCCACTGCGAGCGATGCAATATGTGTCTGCCGGTTCAGTTACAACGCGTCGGCCACAGGGTGAGTGTTTCTTGACTTCTGATATTGCTCATAACTCCACAGAGGCACAGACTTTGATTCTAATTGTAAATATGCCTGGTTCTTCCACTGCGAGCGGTGCAACATGTGTCTGCCGGTGCAGTTACAACGCGTCGGCCACCGGGTGAGTGTTGCTTGACTTCTTATATTGCTTAGAAGTCCACAGAGGCACAGACTTTGATTCTAATTGTAAATAAGCATGGTTATTCCACTGCGAGCGATGCAATATGTGTCTGCCGGTGCAGTTACAACGCGTCGGCCACAGGGTGAGTGTTGCTTGACTTCTTATATTGCTCGGAAGTCCACANTTATGACTTGACCCCTCCACCCCCCCTCTCCCCAAGCCAGAAACTGGGTAAGGCTAGCCCCTTCCTCCAAACTGGGTATTAGCATCATATTATGTATTATTATGTTCAATACAAACAATCATTAAGTTACACTCACCCCAACCGCGTCTCCGCATTGCATCGAATCCTATGAAAATGTGGTTTTTGGACATAGCAATACTTATTTTTCACAATTTTTATTTTTTTAAATTACTGGTCGATAGGTTACTTTATTTTGAAGAATAAATGTTATTAAAAGTTTTTTTCTAAAACTGACAGTTTAGCCGGAAAAAAATATTTTCAATCCCATTAGTACGCCGGCAGCGCTCGATTCGGATATAATGACGTCACGCGGCCTTGCGTACGTTGACTTTTAGCGGCAAAAACGGCCTATGTTTATTACTTAATATCTTCGTAAGTAATGGTCCGATTTGGATAATTCAAAAAGATATGTCTTTCTTATGTCTTAAAGATTAACGTAGATACTAGTTTTATTGAATTTTCTACAACAGTACTGATCCTCATTCAACTGATAGATAAAAAGGTTTGATATAATATGTTTGTTTGTCCCGTATGCTAAACCATTCACCCGATTGCTATGAAACTTTGGTGAGTTTGTTGTCAATGTTAGATTTTGTTGTAATAATGCAACAACAAAATTGTAGTAGTTTTTGTGATTTGCATGTCGTCTGTACCCTTATTGTTCTTCTTCAAAACTCCGTCAATCGCTGGACAATCTTATTAAAAAAACTAAAACATAGATTATGTAACCTTAAAAATTTATTTTGATCTGTGTTTTACTGTGTTTACCATGAGTTAACGTGATGAATGAAGATTTTAGTTCTTAAAAGTAGCCGCTAGGGGGGCTGTACAATCTGTCATACATTTAATGTCATTTTTTACGCAGTCGCTAGCCTGCACACAAAATGTATACTCATAGTAAGCACAGTATTTTGACGGATTTCGATTGGACTTAGTGCTAAATCGCTTAGTCGCTTCTTACGACATACCCAGGAAGAGTGGGGGTGGTCCTATTCTAAAGTCTGGTCGTCGAGCGATAAGGATGGGTAGCTTGGGGTCATTGGACGAAATTCTACGTGTTTGGCGACCAGACTATACAACAGTCTCACCTTTCACCTTCAGTCGGCCGTTTGGTGTAGTGGTTCAGAACGGACCACTATGCCTAGAGGTCCCGGGTTCGATTCCCGGCCGGGCAGAAATTGAAATGATGAATTTTAATTTCTGTGACGGGTCTGGGTGTGACTATGTATAATATTTATGTATTTAAAAAAAAAGTATATAAGTAGTATATCCGTTAAGCTAGCACCCATAACACAAGCATTAAGTTGCTTACTTTGGGGCTAGCTGGCGCTGTGTGAAATTGTCCAAAGATTTATTTATTTATTTATTTCTAACTTCTAGTAACTTTTTTTTACTAGAGAGAGCAGCAGCAGCAGTTCCGAAGCCGACTCCTCCACATCGACATCGGGCGCGTCCCGCAGCCGGTCCGGGTCGGCGGGCGCCATAGAAAACGCCGCGGGGCCCGCGGGGACCGCGGAGCTTCCGCGCGCCAACCCCATGGACGAGCCGCCGCAGGCCTGACCAATACGCAGGTACCGCCGCCACCCGCCGCGCCCGCGCCGATAGCAAGGCGGTAGGACGAAAGTTACTACGGTAGATTAAAAATACTAGTTGACGCCGTAAACCAATTTCAAGATTTCAAACTCCATTGTGTCTATTTGAATACTCGATACTAGCAAAAGCAGCGGTACCGCCGCTACCCGCCGCGCCAGCAGACGAAAGTTTGCTAGTTGATGGGTAGATTGAAAGTGGTAAAGTCTGGTCGTCGAGCACGTAGAATTTCTTCCAATGACCCCAAGCTACCTATCCTTATCACTCGCGCGTAATTATATCGCTGTCGCGACTGTGCGACGGGCGGCAGCAATGAGTGTGCGAGCGCGACAGCAATATAATTACGCGCGAACGATAAGGATGGGTAGCTAGGGGTCATTGGACAAAATCCTACGTGCTCACGGACCAGACTATAGTTGATGGGTAGATTGAAAGTACTAGTTGACGCCATTAATCAGTTTCAAGATTTCAAACTCCATTATTGTGTCTATTTGAATACTCACTCCACAGTGTCTCTTTAAATAGTCGACATTGGCAGGTAACGATGCTACCCGCAGGCGATAGCAAGACGGTAGGACGAAAGTTTGCTAGTTGATGGGTAGAGTGAAAGTGGTAAAGTCTGGTCGTCGAGCACGTAGAATCCCGTCCAATGACCCCAAGCTGCCCATCCTTATCGCTCGCGCGTAATTATGTTGCTATCGCGCTCGGAGCTTCCGCGCGCCAACCCCATGGACGAGCCGCCGCAGGCCTGACCAATACGCAGGTACCGCCGCTACCCGCCGCGCCCGAGGCGATAGCAAGGCGGTAGGAAAGAATAAAGATTGCTAGTAGATTAAAAAATAATAGTTGAGCGACGGCAGAACGAAAGGTTACTACGGTAGATTAAAAATTCTAGTTGACGCCATAAACCAATTTCAAGATTTCAAACTCCATTGCGTTTATTTGAATACTCGATACTAGCGAAAGCAGCGGTACCGCCGCTACCCGCCGCGCGCAAGGCGATAGCAAGACGGTAGAAAGATGCTACTTGATGGGTAGATTGAAGATAGTTGACGCCGTTAACCAATTCATGACTTCAAATTTCACTGTGTCTAATATAAGATTTTAAACTTTCGCGTTCCATTTCAACCAAAATATTAAGACACGGGTCTTAACGCTACGTTTATTAATGAGTTACATTATGTACTCACGGCTTGACGTTTCGGCTGCGATGCTGCAGCCGTGGTCACAAGCAGACTGGCGGCTCGCGGCGTCGTCCGTTCGGGCGGGCTTCACTGTGTCTATTTGAATACTCGACATTGGCGAATAAGCAGGTACCGACGCTACCCGCCGCACCCGCGGCGATAGCACGACGGTAGAACAAAAGTTTTCTAGTTGATGGGTAGATTAAAAAAGTACTAGTTGACGTTATTAACCAATTTCAAGACTTTTGAAGTCCATCGTGTCTCTTTACCATTAACTAATTTCAAGATAAACTCCATTGTGAGAGATAGTGATAAATAAATAACTCGACATTGGCTCGTTTTCATTTATTCAATGGAGAATCAGCATTGAATAAGCTCATAAAAGAAAACAGATTTGGTTTGTGGAGTCAACTATCAACTAACTAAATAATGAAGTGACTGAACGCTTAAATTCGTAGCTTACCAAGGTGTATTTGGTACGCAATTTATATTGTAATATATTACTTATAAAATAAAATATGTATAAAATTAAACGTAGGCATCCAAAATATGCCAAAAAGGCTACCAATTCAGCATTATACTGTTTACATTTGGATGTTAAATAGATTTCTTGTATAAAAAGTTGAAATAATATGTATAATTATTATTAATGGTTAAAGTTTAAATTAGGTATTATCCAAAAGTTTGCCAAAAGGCATCACACTTGATCAACCTTACGGCGCTGGTATTAGAAAGTAAGCTACTTTGATGAGTTTACGTCATATTTCCAAGTCAAATAACTGTAAAAATATGTATTTCAAACACTTGTAGAAAGAGTCAAGAGAAGTCTATTCGATAAAAATAATAACAAATGTATAAAGATGGTATTTTTGTAATTAATAGAGATAATTGTAATTAATAAAAACATATTTTGTTCCTTATTTGTCATCAAATATCTATATCCCTTCATTTGGCAAGACACAAATTGTTTGATTTTTTCAATAAAATCTATTTAGACCTAATTGTTACTATCAAATAAAGTTAAGAAAAATAGTAAAAAAAATATTTGGTTGGTATTTTCGCGAAAAACGATTGTTGCTTATTTACCACATTGCCAAATAGGGGTACTTAAATAAAACATTGAGATATATTATAGAATTATTTTTTTTATATGAAAATCCTAAAAAAATCAATCGTATTTCACATTTTATGCATTAAACTTTTTTTTGGCCATTTTCGCAAAGTCGACAATAACCTTTTTCTTAAACATTTGATAGATGACGTATGTCATCATGCTTCACGATCAATATGCCGAGCCAAGGTTGGCTTTTTATTTTTTCTTTAGCTTCTGAAACTGGTATGTTACCGTTATCTGCTATAGTTGTTGACTTCAACGCAAGAAAAATGTGTTTATCATTTAAATTAGTTCAGTGGTATAAGCGTGAAGACAGACAACACAGAGACAGACGGCAAATTCTTCCTCTCTCCTAAAATGCTGTGCCCGACAGGGTCCATAATTGCATCCAAAGTAATTACCATACCATCTCTGTAACATTATTCATGTAATACATGATTGATTTATTGGGTATTGACACTCTTTTGTATTGACAAAAAGCTAAACCTATTTTGTTAGATGTTTGGCACTGATGCTTCTAGGCAACATCGAGGTTCGGAAGCATGTCATGTATTAGAAAACACAGTTTCTACGCCAAATATTGCTTTATATGATTAGTTTGATTTATTATGAATAAAATTTAGACAAAACAAAAACAATTAGAGATCATAAAATAGTACAAAATCATAAAACTTCCGTCTTTGTTATTCTCATTGCGCGTCATCTTGGCGTCTGACAGAAATATGGATATGAAATCACTTAAAACTCAGTCGACGACCGATTTACTAGTGTTTTGCTGAACTAAGCTTCGTAACAAAATCGAATGATTTGCACAAAACTTATTATATGGTGCTGTAGAAATATTCAAAGTGGTTGTTGCTTAAAAGCATCACTGCCAAATGAAGGGCTATAGTTACCACTTTTTTTTTTACTGTCGTAAATTAGATATTTTGTGACGGCATAAAAAACATTCAATTTCAAACTCAAAATTATAAAATTACGGAGCAGGAGACTCTAAAATGAAGTTGTTAAATAAGTTAGTTCTTATATCATTGTTATAATATCGCCAACTATATTTTTGCTCACGTATAAAATTAATAGTTTCGCTAACCTATGTGATTATGAAGCTTAATATAGCTAATATAATGTAGTTATATTTTATGTTTATTATTGTAAATATAACGAAAAAACGCAGCAAACTATCTGCCTATTAATATTGGTATGTAAATAACAGTTTAGATTTAATTAACATATTATTATAAATAGTTTATGTTAAATATAGTTAGTTGTAATTAACACTCAAAGATTTCAATGAAGGAAGTGCCCAAGTATGATTTAATAAGCTCAATAGCTTAGATGAGACATCGTAAATATAACCAACACATAATTAACGAAATTACACAATGTGCCAACAATCACTCCTTAAAATGTAACGTAACAGCCTAAAATGACGTGTTTACTGTCAAACAGAGTCAAGAGAAGTGATGGTCCTTCGAGCCGGATGAAAGTAAGTGACTTGATTATGAGCTAAAATTAAAACTAGTCATTTCTTGCATTGAAGCAGTTGTCCATCTGTTCATTTCTAATCGCAATGTAATACAGGGTGTTAGGTAAATGGGTATATGAGCCGACACTAGCCCATGTTAACACATGCACATAAATGGTATGGTGAAGTCAGAAAATTGATATAAAATAAGAATATTGTAGTCTAATCTAAAGTTATAGTTAGAGCTAGTTATGATAACATACAATTTCGAAACTTCTCAATAAATTCTTCTAAAAAAAATGACACGCGCAGAAAGTCGTATTGCTGCAAACAATAATAATAATGCATTATTATTTTGTGTTCGTTCGTTCAGCAATTTATATTTTGATAAAAAGTGGAAGACGTAGCGTGGGACCCTGGAGGTACTGACTTACATAACCAATAGCTTAATTAAATCGGATGATTTAATCTTTATTAATTAAAATTAACGCTGTGAAGTTACATTAAAATACTTATGATATTAATTGTATCGATAAAATTAAGCTTTGGATTAAGAAAATAAAGTTATTTTGAATGTATTTTTGTATCTTATGCACTACTTACGTTCCTATGTGTTTTAACTTTTCTTACTCCACTTTTATGTATAGTGAGTGTGAGATAGTTTGATTTTTTATTATATCGAATATAAAAACACTATTTGGTTAAATTTATTTTGTTGATATTAAATTTATTTTGTGTAAAATAAAGCGCAAGTCAGTTTTCTTTAGCGACAATACAGTGCAGCTTAAATCCATATAATTTCCTTATTATCAGGTTTCAAAGTGAACTTAAATTTTCTTGTCCTACTCGATTTGAATTTGATTGCTAAAATTGAGCTTTGTGTAGTTCTGAAATATCTCTCTCGTTTTGAAGCTCGATGAACTGTGAAGAATTAGCTAAACAACAAAGTAATATTTTTGTGGAAGTCATTTTCATACAAAATATAATATTTAACTAATAAACTTGGCATAATAAAAATCGTACTTTGTACATATTTAAATAAGCTGTTGGTAATTTTGAACTAGATTTCGTAATTTAGGATAAGCTGTTATGTAATACCTTGTAAAATAAAATGTGTACTATGTATTTGTAATTTAACATTACTATAATGATACATTATTATGTGTTAAATGTAATATTAATTTCATTAAGAATCTTAAACTACTACAACACGTAATGTAAGTCTTAGGCCCAGAACAGACGGTGAAACGCAACTGCAACGAAACTGAAACTTTCTGATGAATGAAACTGAAACTGAAAGTTTCAAACTGGTCGTGTCATGTGTGGTCTCTCAACGGACGCTATGGCAGAAACTTAGATGCAACTCAAAAGTAACTAGCAGTTGCAGTTTCGTTGCAGTTGCGTTTCACCGTCTGTTCTGGGCCTTACGTTGCGACCAACTTATCTGTGAAGCAGTTCAAAATGGAACTAAATATCTAATGCTCGTTTTCACCATCAATCCCAAATTTTTAAGTGACCCCTATGGTAACACAAAGAATTTTGATTTCATAGGGGTCACTTAATAATTAGGGATTGATGATGAAAACGGGCATAAATATTTATATTGCCATCTTAAACATTTATTGGTGAGTATAACTTGAGAACGGCTGGACCGATTTGGAAATACCGTGTGAGCCTTTGACTCGCAGATACGTTGGTAGAGTAAATAATAATTTCCATATAAACATTATTATTACCTTTTTATTCAATGCTGAATATATTGAGGTATTGATTTTTTTTATTGTCCTAGAGCAATAGATAAGCCTGTTTCTTTACGTTGTGTATCAACGTACATATTGTATTTGTGTTTGTTGATTTATAACAAAGTTGTCGGAGATGTTGTTCCCTTCTATTATTTTATGCGTTGAATACAAGCAAATTAAACGATATATCGTTGTTTCATTTGGTTAAGTGTAATAGAAAACTAGACTAACTGAATTTCCTTATACAAAAAAAGAAATCTAGAAATTTTAAAGTAGGTTAATAGAATCCAATTTGTTTACAAGTTCGAATCCTTGTTAGATTTTTATACGCATTACCAATAGGTTAAAAATGAGCTCTATCCATATTGGCAAGATACAATAAAACTACAACATGCTTGGCAAAATAATTTATTATAATACAAAAATCTCATTTTACTATACAAATAATAATAAAGTTACTTTTCCCAAAGTTGTTCAGGAATGATTTGGGAATGTATATTTAAGCAAGCACACAATTATCATAATATACATATTACGTAATACAATTTTATGTACAAAGGAACTTGAAATTAATATTTTACAAGCTATTACAAATTAATACAATATGGATATTTTTTTAAAGGATAATACTTAAATAATAACACATGTAAATGATCATACACGCTTGATATTGTACTGGATATCTTATTAATATTATACGAAAGCTTGTTTTCGCTACACGGTTATCAAAAGCTACAATTTTAAACGTTCAAAAGTCCTGAGCAAAAGTTACGATTGAGCTCAAGATGTTATACAAAAGTACGTAAGTATTCAAACATCAGATATGAAACAATTATTTATTACGGACCTACTGAGATCATAGTTGTAGCACTACAATACAATGACAACGTAAGGGCTGTTTTCCACCAAAGCGTATAGTCCAACGATTCTGAAACGTCAAGTGGGAAAATAACTATCCAGTATTGATAGTAGCGCCCTCCGTATCATAATAATTATAAAGTCCAACGTGGCAAAAATCGGAACTAATAATCTAGTACCTATAGATAGTAGCGCCCTCCTAAAAATTTCATAGCTAGGACGGTCCATTGTTGGACATCTATAAACGAGTGTGTTAAGCAACTAATAGAATTTACTTATTAAGTCGTACCAGTTGAGCTTCACTGGAAATGGTTAAACAGAGCTCCGCTCCGCTTTGGTTCATGTTGCCTGCTCGCCATTCGTCTGAGCTTTGGTGGGACACAGCCCTAACTTACAATACATCTCTGCGTAAATTTTAAGCTAATTTTAGGCAACAATCTGAAATCAATAGGTCAATTTTATTCTCAAAAATTCGCTATAAGTTCTCAGTAGGGTATTTCTATAAGCTGTAAAAATTGACTGATGATTTATTTATCTGGAATTCATACATTATAAGCACTCGTAGTTAAACCAATATTTCTAAAACCTAGTATTGTAATGAACACGTTTAATTACAAGCATTTATTTATTAAAGATATTACATGATTTACAACTTTGTAAGTAATATGGCTCTTCTCATAAAAGGATTCCTAAAAATGAGATCAGTTGATCAGCACTCGTGTTGTTCACATTAAAATTATTTATTTTACAAATAAAGTAAGCCTGCTTATGTTTAAACAAACATTCGTTTATCAAATACTCGAATAAGTAAATAACGTATTTCTCAATGTAAAAACATTTAGGAAATGCTACGCTACGTATAGGCAGCAGTGGTCTTATACTTACCTACTCATATTTTACTAATTTATAAGCTTAAAAAAGCACCAATGATTAATAGTGCCGTGGCAATAAACAATAGTAAAAGTGATTTAGATACAACAACAAGAATAAAATAATCTCTGTATAGCTTAAAGATAAATTAAAACGCACAATTATATTATTATGATATCTAATTTACGTTAACGATGAGCAATAGCTCAGTTCTGATATCGACAGACAGATGGCGTTTCATAACTTCATATTAATAAAGACAAAGTTTCCACCGCCTAGGCAAACCCAAGACAATCGCAAATAGTCGGTTGAAAATCTTCTACATGTTTTTGTAAAATTTGAATTACCTAAATCTGATTTCAGCAGAGCGATTTGCGTTAGCTGGGAAATTGGTTTTTAACAGCTAGGCTAGAATTAACGGAAAATATCGTTCACATTAGTAGGGCTTTAAGGTACAGTGAGCGTCAAATAGTTCGTGACACCCAAAGTGACCAAAAATGACACAATCTTATTCCAATAGGCTAGATGACAAAATTTCAATTAGCTACACCGGTCAACAAAAAAAAATTTTTTTTTGCGCATGGATTTTACTTATTATATTCTGATTAAATAAGCAAATGTATATAAAAAAGTGCGATTACAAATCGAAAATATTTGCTTTTTAAGAAGTTACAGCGATTTTAATTTTCCATCTTCATAGTAGAATGTCTCTCGAGATGCACGTCACATTCTCATTGGGATATATTTATAAATAATTATGGGGGCTTATTCGCAAGAACAAGGGGCACGCTTTCATCAAAATATAGTTTGACAAACGACGTTACCAAGGCCAGTATACTAAAAGCATGATAGGGTTAGATTTTTATGAAAAAAAAAAACTTCTATGGAACATGACAGGAAATTAGAACTTTTCATTTTTAATAAATATTTGGACTCTATTTTAATTTTTCTCTTGTGAGAATGAATCTTAAATGGATGTTTGTTATGTTTTAATAATTAGAAAGAAAGAAAGAAAAAAAAATATTTGGCAACAAATTACATCATCTCTATGTTCATGTTTCATACATTCATTGATATGAATTTTTCTATTTTTTGCACATAAAAGCAAATTCAGAACAATTTTTTGTTGTTATTCTTGTTTCTAGGTTATAAAGCAATAAAAATAAGCTATGCATAACCCGTGCGCAAAAATACTGTAGACAGTTGTTATTTGTCTGTCAGACAGATAATTAGAAAATATTAGACTCACATTTTTTATTTTCTTTCATAATTACATAATAACAGTGCTACATCGAGTTGAAATGGCGCGATACGTCACGCTTGAATAGAATTTTTACTCAAAAGTGACGTCACGCGACATTTCAACTCAATATAATACTGTAATTATTCGATTATGAAAAAAATTTAAAAATATGAGTCTAATATTTTCTAATTATCTGTCTGACGGACTAAATAGAATTTCGATTGCATTACCCAGGCATCATCCCTATTGTAACAAAGACGTGTTGCGAACTTATTGGCTACTTTGGGTGTCACGACATTGGCTGTACAAGACAATCGATACGCTAAAGAGCATGACTGTCTCTCCGCGACATTTATTTGCGCCTGCGCCGTTCGCGGTCGTATTCTAACTCCTTTAGCTAAATACATTTTAATAGCAAGCAATCAGCTGGACAAAGTCGATTAAAAGCGGCACCAAAGTTAATCCCTTCGTTGATAAGGGCCACGTCAAACTTACGTCATCAATTTTACAACACCGATAAAATGAAATTACTGTTATCAGTAGATAGTGTTCAATAGAAGTATCTTTAATTGATAATCTCTTTATTTCTTATTATATGGAAAGAATCAAATAAGAACTATAAAAATAACGTCAGTGGAAAGGAAATTAAGCTAAAGCGCCAAATTCAAAACAACATTCTAGCCAAATATCTTTCAAAAAGTAGGATTAAAAACTGCACAGTGTTTTAAAACACGAGCAAAACATTAATAAGCGACCTTGGTTGTAGTTATAGCAAACGTGATAGCAAAACAAGATTACGTGACTTCAAAAACAATTACCTACAATTAAATTGTATCGTAAATTATCAGTTTCTATTGATATAAACATTTCGCAGTCTCCTTCCATTTAATAAGGAATAAAAGATATTTACTGACTTAGGAATCGAAGTTTTCCTTTCCTTATACTGCACTATCGAATACGGAGTGTCGGAAATACTTATAAAGGGCGAAAAAATTCGTGTCTAAATGGAATGGAATTCGTGTACAAAGGCGTAATATCCTTTGTCTGAGTAGTGTAGTGTCGAAGTTATGTCGATATTCAGTAGTGTCGGAGTAACATGTCGAAGTAAAGTTTGTCGGAGTTTGTTTAGGTAGCCCTTGAAAACAATCAAGTTGATATTCAATAGTGTAAGATGTTATGATCAGACCTGCTTTAGTTTTGTACCATCATCTTATTTTTAACTTTAACTTATCTGATACAGGGTATTCCAAGCAAAGTTGTTCTTATAACAAGTACATATCTATCAATCGATTCAATATTAGGTACGTTTCTATTCAGTATGCATACGCATGGAAGTATTTCTTTGTTCATTCTGCAATATCAGCATTTATTGTGAACTGGTTTTATACTGCTTACTTCAGATTATTATAATTTTAAAATTTTAAGTTTTTTAGCTTAAACATTTTACTTAGTAGGCGTCCAAAAAGACAACCAGCCTCATAAAATTATTACTTAACAGGCAACACTGAAAGCGCGATTACCTCTTACACTGGCAACATTAGCTGGAATCGTCTGGAACACTGGTGGTCTGTTTTGTCTATGGCAACTCATGGAACTCAAAGTCTGTGTACAACTGCTCGACTCGCCTGTATACCTCGTCGCACGACATCAGTGTCTGAGGAAGGATGGCCATAGCTGCGGTCAGGCTCTCTTCAGACCCGAATATCTGGAATTTAGAAATTATACTCCGTTAAATACGATCATAAAGAAATGCGGTATAATGACATTATAGTGCAGTTTCCAAATATTCCAGTTAAACTGCGTAAATAAATGTCAATTTCCGAAACACCCTGTCACCGTCACTTTAGCTATCGCTACGCTTTGCGTGAGAGGAATGGTAATATTCGAAACTCTTCGAATAACGTTTTTCGGTTCGGAGTAACCCCGCTAATTTTGTAATATTTTATGATTCAATATTAATAGAGATTTTTTACTATGGTAGCTAAATGCAGAAAATTAGACGGTACACACGTGTATTGAGACATTATTAAATTGCTCTATTATTGTCTTCAGTCGCCTTTAATTGAAAAGCGTGTAGGGAATTTAATATGGCTTGTGCTAAGTGTTTTGACATTGAAAAGAGTGAACTTCATGGCTACAACCAATATTCATTAATACTTTATTGATACCTAAATGAACACTACAATATATTAAATCGATAAAAATATCTATACTTTTTTTACATGAACATCCTTACTATACAGGGTGTTAGGTAAATGGGTATATGAGCCGACACTAGCCCATGTTAACATGGTCATATAAATGGTATGGTGAAGTCAGAAAATTGATATCTTCATTTTTATTATTTTATTTTTCATACAAATTATTAAGTATTTTATAAAATTTATTTTGTATGAAAATTAAAAATTGATCATATTTTTGAATAACACCAACTTGAAAAATGTATCATTATCAAGTGATTACAGTGATGTAATTGAGATAAGTAAACATAGGAAATTGGTAAATCCTTATCAGTGGGGGAGGACAATACCTCTGTGATAAATAGTGGGCTAAACGAAACTAAATATCAAGAATTGTTGGTCTTTAAAGAAAAAAAACATTTGAGTAGACCATACCATGAAAATTTCATACATAATTATGGATTATTTTATGTCAGTATCTCAGTACTATTATGCAGCACTGGACACGCGTCCATCTTACTAAAGACACCAAATTGTCGTTCTTTAATTACACTGGTCAACAGTGGTTTTGGTGCCAAGGAACTGTATATATTTTTTGATTGAGGACCTTATGCTGGTTGCTTTAGTAGCAAATTTTTCGATTTCCTACGTGTGGTTTTCTAGATTTTGACGTGTATAGAAAAATACAAAATTTCACCAAAATCAGCGTTTATAATATTTTGAAATGCTTAAAAACTTTATTTTCCACGACTTTTGTGAATGAGGTGTAATGGAACTATCACGTTACATCCTCCAGCAGTAATCAGCCATCATATAACGATCCCATTTGCTTTGGTACCTCTCTTCCAATGGTTTTTAGGTCTTGATAGCATCGCTCTCCCTATTCTTAGCTATAGCATGCTATAGTGACCCAAGATTCTCTGGGAATTGGTCTAGATGACTGTGGAGGTAGTGCTCTTTGATGAAAGTTATGACATCCTGAGTTTTTAAGGCATGTCTCACAATTTCAGAGTAGTTACTGGACTAGAGATTTCGGAAAAAAAATTGTAATTTCAATTAACAAAATCTATGCAAATCGTTCCAAATAGTCCATCGAACTTAAGAAATCAGTATCTTTTATTAATATTGTTATTTATGGACCATTAAAAATTACTTAATAAATTAATTTAAAAAAAATTATGCTCAAACTAGGATTTTTTTTTTTGTTCTTTCCTCACTTTCTCCACTCTGAACTTCATGTTCGGCTTCTTTGACCATTGTAACATTGCCTTAAGTGTTCACAGCAGATTATACAAACAATTTTGGGTATCCACGACTTGAATATAACTACAATTTCCGACTTAAAGTAAGAAAAATAAGCACTTTTAATGAAATATTGCCTGAATTTTTGAACTTTTTAACTGTGTACACACCACAAATGTAACAAAAATACATTCTGATTATTGAGACAACTTCTTGGCAATGTAGACATGATATTAAAATAAATGCATTTATAAAAATGTACCGATAACACTACAAACTGTGCAACCAAAATACCGAATAAAGCTAAATTTTAAAACTGAGGGTAGATCCAAAACTACACGTAGGAAAAAAAAAAGAAAAATATTTTTATTATTACTAATACACACCTAATAATAAACTATCAACAGAATCTCGGCACCATTTTCATTTTGATTTTTTGTTGACCAGTGTTATGTGTAGGTTATTGTGTGATTTACTAACATAGTTTCTAAGATCTTTGTTACTAACACTTTTATGGGCTATGCCTGAATTTTATTTTATTTTTATTTTACTATTATTAAATAGGAAAATCTCAATGTACACATTGGTATTTTGTCATAATTTAGAGTAATAAGATATTAAAAGTAATAACCTAATGATAATAAAAGTCATAAGTCACACATTCAATAGAATAACAATGTTTCTATTACTTAGAAGAGCAAACAAAAAACATTGATAACATTGTAATATTAAGATAAAATAATATTACAGCTAATTCAAAACATATCTATTACAAGCCTGAAATAATAAATGATACTTTAAGGACTTTTGATAAAAGTAGCAGGTGCAGAGTAGATATTTAAAATAATCTTTAGAGTTTATTTCTTAATATTAAAAAGTAAACAATTTGTCCTTTTTGCCCTTACTGTTTATTGAGGAATCTTTAGAAGTAAAATGATAACTTTACCTTTTTTAATAAATCTGGTCTAGATGGCAGTGCGTGCATGGCAAGAGTGGCGGCTTTACGGATGTACCACGGGTGGAACTCGGCTAGCGTTTCATTGTACGAGCCCTGGCACGTGTAGCAGGTGCTCATAGTCTCGTCACCTTCACTCAGCCGCTTCAAGAATAATCGGATGAAATCTGGACAAAGAAAATTGGTTAGTAAAAATCATAACTTAAAATGATGTGACTGGGATTCAAAATTAGGAGCTTTTGGGTCTAAAGTGATGTACCATGGTATAGCACTGTCGAGAAATACATTAGTAAAAGAAAAGCTTTACAAATAAGAATTTTATTTGAACAGGAAAACTTTAAGTAAACTCAATGATTCACACCTACCCAAGCCTCTATGCAATCGCAACATTGTCCGCGAGCCCGACACAAACCCGCTCTTGTCGTGGAGACTCGTTTCTTTCTCATACTTCATCATTTTCTTAAAAGACTCATAGTACACAGCAGTCTCCCCTTCCCTATGTTTCTCCATCACCTTAATCTTACTCTTTACGTCGCTACTCACGAACGAAAACACCGATCCAATCAGATTTAAGAACCTAAAACACCATTCAAGTTAGATCTTAAAATAATTAACATACGGAATTAGGAATTAGCTTAGTTTAACATACTTTACGAGTTCGTTGTATCCATCAATGTAAGCCTCAATGACGACATCGTCGTCTTCTTTGAGACTTCGCTGAAAACTCTGTTGCACATAGTGCAAATCTAAAGTGTTATCGTTCGACATAATTCTCTAAAATTAATCTAAATTATTTTTTAAAAATGCACAAAGAATACAACAGCAGATTCAGCTGCTTTCGATCAACTGACATCTGTTGTCAACGTCATATTTCATAAGCTTTTAATTGTCGTACATAGCTAAGACATCACATTATAAAGCTTACAAAATTTCAATTGAAAAATCTATTTTCAATTGAATGATTTGTGACCGGACTGACTGCATAGGTACATCACTAGTGACATTCATCAGCTGACATATCTTGGTTGTCAATTTCATAAAAAAAATGTACAAGGTCGTAAACAATGTGTGCTTTTTTGTTAAAATAAATAAATTCCGATAAATTTGCAATTGATTCAGTTCTGTACTTTTTGCTGGCGTGCTAATCTGGCGGTGTTTACAGTAAGTGCTTCGTATTTTACAATTCTTTCGCAATAATATGATGTATCACCGAACTTTTCGAGAGTTCTCAGAAATGGGGACTTTTTTACTATTTTTAGGTAGATGATAGTATTCTTAGCTTCATAAATTTGGTTCGTTTGCCGGTTTAGACTTGCTGAAAGTATTACATTGCTGTGTTTAGAGGTAAAATTGCGGAGAAAATATGCCGGGATATCGTCATAAATTACGGCGTATTCGGGGAAGCCCGACAAATTTGGCATGCCTTTGCGTCACAGTTGTTTTCATTAGCATTATCTCGACTGCTGTTTTTATCGACATCCTTTTTATTTTGCGCTGATAGCATTTGCATTCAACATGAAGTATATGTATGATGTACTTGCTTGTAAGAGTTCGGAAAAAAGATACGCCTATCTATGTAGTGAAGTGAACAGAGAACGCATTATCAGAAACTTTGGATTGTTAAATATTTGTGCAATAAATAAACAGGTTTGTTGTGGGCTAGTTTGTGACAAAGCTATTAATCAATAGACAGTGTGATATTTCTATTCATACAGTGTACTTCTTATTGTCTTTCCTTTTGTCACTTTTTTTTTGGTGAGTGGTTTGATTAAATGATACTTACTAACTATCCAGTCTCAAGGTTTTCCTAATGGTTTAGTAAAATAAAATGATAGCTAGGTATTTGAGCTGTATTGATACAGCTGAATAAAATATTTATTAATGTTAACTTCAATATGGTTTAAATTACACAGTTTAATGTAGGTAGGTAAAGTAGGTTTTCATTATAAATATCATTAGACATTATAATTATTATGAAAAAACTAGTAATTTAACACCATGTTGATTGTTATACTAATTGCCTATTGATTTCCAGATCAAAGCAACCTATTCTCTTATAATATAAATAAGCATTGGTATTTTTCTATCTGAATAGTCATGTTATTTGTTATAGCTTTTTCAGTATTATACAATATAGGAAAATATATACACACAAGATGCACAAATAGGAGCCAATAATTATTCCATTTTAAAATGCAGATTTTTAGAAACCAACGAAAAAACAGCCAGATGACTTAAATCTGACTCTTTCGTTGGATCATTGCCAGTTATTTGTTGGTTCGGTACATATTATGTGAATTGGCTTATGGATAAGCTTTCTTTATTGTAAATTAGGTACTTGTAATTAGTTAAGCTTTAAAATGTTCAGTCGCACAGATTTTTTTTATATTAAATTGAACACCAAATGGTTTATTGTTTTCTTTCAAGGTCACTAACATGAACTAACATTATATGGTAGCAATCTTATAAATAATAATTACACCAAATGCTTCAATAGGCAATTTATTATCTTCTCAAACTACAAAGCTGTAACATATTTATAAATTAGTTTCCTGACAACAAAACGATGTTGCGTTTCATCCACCTACAATATTTATTTATTTGAACACCAACAAGGTTACATTTTATGATCATATTAATATTGTAACCATCTCATTGTGTGCAGGTTGATGTACAAACATGGCTACCAATGTGGATAACAACGATGATGACTCCTTCATCATCCTCGGGACGTCTGCGGCCTCAAGTCTGGACGTGAAGTGTGGTCCAGTCAACGGAGATGTGCAGATGGACAAGTCTCACTTGGAGGATGCCTTGAAAGATCTCTCTGACGAAGCCAACATGGCATACAAGGCACATTTCCAGCTGGGTGATTGCGTGAGTAATTTTGAAGTATTTTATTCTGTAGAGTTACTTATTTTATTGCTTCATTCTGCATTGAATGTCATGTTCCGTTTGTGACAAAAACGTTTAATTTGGATTATGTAACTTTTTGTTATCTTACACTTCAAACCAATGAATACTTTGACATGGTATGCAAATGAACTAAGTATGTAATGTGAATAATTATTTAATCAATAAAATAAGAAATAACAAGACTAACAAACTCTGTAACAGGCCAATGAATTCATTGCGAAAGTAATTTAATTGCTGGTTTCATATTCATAGCAATTGAGACAAGTTTAAAACCAACTTAATTGCTTTTACAAGTTGTTAGTCTCTCATTTGTGGTTGAGAGACTTGTCCATTATAAGTTAATAGTTTAGAGATAATGCTGTTTAATCTTTTAGTAAGTGGCACCAGTGTGATACTCTGGAGACATAGGGTAGAAGTACCAGTTTCGGCCACTATAATTTTTTTTTGTGCCGGTTCTTTCTGCAATCAGTTGTCAGACTATGAACATATGTGCTGTCTTCCGTGCATAATTCCGTGGTTTCTTTTTAACCACGTAAATTTAAAATTTTTATAAGTAGTTACCTAATAATTTCACCTCATGTGGCCAATACAAACAGGTACAGTGGCTACAAAGGGGGGTACCTTATATTATTTATTCAAAATTTTTAAGATGTACGATTCTCTTGCTGTAACATTACGTGGTTCCGGACTTTACGTAACGATAACCCGTGACCCGTGACTCCCGTCCCGTGAGTCATTTCAAAGAATTTAAAATACATAATATTTTAATGACACACTTACCTATTTACCTACTTAAGTTATTTCAATAGATGATGTCCATACTTTGGAGATCCATTACTAACTTATTAAAAAAAATTGGTATTTGGAATAATTTAAAATGGTATGGTTTCAGTTAAGTTTCAACATAAATGCAGTTGCTGGTTACCAGTTTCATTATCTCCCACAGAAAGTTCATAATTGACTATCACAGCAAGTAGTCAAACATGCCTAAAGCCCGGTCGCCGAGCACGTAGAATTCCGCCCAATGACCTCAAGCTACCCATCCTTATCGCTCGCGACAGCAATATAATTACGTGCGAGTACGGCGACCGGACTTTAGTTTGTATTAAGAGCTGAAAGCTGGTTATTAATTTTAATAAAATTTGCTTTTACAGTTGACACTCGATAGTTAAATCAAACATTGTTAGGAATTTAGAGCGAGATTGACACGCGAGTATAGGTACACATGTCCAATCTAATAGAAACGAAAATGCATGAAAATGGATTTTGATTAGATTTGTAGCTTCATGTATGATTGCCTCATGTATGTACTTTTTTATACTAGTTATCAATGTTATGCTTAAACTAATAAGTATAGCTTGTATGGGGCTATTCTACTCTAGAAGACCGTATTTTCGGACATAACTATCTCTCTCACGCACAGCTAAAAGTAAGCTCTAGCGATAGTGACAGGTAGATTTGAAAATACTGAAAAGAAGATAATAAACAACCGTTATAAATACATCACACTTATTCCTAGCTAGGTTTCCTCAAAGTACTAAACAGGGATTTAAAAATAAATCATTATTCAAATAACTAATCTATTTGCCAAACTTTAAAAAAAAAGGTGTTTCTAAACGTAATGAGATTCCAAATACGCAGATGCTAAATAATTCATTGTATCGTATTTCTCTATTTGATTATAGCATACGATACAGGTTTAATAATCACTGTTTAGCCTTAAAAGGTCGATTTATACGATCAGATTTTCTTATTACCTATTAAAAAAAATATCATGAATCCGATTCAATTTAGCTGTTCTCTTCGTTTATGTGAAATCATTATTTGAAAAAAAAAATCCGTCATACATTACTGTTTTAGTATCGTTTTTAAAAAAAAAAAATGTTTCATAAGTAGGCACTGGGCTGTATTAAAAGATAAAAATAAATCAACGTCAGACACTGTAATATTAGATAAGTAATACAATCGATACATATTGATAGATTAGGATTGAGTCACATCACTCGGCCTGTTCAGGGGTATTCCTATAATCTACATAGAATTGTTCGGGGCAGGTGATGTGCGGATAGATAAAAGAATTTATTATATGTATATTATTAAGGCCGGTGGTAGTGATTCGGCATATCGGTGTTTACTTTGGACTAGTGATGTCGTTAATTTAGTAACCAGTAAGTTTTTTTATTATTTTTTTTGCCGTTTTGTGACACAATCAATATTTACAAAATTACTTGTACTGCTAGTAACGCAAAAGTTACCCCTTTGATTGTTCCGTTTATTTTATAGCGTGCGTGATTTTTTTTTAAATGTTTATCAGTGAAATAAGTTGAACAAAACAGTGTTTTTAGCTACAGAAAAAATCTATCAGTACTACAGTAATAATTTATTTATTTATTTATTTACTTTAAAATGTAAATGCAAGTGAAGTTACAGATAGATCCAAAGCGCCCACATTGCTAATTTGAAATTACATTTAATTTTAGTAAGTACTTATATTCTATTTATGGTTAGTAGACGACAAATACATGTCTATCTATTATTGCCTTTTGGCTTTTTTTGCAAGTCAATTCGAAACCTACTTCCGGTTAACTGTCTCTGTGAATCACCGTACGGTGTAAAGGCGCCTCGTAGGGAATTCACCGGGGCATCGTATTGCGGACCTTGTGGAATGAATCGCATTTCTTAACTGCACTGTGTGAGTTTCCGCTAAGAAGAGCACTCTGCTGACGTCTGTAACACGTAAATATTTGTATTAAAGTACCGAAGTTTAATATTAACAGCACATACAACATCATTTTAGTAAGTAGTGTAGCATGACAAAATTTTCTGTTGCAAAATTTCTCTTAATTTGCATGTGTAAGTGCTTAAAAATCCTAATTGCATAAAAATTACCTCATTATAACCATTGTATAGTTTACTGTATTTACCTTAATGTATTCAAACGCCAACTTTTATCTTATCTGTAGGTATTTTTATCTTAAAAAAGTATGTGAACAATTTTTTTAGAATCATATTTTAAACTTAATATAAGTACCTAATTCTTTTGTTTACGAAAAAAATCGCTTCGAGATAATGATATTTAAATTTTTGACGTGCAACATTCGAATGGAAAAAGGCAAAATTATGCACATCATCTACTCGACATCGTTTTGCATTCAGTCCATTGTATTTTTTGTACCTTTGTTTTTCCTTTTGTGTGCGGTAAAAAGATTTCAACGGTTGAATAAATGTTTTTCTAAAGAATATAATCTGAAATGCAATTTATTCAGGCAGGGGTTGACTAAGTATAATGAAGGTTGAAGAATGATCTTCGCCCCCACTTAAAGTTCAGTGCAAGTGTCATTACTATCTTAAAATGATAGGGTACTAATTTTTATGTGCTATGAACACAATCTAAGTCATGTAAAAAAATCATAGCGACGGTGCTTCAAAAAATGGATAAATAACTCATTACATATGTATTTAATTTCTAAATAATGTCATAACGTTAAAAAAGCTCAAGCTAAACTTAGTTTTAAAACTATGCTATTTTGCAATAAAACATTCTATTCTATTTTCCCCCCAATTTCGGCAATAAATGTCAAATTCCCGCCAAAAAACAAAAGAGCATTTTTTTCCAATTCGACATATAAAAACTTTTTATTTCTCTCCAGCCGTCACCAGCCAGTATGATGGCAGCAAGCACAATCGTGACCGACGACTCAAGCACAGAAGAACTACAGAAACGTTTCGGCGAACTGCTCGACGAAAACGTGATCTTGAAGGAGACTTTGAAGCAAAACAACGATTCTATGAAGGAACAGTTCCTGCTTATAGCTTCGTGTCAGGAAGACATGCTGAGGACACAAGAACTTCATAAGGAGAAGTTTGAAGAGACCAAGGAATTAGTTGAGAGGGTATGTGACTTGTAATATTTTTTACGTTTTAACAATAATATTTAGCCTAGGCGCAGACAATCGATTTTTCGTCGGCCGATAGTTTAGTCGGTTAATCAGTATGGACATGTGTATGGAATTACGCCGATTCGATTTGGCCGATTCTTCATACAAATTAAAATCGGGCCCAACTATCGGCCGACTAAAAATCGGTGGTCTGCGCCTAGTCTAAGCGTATGCTAGTGAAAAAGTTTTAACTTTTCAAACCCCGCGAATCGAGATACAATAGAAATAAATTGTTACGCGGTCTTATGCGACTGCTTGAGGTTTGATGGGTTGAATATAATGTACCCTACATTCTCATAAACAACTGTCATTTCACTGGGTTATCTTCCTAAAGATAAGACCGCCTAAATTGTGCCGTTTCGGTCTTGTAAATATTTCTTTTGTCTGTTTTCTCATTCGTATGACAACAAAAGATATTGACAGGGGCCCATTAGAGATAGTTATTTTAGGTGACGAATAATAATGCAATTTATAGTTTTAACTCTAAGGTTGAAATTGCAATGTTAATGGTGTTAGAATTCTTAGGAAATGCTTAGGAATGTCACAGGCCACAGCGGCATTAACATCCCGAGTTCCGATAATGTGCGCAATCTTACGCCCGTTTCCTATATTCAATCCTTGTCCAAATCCGGATTGCAACTGTCAAAATTGAATCTGTTTTCGATTACATACATAATTTTTGATGCGTTTACACTTTAATATTGTTTAAATAGTCTTTTAAACAGTATGAAAATGTAAAAACATCGAAAACCGCAGATATTTTGACCAAAAACATATTCAAATTTGACAGCTGATAGACGGATTTGGATAGGGATTGAATATAGAAAACCAGCATTAGTGGCCATGGATAGCCGGTAATATTTATATTTTTGTATTTTACACTACAATAAATACATCTATTTCTGTCTATTTCTCAACTTTAGGTTGTACAGTCAAAGTTGAGAAATAGACAGAAATAGATGTATTTATTGTAGTGTAAAATACAAAAATATAAATATTACCCCTTAGAAACTTTAAAGGCCAATGTGTAACCCACTTAATTTTCAGCTGCATGTATCAAGGCTGTATGTTTCTTTAATAAAGATAAATAAAGATATAAAAATATCTTCCAGCTCCGCTTAGAGAACAAGAAGCTTAAAGCGGACCTTCTCCGCAAGGTGGAGGTGGAGGTGCAGACGTCCGACTCCGTCGTCGCGTCCGGCCCGTCGTCCGGCCCGTCGTCCGGGCTGGAGTTCGTGTCGTCGCCGGACGACGATACGATATACAAGCTGACGGCGCAGTTGGAGCTGGTTGAGAAGCAGCGGCGACAGGTAGGGTATACTCGTACATAAAGTCTTTTTTTATTAAGGATTATTAGTAACTAGCTTTCCGCCCGCGGCTTCGCCCTGGTGGAACTGGTGTAACAGAAAAACTTTAACAAGCGCGTTTCTGTTTCAAAAACCAGGATAAAAACTATCCTATGTCCTTTCCCGGGACTCAAACTATCTCTATGCCAAATTTCATCAAAATCGGTTCGTCGATCATTTCACGCCTAAACCACTGTTAGGCGTGAAAGAGAGACAGACAGACAGATAGAGTTACTTTCGCATTTATAATATTATAGTATAGAGGTATAGATTTATTATTGCACAAATTACTAACACTCCCGTTAGCCCCTCGTACTAAGCTAAAATGCTTGTGTCACAAGTGAGCTCACCACAATTATAGTCGAGCGGCGGCGGGGACCGAACCCGCGTTCCCCGGATCACGAGTCGGCCAGTCACCGTTCGGTTATCGTGGCTTTACGATGATGATACGATATACTAGCTCACAGCCCAGCTGGAGCTGGTTGAGAAACAGCGGCGACAGGTAGGGTCTACATGAAGTTTCCGCAAAATCATTCGTTCGTTTCAGCCAAATGACGTCCTCTGCTGGACAAAGGCCTCCCCCAAGGTTTTCCACAATGAACGCTCTTGCGCTGCCCGTATCCAGGCTCTTCCCGCGACCTTTACCAGATCGTCGGTCCACCTAGTAGGAGGCCTGTCCACGTTACGTCCTCAAGCCAGGTCGCCACGGAATCTGGATGCGGGCAGCGCAGGACCGGTCGTTATAGATTTCCTTGGGGGAGGCCTTTGTCCAGCAGTAGACGTAATTTGACGACGACGAGAAAATAGTCAATAGATTTTCAACTTTATGTCCTGAATATATGGTTCAATATCAATTAGATAATTAGAAGATCGGTTGGAGCATATAATGTTGAAGAGTCATAGTAGATTTTCAACTTTATGTCCTGAGTATATGGTTCAATATCAACTTTGCAGTTTGCACACAACTATGTAAAACTGCGTGCTCAGCTAAACTCACATAGCTTAGCTCTTACATTACAATACAAATTACTTTTATCTGTTTTCAGGTGCTAGTTGAAAACGAGAAGTTGACCTGGCAGAAGGAATCTCTGGAACATATAGTCGACGCAACTTCAAAAGAGAGGGATGAGCTCAAAGAGAAACTACAGAATTTAGAGGTAAGTTATTATAATCTGGTCATACACGCCCATATTCACAAACAATGTATTAAGAAATTAAAAAAAAAAACAAAATCAAAATCAAAAATATTTATTCAGTTTATTAGACCACAAGTGGCACTTATGAACGTCAAAATATAGTAAATAATAAAAAAAGGAAAGGTAGCCCTTATTATGGGCCACTTTACATGTCTCCTTATCTTTTGGATCCTACCAAGTGAACGCACAGCGTTGAATAGAGCTCTGTGATTGGTTCGTGTGTCACCCTGTGCGTCCACGCGCGTTATGGGCGTTAGTCTCCACTTTAAGAGACATATTTTCTCTTATTTACAAGAGGTAAAAGGAAGAATTTGGATTAATACTACACTCCCCATTCTGGCCAGACGGATAGAGGAAGCCTAATGTTCGTATATTACTATAGATCGTTTCATCCACGAAGACGCGCCCCACCAATTTTTGGTCTCGGTCGCGCGGGGTGCGGGGAGTTTGATCCGAGCAATCCGAGCGTCATTATTGTAGTGTGCGTGTGCACTCATGGATAATTTAGCATGTACCGATAACACAAACATTAGCGGAGGAATGGTGGGGCGCGTCTTCGTGGATGAAACGATCTATAAAAGGCTTTAATACTACATATATTGAATTTGCTTCAATTTAGCTAAAGCGAAATATATTTTTGGATTTCAGCTCAAACTGTCCAGTAAAGATAGTGATTATGGCAGCCAGATAATCAGCCTTAAGTCCACCGTGCAAGATTTGCACGGGAAACTGCAGTCCGCTAACAGTGTTGTAAGTTCTAACTATTGTAGAACAGTGTGTCTGTTTATGCTAGATATTTTGTATCTACTAAAGTCCGGTCGCCGAGCAGATAGAATTTCGTCCAATGACCCCAAGCTACCCATCTTTATCGCTCGCGACAGCAATATAATTACGTGCGAGTGATAAGAATGAGCTTGGGGTCATTGGACGAAATTCTATCTGCTCCGCGACTGGACTTAAGTTTGTATTAAGAGATGAAAGTTGTTAGCTTACCGTGTGATATCGCAGGAACCAACTTAATATACACTATGCCTATAAAATCTGAGTAGTTTTTGTGACAATTCTCCATCCTCACATATACATTCTTAGATTTAGATTTCGACTCTTTTTCAAGTGATAATGCACCTTATTTTCTAAGTGTTTGTATCCATTTTTCAGTCCAGCATATCATCAGATGAGCTGACCAAGCGTGATTCCCACATCCAGCAGTTGGAGGCGAAGGTATCTCGGCTTCAAACCGAGCTCAAGGAGTCCCAGCTCAGGGTATGGGACTTGGAGAATATTAGGGTGAGCGTTCATTCAATCATTCATTCATTCATTCATTGGGGCTATTGCCATCTCTCGTTCCCACCGCTACAACTTCTGTGTCTCTAGAATCTACAGCTTAACCACCAATACAAACCTAACCTATGAAAGCTAAGTTTGATCCTGGGAAAAAATATTATCGTATCGAGGCCCTTGAGGGGTTTCTTTAGCGCTCATCAGTTGGTGCTACTGCCGAGTCAAGTCTGATCACTTACTTGTGGCTAAGACAGTGGCGCCAGCTTGTGAGCGCTGAAGCTTCGTGAAGCTTTTGTTCGAAGATTTTCAAATTCTGAGGTGGAATTGTGTAAAGCAATCGTAATCATTTGACAGTTCATAACGTACGATAAAGTCAGTTAAACAAAGCGTTTGACAGAATAATCGTACGTTATGAACTGTCAAATGATAACGATTGCTTTTCACAATTCCACCTCTGATTATTTATTAGTACGTGTATAGGCCCTATTTAGAGAACTTATACCCACACTTTCCAAATATAGCATACCCATCACCACTTCAAGACAAATTATCAGCTGGTATTGAGAAGGTAGCGGAAGAAACGGTCACTTTTTTCGGCCGAACCTTGCCGAGATTCCTTCGAAAAAAACTATTAGAACATCGCGTGAACTCGCTTACAACATATCCGTGTAACTTATAGATGACCCACGCTGAACTGTCCCACCAAACTCAATGACAGGGGGGCGCTAACATCGTTCAACTATATGGTTTCCAACATGGCAAAAATCGGAACCAGCGATCCGGTATTGACGGTGGCGCCCCACTGTTAATGTCATGGATAGGACAGTTCAGTATTTTGGAACTATACCTATTTTACGAATCGAAATGCCGCATCTTCGAACATCAGGTGAAACTTACTGAAACTATTCATTTCAGCTGGAGTTCTCAAAGCACAAGTCTGAGCAGTCGGAAGCTGCGCGGCTGTACAAGGAACAGCTACAGGAGCTGCAGACCAAACTCAAGGACGCACAGATCACTGTAAGCTGACGGTTTTTTTGCATTAATAAAAAGAATATCATCATCATCATCATCATCATCATCATTTCAGCCATAGGACGTCCACTGCTGAACATAGGCCTCCCCCAATGCTTTCCATGTTGATCGATTGGTAGCGGCCTGCGTCCAGCGCTTCCCTGCTAGCTTTAAAAAAAAAAGAGTAATAGTCAAAAAGAATATATACCCACCAAAATACTCAATAGGTTAAGATACTATTAAATAAAAAAATGTAAGTTTATAAATATAAATGTAATAAAATAAATAAATAAATAGCTCGGCAGCTTCCTCATTGCTTAAGTCGCTTTTTCAAATTGATCTTCTGGTCAATTTGAAAAGCGATTTGCTTCTGCAAATAGAAGATTTGACTTACACGCCCCACGCTGGCCAGACGAGTTGAGAAACCCTGATGTTCGTACGACATTAACGAAAAAAAGTGAGGGTAGTCGGAATCACACTACTAACTTTAACACATGCACGTCACTCGCTTTAAGTGGGAGTAAATAGCCTAAGTTTAAATTCATTGTACACTGTGTTTATGTCAGTTCAGTTGATCATTTTAACTGACTGTAAATGTCCATCTTAACTTTAATAAATCATTGTATTCAGGTGTTCCAACCGGTCCGCCTGTCCCTAAGTGCCGAACGGGACGCGTCCCGAGAATCCGATTCTCCGTCCCGCGAGTGCAACGGGCTCATGGCCAACGTCAGGCTCTACGATCGCACGCTTAAGCATTTGGCGGATCTCATGAACGCGCTTACACACGGGTAAGTAGTGCTCACTCATCAGGAGGCATTGCTCACTTGTCAGCAGGTATTGATCACTTGTCAGCAGCTAAATTACTGCACGCTCAAGCTTCTGGTGGATCTTATGAACACGCCCACACACGGGTAAGTAGTGCTCACTCGTCAGGAGGTATTGCTCACTTGTCAGCAGGTATTGCTCACATGTCAGAAGCTACATGACCGCACGCTCAAGCTTCTGGTGGATCTTATGAACGCGCTCACACACGGGTATGTAGTGCTCACTCGTCAGCAGGTATTGCTCACTTGTCAGCAGGTATTGCTCACATGTCAGAAGCTACATGACCGCACGCTCAAGCTTCTGGTGGATCTTATGAACGCGCTCACACACGGGTATGTAGTGCTCACTCGTCAGCAGGTATTGCTCACTTGTCAGTAGCTACATGATCGCACGCTCAAGCATTTGGCGGATCTCATGAACGTGCTTACACACGGGTAAGTAGTGCTCACTCGTCAGGAGGTATTGCTCACTTGTCAGCAGGTATTGATAACTTGTCAGAAACTATATGATCGCACGCTCAAGCATTTGGCGGATCTCATGAACGCGCTTACACACGGGTAAGTAGTGCTCTCTCGTCAGGAGGTATTGCTCACTTGTCAGCAGGTATTGATCACTTGTCAGCAGCTAAATGAACGCACGCGCAAGCATCTGGCGGGGCTCATGAACGCGCTTACACACGGGTATGTAGTGCTCAATCGTCAGGAGGTATTGTTCACTCGTCAGCAGGTATAACTCACGTGTCAGCAAGTATAGCTCAATTGTCAGCGGGCATTGCTCACTTGTCAGCAGGTATTGCTCACTTGTCAGCAGGTATTGCTCACTTGTCAGCAGGTATTGCTCACTTGTCAGCAGGTATTGATCACTTGTCAGCAGCTACATTACTGCACGCTCAAGCTTCTGGTGGATCTTATGAACACGCCCACACACGGGTAAGTAGTGCTCACTCGTCAGGAGGTATTGCTCACTTGTCAGCAGGTATTGATCACTTGTCAGAAGCTACATGACCACACGCTCAAGCTTCTGGTGGATCTTATGAACGCGCTTACACACGGGTAAGTAGTGCTCACTCGTCAGCAGGTATTGATCACTTGTCAGAAGCTACATGACCGCACGCTCAAGCTTCTGGTGGATCTTATGAACGCGCTTACACACGGGTAAGTATTGCTCACTTGTCAGGAGGTATTGCTCACTTGTCAGCATTTATTGTACACTTTTCAGCGGGTAGTGCTCACCCGAAGGCAGGGTTGCTCACTCGTCAGTAGTTATTGCACACTGGTCAGTAGGTACTGCTAATTGATCAGGAGTTACTGCTAACTAGTCAGCAGGTATTTCTCACTGGTTAGCAGGTATTGGTAATTAATTAGAAGAAATTGCTAACTGGTCAGCAGTGTCTTGAAATTATTGGCTAACACCAACTACCATATTGCCCCTGAGCAGTTAAATAAGAAAATTCGTAAACAAATTTTGGTTCACTAAAATGTCTTATGTTTCACAGGTTAACGGACAGCATCGTAGGGACGCTAGGACTAGTGGCGAGCCTTCAAGACTTCAAGCTGGAGAAGACTACCGTCGACCAGTTCAAAGCGAGCCTGAGCGAAGTGAAGCAACAGCTGGACAAACTACACAACAATTCGTTGGGTTACGTGTATGTATACAGATTTTATCAACAAATTAAAACAGCATTATGCCCGTTTTCACCATCAATCCCTAATTTTTAAGTGACCCATATACCAGGAACTTTGTTTTCATAAGGGTCACTTAAAATTAGAAATTGATGAAAACGGGCATTAGATTATTAACACCTGGTTAGATAGTGTCCATGATTTGTCTTAAGTGGGGCAAAAATCAATTATTATTATTTGATTTTATTTTCGGTACTTTGAAAAACTAAGCTAGTGCTCTAGTAAAGTGCCTCACTTTTCTTGCGGTTACTCGGTTTCTAGGCATTATAATTATATGTTTAAAGTATTGAAATTTAATCAATCATAAACTTGAATCTGTACATAAGTTTGTATCTAGTTTTGAGTGGTATTTCATAGTCATGGGCCTTAAGTTTCGTGTGTTGTTTCCAGTGTACAAGTCAGAAGCACATTGTCGATATTTGAAGGGATATTCAAAGACTACAATGAACTTCTGAAGAAGTCGTTGACTCAACAGGAACAAGTAAGTGCTATTTTTCTGCATTTTCGTTTTGTCAACTCAGTTACTCTAGAAAATCTCCCTGTGTCAGATTGTTACTTAAATATTCAAAAATGTGCCAAAAGGTTTGGTTGGCATATTTTAAATGACGTAAAATTCGTAATATCAAAAATGTTCAATAACATTTCATTGTATTCAGCGGCATACTTACATTATATTTTAATCCTTTCCTTTTTATTTCTCCATTTTGAAATTATTTTCTAACCTTGGCGCAATTGCTCTAAATCTTTCCCCTAGTGTATCCGAAGCTTTACAAGCATAAATGAAGCGATGATAGTGATGGACTGGCCGACTCGTGATCCGAGGAACGCGGGTTCGATCCCCGCCACCGTTCGACTGTTGTAGTGAACCCACTCTTATCAAAGCATATTAAATTTAGCTTACTACGAGTGGTTAACGGAATTATTAGTAATTTGTATTTACAAATTGCTGAAATTCTTTAAATAAACGCCATTCCCAACTCTCTTAAAAAAATCCCTAATGTAGTCAAATATATTAGTAATATTTGACTAAACAATCATGAATTTATATTTTTTTGACAGAAACTCCCCAACTTCCCCGTAATGTATTTGGTGTTACAAACACAAATTTATGTTTTTTCCACAGAAACCCGCTACCCCCAACGTGGAAGCGTTAACCAATGCGTTACTCGCGCGAGCCGAGGAGATAGCGAACCTCCAAACCGAAGTGAGGAGGCTTCGCAATGTGACGGACGACACCGATGTGTTGAAAGCACAGCTGGACTTGTATAGGTGAGTATTCAACAAAAAAACTTTTTTCTGTGGGCTTAGTGTGAGTTTACATTAAACGTCCTTATAGTTCCAAAATACTGAACTGTCCTATCCATGACATTGACAGCGGGGCGCCACCGTCAATACCGGATCGCTGGTTCCGATGCCATGTTGGAAACTATATAGTTGAACGATGGTAGCGCCCCCTTGTCATTGAGTTTGGTGGGACAGTTCAGCGTGGGTCATCTATAGTAAGCGCGTTAAAAAATATATTATAAAAATTTTAGTTCTTGAAAGTTTCCGCTAGGGGCGCTGTACAATCCGTCATACATTTAATGTAACTTTTTTACGCGCTCACTAGTGACGATGTTTGATGTAAACTCATTATCATAAAATAATACCAGATTTATAGAGGTTTTGAAATTGTGAGAAATTAGATAAAATAAAATAGAGGCTCACCAATGAGATCGGTTTCGTTCAACGTATTTATTTATTTATCGTACTTCCCTCCACAAAATGTGTCGGTTGATTAGTAGGCTACTTTAGCCCGCGTGAATTTTGTAGCCTATGCCTTTTTACTGAAAAAAGAAATACACAATCGGTATAATAGCTTCCTTTAGAGTAGGCGCACACCGTTGATTTTTCGTCGGCCGATAGTTTAGTCGGGCAGTTGATCAGTATGGGCATGTATGAGTGCGCACACTACGCCGATTCGATTTGGCCGATTCTTCATCTATACTTATAATAAATCTGTAGAGAGGTCAATTCTGTACATGAAATNATAAGACCGTTACACTAAAAACCAAGTTTTATGGCATATTATGTAGCTTTTTCTATTTACTCCCTCAGTCAAAACACCAAATCGAACTATTGCACGATAAAAATCAAAATACATAGAAATACCCAGAAATACTTTAATAATCGTAGGTACTCGTACCTACAGAGTACTATATTTCAAGGGCAGATCCCAAGACAAAATTCTTTGAAACAAAATACGAGGCTGTTTTCAGGCGAAAGGAAATATTTTCAGGAGGCCGTTGTTAGACATCCAGTTTTCAGATCAGCTTCGAATTACTGAAAATTGTTGTACATTTTGATCTTTGTGATGTTGTTGGGAACAAAAATGCTTTAGCAGTTTTAACGCTAGCCTGTCAAATATTTGCGGAATCTGCTATTATAGTGTTTTTACATTAGCGAGCTCGGCGGTGGAATAGTCGCGATACTTCAGCAAATGCGTTTAGTGCCAGGGATACATTAGGGGACAAATGTGGGACATGACTGTGTCACTAGCAATGTCGTTGCGACGCCAGAGTGGTATCGCTGCGTCATCTTACATAGAAATACATAGAAACTGTGAAATGCAATAAAGATTTGAGTATTGAGTATTAAATATCTGTGGCGTGCACACAAGCGGTGCGGAGCCGCGAGTGCGAAATTTTTGCGGTGGGGCGCCTCAGCGCAACACATCGTGCTCTTTGGCTCTAAAGCGGCGTGATGTTGCCGGTCTTCGATTCTCATGTGTCATGTGGTAGGTGTAATGATTCAAAATGACTCTTGATTATTTAGAACACAATGTGTTCTCGTGTCACAATGTTCAAAAATTCGCAAAGCAGCAGAACTTCGTCTGACGTCGTTCCTAACATATGGCGCGTGATGTTGCCAGATATCTCAAGCACAACCGCTCGACTTTGCTTGACATATCGCCAACGTGTCGAGGCTCATTTGTCCCTAGTGTATCCCTGGTTTCAAATGACTGCGGTTTAGCGCGGCTAAGCTGCCTAATGGGAAGGCACGCTTATCTATACTTATAATAAATCTGTAGAGAGGTCAATTCTGTACATGAAATATATTTTCAAAATAACTATCAGGGGGTGATTAGTGATCGATACTGATGCCAAAAATGCAATCAGTAAAATTTTTGTCTGTCTGTCTGTCTGTATGTTCCTTATAGAAACAAAAACTACTCGATGGATTTTAACGAAACTTGGTACAATTATTCTTCATACTCCTGGGCAGGTTATAGGATACTTAGGAATTCCCACGGGAACGGGCATTAGCGGGAAAATCCTTTTGTATGAAAAATCTAAACCGCTTAAGTTAGACGCTTGAAATTTGGCAAGCAGGTACCTTAGTAAACTTAAAGCGTAGTTATAACAGGATATTGCAAAATTCCTACGGGAACGGAAGTTAGCGGGAAAAAACATTTGTATGAAAACATCTAAACCGCGTAAGATAGATGAAGGGGGTAAAACGGGATCCACGCGTACGAAGTCGCGGGCGGCCGCTAGTACAAATTAAAATCGGGCCGAACTATCGGCCGACGAAAAATCAACGGTGTGCGCCTACTCTTAAACTTACAAACTTTTCTTAATATTTGAATGATAACGATAACACACCTTGTTTTCTTGACTTGTCATATTTCTGAATATCATAAACAAATGACTGTAATGACAGGAGTGACTTCGACGCGGAGCGTGAAGCGAGAGAGAAGATGGCGTGCGAGAAAGAGAACATCATGGTCGACCTCCGCACGGCGCAGCGCAGGATACAGGAGCTGGTGCTGCAGGTCAGTGTAGACCTTATGTGCTTGTGATAGGGGCGATATTGCAACAATAATAATGTATGGTCAGATGTGCTGGCATTTGTATAGACTTGACTTATGGTCCTATGTCCCCTAGATGGGGCAGAGGGCGTCCACAACAGTCCTCCATCGCGTTCGGTCTCGAGCTATGTGTTTGATCTCGCTCCAAGTCTTGCCGATCTTCTTCGCCTCGTCTGCCACAGTGCGCCGCCAAGTTTGCTTAGGGCGACCACGTTTCCGTTTTCCTTGGACATTTGTATAGACAGCGGTACATTAATCTGAATGTTATACCATAGTTCCTTATGTGCTTGTGATAGGGGCGATATTGCAATGTAGTCGGAACATGAGCGAGAGAGATGGCGTGCGAGAGAGATGGCGTGCTAGAAAAAGAACATCATGGTCGACTTCCGCACGGCGCAGCGCATTCATAGACCTTATGTGCTTGTGATAGGGGCGATATTGCAACGAGAATGTATAGTCAGATGTGCTGGCATTTGTATAGACAGCGGTACATTAATCTGAATGTTATACCATAGTTCCTTGTGTGCTTGTGATAGGGGCGATATTGCAACAAGAATGTATGTAGTCAGTGATGAGAAGATAGGTACGTGCGAAAAGGCGAACATCATGGTCGACCTCCGCTGGTGCTGCAGGTCAGTCGTAGACCTTATGTGCTTGTGATAGGGCCGATATTGCAACGAGAATGTATAGTCGGGTGTGCTGGCATTTGTATAGACAGCGGTACATTAATCTGGATATTATACCATAGTTCCTTATGTGCTTGTGATAGGGGCGATATTGCAACTACTAAATGCTCTCTGATGTGCGGTTGACTGTACAGACGAAGTAAACACTGTGGCAACTTACGTAGTTGTGATAAGGTCGGTTTTGCAACAAAAATATGTAGTGTGGTGTGGTGTGCCGTCGACCCCCGTATCAATCGGACATAACGTATCAGGGGGCCAAGCCTTAGTAGTAGTAGTGTTGATTATTTAATCAACACTCGCAAGAATTTTTTTTAAAAGTCTATAAATTGTTACAGCTTGACGAAGTCAGAAAGATCAACCCAGACGTGTTCTGGACAGCGACCACCAGTAGGAACCCTCAGCCTACCGCACCTTCTGCTCCGTCAACGAGGCAGGCTGGCTCCAGGCCTACCAGTAGTACTAGTAGACCTGGTACCACTGGCAGACCGGCTGGTAGCGCCGGCACTACTAGACCGGCTGGCAATGGCGCTACTAAAAAGACGGTAAGTTGGATTAGACTAGGCGCAGACCACCGATTTTTAGTTGGACACGATTTTAATTTGTATGAAGAATCGGCCAAATCAAATCGGTGTAATGTGCGGTTATGTTCGTCTGCCGTTTGGTGTAGTGGTTCGAAACTGACTACTATTCCGGAGGTAGCGGGTTCGATTCCCGCACAGTACAAACATTTGTGTGCATGAACATATTTGTTTGTATTGGACTGGGTGTTTTCTATGTATAGTACGTATGTATTTACAAAAAAAAAGTATTTAAGTATGTTAATATCCGTTGTCTAGTACCCATAGAACAAGCTTAATTTGCTTAGTTTGGGACTAGAAGCGCAGTGTAAAATGTCTAAGGATATTTATTTATTTATTATGTGCGCACTTCCATACATGCCCATACTGATCAACTGCCCGACTAAACTATTGGCCGACGAAAAATCGATGGTCTGCGCATAGGCTTAGGGATCGACAAATGACGATTGCGATATGTAGCTATGATAGAAAGTGCTAATTTATCTTGTCTATGCCGTATGGTGGTCTGGTTCGTCTAATGAAATTATTATAGTTCCAAAATACTGAACTGTCCTATCGATGACATTGACAGCGGGGCGCCACCGTCAATACCGGATCGCTGGTTCCGATTTTTGCCATGTTGGAAACCATATAGTTGAACGATGGTAGCGCCCCCCTGTCATTGAGTTTGGCGGGACAGTTCAGCGTGGGTCATCTATATTGGCCAATGCAAAGAGTTGTCTTTGGTTCGCCTATCAGTTTGCAGTCCGCGCCAAAATATTATGATTATCTATGGTTCTTATGTCGGTTTATAAATCTTAAATACTTATCTATTTGATTAATTTCTTGGACTTGGAGACAGTGTTTTAAAAATAATTAAAATTACACTTTGAAATCAAAGACAACTTTATACGCACCGGCATAGACAATTCAGTAATAATATTGTAGAACTTATTAGTCTAACTCTATTGGCGCAAACTCTACTGATTCGAATTACAAACTGGCCCAAAATAACGCCATTAACCCTACAAAGAAGAGAAGTCATCGTGCATTAACCCTACGAAGAAGATAACATCATTAATCTGCTAAGTATTTAAGCGCGACGACTAACAAACTAAAAACAACTCAAGTATCATACATTTAAGTCTCAATATCCTTGACAAGGGCATCAAGAAGAAAAAAATATCAGAAGAAGAAAGCATGGAGATGGACAAAGAAGGAACGCCGCCGCCGCTGCGTTTCGACTGTCCGGTGTGCGACAAGCCTTTCAAGACTCTTGTGTTGTTACAACAACACGTCGACAGTTGCTTATTGTAGGGGCGTTTACCCTAAACAGGCCAACTGTTGTAGCTGGCACTATTAACCAATTATTTATTTATTTATTTAAACTTGCTTGAATGCCATATAAATTGACTTAACGACACAGGCCATCCTGTGCCAGTTAAAAAAAATATATTCAATTCCAAAGGATGTATCAAAGTTAACTTCATTTTAGGTTTGAAAACTAAGAATGTTTACTTAAAACTGGTTTTCATTTTAGTTTTTAGTAGTATTTGTGCTCACTAGTTGGCGACACTGGCAAGTAACAGAACCTTACTCTTATCATTTTAAAACTTAAGGAAAGAGGAAATATCAACTGTCATTCATCAATTTTCATTAACCCATTTAGACCTACCGTACCCTATGTGGTACAGTATCTTTTTGAAAATATTTTGAAATACCAAACTGTCGTTAAGTTTTAAAAATGATGGTGACAGTAAGCTTAAAGTGATTATTTTACATAAAAATATTTAAAAATATGTTTTAATAAGTGGTTTTGGAAATATTTATGAAATCCCTCGACAGAAAATAAAAAATATATTTACAATGTATTCAAGAAGGTATATTTCTTATTATTTATGGTAAATTATATTATTTATCAATTTTATTTAAAAAATAGAGTACAATAGATATCATGAATACTAATAAAATATTATTGAGATTATTTTTATACGGTTTATTCCAGTCTAAAATAGGTGTACCGTATAAGGTACAGTAGGTCTATGCATGAGCAAAATGCGAGAAAATATAATTTATTTTATATTATTATTATTTGTTTTAGGCTATTGATGCTTCACTATGTTGCCACAACTCATGAAAAATTTGGCAATTTCAGCAAACATAAAGCAATTTTGGTATTTTTCTACTGCTGTCTAGTCAGATGACCGCTAATGATGATCAAACTGACGAAGATTCAGGCGATAAAGACAGTTTCAATGTAATTAATTACCCTCAGAGTTTTCTTCGATGGATTTGCTGAATTTCCATCGTCGTGTTGCTAAATGCGATTACAAATAGCACTAAACGTAACAAGTCAGAAGAAGCCAAGTCTTCTTCAGCTATCCTCACTAACTTCGGAGATAGTAGGAAAAAAGAACCAAACGTGGTTAGTATCACAGAAAACGTCTTACAAGATATGTCAAATATGATACTGGTTATTATGTGATTTTTTTTTAATTTATATCATACAAAAATCAATAAAAACTTTGTTTGAACAACGAGTATGTTTTGCATACTTATAGACCTACTGTACCCTATATGGTACGGGCTCCCCACGGCCCCCTATTTATGGATTATTTTTTTTAATATTTTTTTCATGACTTTTATGTTTCCCTTTGAAAGTTTTTGCTGAAATATCAAAGGATGATGGGCACAAATGTATGGAAAGTGGTACCCGCTCCAATAGCCATAACCAATATATATTTTAAAAGGCCTTTAGATGTAGGAAAATGTCTGCTATGGGGCCAGATCTAATTCACGTTTTGAAAGCAGTAATTCCACTAAGTATTATAATGAAAGTATAACACAATCATCCATGTATACGAGTATGTATTACGAGGGGCGGCTGAAAAGTTTTGAGCCTAAGGTATTAAAAATGCCGATAGAAAAGTATAAAAAATATATTTTTCTATTTAATCTTCCTCTACTACAACGCACTTCTTACATTTGTGTAAAAGAGCTTTTATTCCACTGAAAAAAAATTCGCAAACTTTGCCTTCGAAATGATCCTCTAACGACGCCTTCATTTCTTTGTCACTCAAAAATCTTCGTTCCTGGAGGTCCTTTTTCCAAATTGAGAATTAGGAAAAAAAGCTAAGGATTTGGACTAAACTGTGTGGTAGGTGATTAATTTCTTGAAATCCAGTTTTACCCGGGGCAAGCCTTGCAACATGCGCGGTGAGCACGGGCGAATTGTCTGGCAATAACAGATTTTATTTCGCCAGTTTACCTCTTATTATTTCGACAACCACTTGACGCACTCTTATCAACAGTACAGTAAAATAATCCCCGTTTATTTTAGTTTTTTTTAAGTAGGTAGTCAAGGAATAAAATTCCTCCACAATCCCAAAAATAGTGGCTATGAGCTTGGGCGTCGATCGCTCCACTTTGAATTTCCGCGGCGGTGTTTTCCCTTTTCAATCCATTGCATTGACTCTTGTTTTGACTCTAAATCGTACTGCTGAATTTATTATTTATCAATAGTGACAATGTGAGAAAAAAAATTGTTAGGATTATGGCCAAAGATGTCCTAAAACTCCTGCGAAGTTGTGACTCGACGCGGTTTGTCGAGTGGCATGAGCATTTTTGACACCCATCGCGCACACCCCTTTTTCATGTGCAAATGAGTATGAAAAATATTGCCGATACGTTCCTTGCTAATGCCTATGGCTTCAGCTATCTGCCACAGCTTAATTCGCGGATCTCTAGAGCAAGATTCTTTAACTTTTCATTATTTTATTCGTTAATGGCGAAATCTGGCCGCCCTGACTTGCGGTCATCTTTTAGCGGCTCCCTGCCATGATCGAATTATCGGATTCAATCTTTCATGGTGGCAAATGAAGGCCCAAACTCCCCATAAACTGTTGACATCTCTTCAAATATTACCGTCAGCTTTTTGTTCTTCTTTGTGAGGCATTTTATGACAACAGTGTACTTCAATTTCGTACATTGCGCGGATGACTGAGACATGATGATGTTTACGGATTAATTACTAAAAGCGCGATGGTGCTAATAAAATGAAACTTTGTACATATACTAAGGAGGTTATTGGCAAATTAATAAAATTTAGTGCGAGTCAATAATAACACTTGAAGATACTTAGGCTCAAAACTTTTCAGCCGCCCCTCGTATGACTACAATCTATTAATATAACGAAAAGAAGCATTAAAAAGGAAAGGATTATACCTACGATGAACTACCCAAGCTATTAGACCTTTATTCGCTTTCATCATCATCATCGTGATCATTTTAGCCAAAGGACGTCCAGTTGAACATAGGCCTCCCCCAATGATTTCCACAATGGTCGGTTGGTGGCGGCCTGCATCCAGCGCCTTCCCGCTACCTTTGTGAGGTCATCGGTCCATCTTGTGGGTGGACTTGTTGGGTCTTGTGGGTTTATTCGCTTTAGCAACCCATATAGTCCAGTCAATGAATGCCTTAACGACGGTGTAGAGAGAAATCCGTGGAACACAATTTCTGACCTCGGGACTTTATTTAGCCTAGTTAGGTGGTGAACATAGCAAAAGTCCCCGCCCTTAGCCCTTGAGCCGGCGGGGAGAGGGGGGTTTAAAGGTATCACTTTTCGGTTTTTCGCTTAATCCTCGGAAACTATGCGTCCTAGTGACATGACTACTATGAACCAAAAAAAGCTTGTTTAATTTGCTACAGGTGAGACCGTCAAGTTTTTCTATATCTTGTATAGTTTTTACGGCATCTGCTCTAGAAGGTCTGTAAAATTGGAAATTTTATTGTTGTCTTACATGTTACTTTCAGGAGAAAATCGACTAAATCAACATTGAGCAAACACTACAGACATGCGGGAGCATGTTAAGCCTAGTTCCAGGGAGGGGACTGCACCGTGTATATATTTAGACGAACCAATTAGAGCCACTTTTGACTCTTCATCATTCAAAAACTACTGTGCATTAACACTTCAAATTTGGCTCATGTATTGAGACTTGCAAGATATACATCAGCTTCAAATTTCATAAATATACCTCAAACTGTTATTTAGGTATTTACGTTCAAAAATTGACATTTAGAACACTAAAATCTATCTATCACATGTGAAATGTTAAAATTTACTGATTTTTTATTTGTTCCTTTGTATTTACATAACTACCTTTCTGGATGTCAAATTTGAACCTTCGAGGTCATCTGGAAGTGGTTAGAATTTGGTCTATAGGTCAGACATGTAGATTTTTGGACGTCAATACCTAAAGAATCGTTTGAGGCATATTTATGAAATTTGAAACTGATGTAGATCTTGCAAGTCTCAACACATGAACCAAATTTGAAGTGTTAATGCACAGTAGTTTTTGAGTGATGCGGAGTCAAAAGTGGCTCAAAGTGGTTCGTCTAAATATCCGCACGGTGCAGTCCCCTCCCTGAAACTAGGCTTAACATGCTCCCGCATGTCTAGAATGATTGCTCAATGTTGATTTAGTCGCTTTTCTCCTGATGGGAACATGTAAGACAAAAATAAAATTTCCAATATTACAGTCCTTCTAGAGCAGATGCCGCGAAAACTATACAATTTATAGAAAAACTTGTCTATCTCACCTGTAGCAAATTCAAAAAGCTTTTTTTGGTTCAAAGTAGTCATGTCACTAGGACGCATAGTTTCCGAGGGTTAAGCGAAAAATCGAAAAGTGGCACCTTTAAGCCCCCCTCTCCCCGCCGGCTTAAGGGCTAAGGGCGGGGACTTTTGCTATGTTCACCTCCTAACTAGTCTAAATAAAGTCCTGAAGTCAGAAATTGTGTTCTACAGTTTTCCATCTATAATGCTTTATTGACTGGACTAATAATAAAACCCTTAAGAAGTAATAAAACTTTAACCCCTTTATTAATAAAAGTTACACCCTAGTTGAACTCTGGCTTAAATTGTCATTTGGTATGGAAATGTCATTTTAATCCAAGGTTCTTCCTAGGTGTAACTTTTTATTAATAAGGGGGTAGTACTTCTTTAAATAAAAATATATATTTCACAATCATCTCCATCAATAATTATAGAGTTAAGGAAGGATGCTGGAACAGTAAACCCTTCCTGACTCGCATAACCTAAGTACCATACGATGGACACGTATGATACTTCTTCTTTTTCTTCCTCGGTCTCTTCCTCCCTCACTGATGAGGATCGCGACCACAGATAGTGTTCCTCCACAGACTGCGGTCATAAGCTGTGTGGACCGCACGATGCAAACTCCCGCCCACCGTCTTCCTCACCGCGTCCGACCATCTCGTCGGTGCCCTGCCCCGAGCGCGTCCCCCTTCATACTGTATGATACTTAGGTTACACAAAAAGTATCTTTATCTTCGAACGCAACCAGATCTGAGGCTGGTGGCCATAGTAAATGTTGTTCGTCTTGGTAAGACCTTTCAAATGACACTACAAACATTACTATTGGAGCCGGGTACCATTCTGCAAAAAAATATGTATATCTTCGTACACAACCAGATCTGAGGCTGGTGGTCATAGTAAAAGTTGTTCATCTTGGTAAGACCTTTCAAACGATACTAGACTCATATCTATTGGAGCCGGGTACCATTTTGCCCATTGTCCTTTTATTTACAAAAATAATTATCGGTCTAAATGGGTTAATAATATCAATTTATGAACATAAATAACATGAATTTTATGCACTTTTGTGGTTTTTTAATCATTTATTTATGAATCAAATTATGTATTTAGTACAAAAATATAATGTAGTGAAAGATACGCTTATTTTGCATTTACAACTTATGTATTTATTTATTTATTGTTTTAGCTTACTGATATGCATTTTATTTATATTGTAGTATTTTTAAGAAGCTTATAAATATTGTATGTATTATTTATTACACACATTTTCAGGCAAATCCAGTTTATATTATTTACTTCCCAAAATGATTACACAATTTATTACAGTTCACACATACTTACGATATTTATAGGTAAGCACATCTGACATTTATTATGTGTGTCTTTTTAGTTTAACAAGTGTTTTAATATTGTTTAATTTGATTACATAAAAATAACTGTCACTTGTGCATGGATACTATGCAGAATTTACATGGGTGTTGTATATTTTTAGAGTAAAGATTTTAAACTTTAGCGTTCCATTTCAAATAAAATAGTAAGACACGGGTCTTAACGCGACGTTTATTAATGAGTTACATTATGTACTCACGGCTTGTGACTAGTGGTAGTGTAACAAATGACAATATGAGGGTAGTTGAAAATTATCAAGCCCGCCCGAACGGACGACGCCGCGAGCCGCCAGTCTGCTTGTGACCACGGCTGCAGCATCGCAGCCGAAACGTCAATTTGGTCACAAGCCGGGAGAACATAATGTTACTCATTAATAAACGTCGCGTTAAGACCCGTGTCTTACTATTTTATTTTTATAGTACTCATAAGTTGAGTTCATACAAGTATACCTACCTGAAAATGATTCCGTACGTATCCCGAATCACGTTTTCCGTAAGAATTTAAAATTGTTTATTATTTAACTACAGTGACCCCTGTGAATTCCGCATTAGAGTGAATTATCTTGTTTTAGCTATGTAGTTTAAAGGTTTGTTCACACTTGTCCATGAGCAATGTGAATATACCTCTATTATTCTGCATGTTTGTATTAACAAAATTTCCTGTAGGTACTTCTTAAAAATTGTAGTGATATTTCATCAATTTATTTTGAATTATCAAATTGATTTTGAACCTTGTTATAAAGACATAAGATTGTTTTCCAAGAATCCAATCCAATTTTTTTATATTTATTCTTTTATATTAAAATTCAAGTTTGTTATTTAAGAGATATTCATACCTCACTATCCATCTCATTTATTAGAGCGGATTGCCAGTGTTGTCTTTGTTTTTCTAGTTTGTGTATTTTCTTCGAAACGTTCAGTGATTTAACGACTCATAACTAACAATATTAATATTTTTTTCGGTGTCTGTATTAAAAAAACAAGTATATAAGTTTATATCTTTCTTTTTTCTAAAGTACGGCCAACTAGCAGCGATACAAAAGGTCGATATTACGACTGTCGAGTTGACAATATATTCTGTCTCTTCCCATCTTGTGTATTTGTCGTAATGTCTCGTTCTCCCGCCAAAATATGTCAAAGTCAGACGGGTTCAACCATGGCATTGGGTTTGTTTACATTTAGTATCGCTTCTTGTTGGCCCTACTATAGATGGGTGTTAAGTTTGAAGCGAGATGCCTTTCTTTCGATTAGACATTAGATTTTTTGTTGAATACAGAAATAAGACAAAAAATTGTAGATTAGTGTGTTTTCGGCTCGTTTTTGTACCGTTTTCGTATAATTGTAGACGCGCGACAAACTTGTCAAGTTAATTTGTACGCGTGTGCACGTTATTCTATTTATTTGAGGGCTAAACTTAACCCAAAGCCATAAAACGCCAAAAAAAAAAAACACTAATCTACAACTACCACACATTACTTTTCACCAAACTGAACATAACTGAGCTCTATGTTATTTTCAGGTCTACCAATGCCCCAAATGCATGCGATTCAAGAGCGAGAGCTATGCTGTGATGGATGACCACCTCGACTACTGTCTCGACTCGAATAACGATCCCTGCAGTCCTGTGTAGAGCTGAGGTGTAAAGGTAGGCCCTGTTAAGAGTCCCACGTAGAATTGGAGCAAATAAATTTTCAATTTCCATGCCAAAATCAAGGTCAAACTCAAAAAGCAATTTATTTGGTGGCGTTTTATTTTAAATTGTTTTAAATTTATTTCGTTTCATTTTTGTCAAGGACAAAAGCAAATTCTCAGGAGTACGTGAAAAATACCTACCTAGATTTATCCTTTGTATGGTTAAATTTGAATGAGTCGTCCTAGCCCGTCTCAAAATGTAGCCGTCCTAATATGTAGTAAAATTCTAAATTCGCCGCTATTAAAAACGTATGATAATCACGTATACGAAGAGCCTTGACGTGGGACCCTTAAGCGAGGTATTCACATAAATTAAAATAAAGTTAACTTGAATACATAGTTTTGTATTAATTTAGAGGAACTTTATCTACTAGGTCGTGTAGATACCCCCTATCTAGGTGTTCCTTGTTATACACGAATTAGTGTAGTTTCCGTCTAAAATATTTTTAGATCTTCTGCTAATAGAAATTAAGGGCAGGTCACAACCCAAAACAATATTAAAAGCGATTGTCAAACTAAGTATAGTAAATACTTTTGTATGTATACTAAAAAAATAAAAAGTTGAAGAAATCACCAGTTCTAAATAGGTGTATGTTACCAATAACTTTTATTCATTAACAAAAAACGTGAAAGTATGGAATGATAGCATTTTAAAAATGTTAAAAAATGCGATGAAATATAGCTCTTATTTACTTAATCTCATGAAAAGTTTTTGTTTAAAATACGTTGTGACCTTAACTCCTGTAAATAGCCAAAGTGACCTCGAAGTAATTCAAACCGACTTGTTTTTTTAACGTGAACTAAAAACCACAATAATGCCTTAAATAGTTAAATGTAAGGTGCTTTGTTAACTGTTTTAGTTCGGTTGTCCTACAATGTTGTTAATTTACCGATAGATTGGGTGCGCTTGGCGGAAAAAAGTGCTCGAAAACGCTTGTGAGAAAAATAGGTAAGCGCTGTCACTGCTAAACAATTAATGAAACACGTCACTATTGAAGTTAGTTACGCCCGTATTCACAAACGATGCTTGCTTAAATGAAAGAAGCAAATCGAACGCACAGCGTTGAATAGAGCTACGTGATTAGTTCGTGTATCACCCTGTGCGTTTACGCGCACCGTGAGACCTCATAGTAATGTTTGTGAATACGGGCGTCACCGTTATAGTCTTTTTCACCTAAGATGATTCGTATGACGTTTCGAGTTTGAAAGATATAGAGATGTCACATAACTAAACCATAGCGATTTATCTATCGATTTTTTTCTAAGAGTTAGTAAAACCTACTTTTAGAGAAATATTTTGTATAGGTGTTATTTAACAAAAACATGTTTTTTTATTACAAATATTATTGTAAGAATTTTTTCAAAAATATTCTGCATTATGCGTAATATGGATAACCTTGAAGTGTCATACGAATCATCTTAGGTGAAAAAGACCATAGTGTCCTAGCCGAAAACTGCCGTAGCGATCGCCATTTCGCTTACAAGCGCTTCCAAGCGTTTTTTTCCCGCCAAACGCACCCAATATTACTTATTCTAAAGGTTTGAGATAAAATGCAACGTTGTATTTAATGTACGAGTATACGTTTTGTTTTGTGTGGACTTGTTAATAAGATTTTTGACAGCGCATACAGATGTCAACATCTGAAGCATATAGATGACCCACGCTGAACTGTCCCGCCAAACTCAATGACAGGGGGGCGCTACCATCGTTCAACTTTATGGTTTCCAACATGGCAAAAATCGGAACCAGCGATTCGGTATTGACGGTGGCGCCCCGCTGTCAATGTCATCGATGGGACAGTTCAGTATTTTGGAACTATAGCTGAATTCTTGCTGACGTTTGACGTCACTCCGCTCCTATATAGTTCCAAAATACTGGACTGTCCTGTCGATGACATTGACAGTGGGGCGCCACTGTCAATACCGGATCGCTGGTTCAGATTTTTGCCATGTTGGAAACCATATAGTTGAACGATGGTAGCGCCCCCCTGTCATTGAGTTTGGCGGGACAGTTCAGCGTGGGTCATCTATAACTCAGTTATCGTAGTATTTTTTTATTTACATGAATAATATATTTTTTTGGTAGCACAATGTTTAATGATCGAACAATTGGCCCATTTATTATATTTTTTCCATAAATAAAGTCTTATTAACAAAAGCCAGCTATGATGTGATATGAAATATGAAACTTGTGTGATCTTTATTTAGAAACTAACTACCTTAAAGTATCTTCCATTAGTTTGATGTAGACAAACCATTTTAGTGTAACGTAGACCATAGGAGAAGTAGTTTTTAAATATTTTTATATTAAAAATCTTAATTGTTAGTACTACACACACCGGCAGATTTAGCGGAACGCAAAAAAAAGTATGAAAATAAGGAAAATTACTACTGATCTATGAAATATTTATTATACAAAATAAAGAGATAATTAAAATAAAATAAAATAACATATATTTTTTAAATATTTAGTCGTTTTTATTTAATAAAAAATCATCGAAACGAAATTTCAATTTTTCAGTTTTGAACAAAAATTAGAAATTGTGGCCAGATTAAAAATTAGGGTAGCTTATCACTATCCAAATGAATGAATTAATGATGGGTATTTCCCCCTCTTGCTCTGATGATGGTTTCCATTCATCTGAGCATGCTGCAGTTAATGATATGAAGGGTATTTTGGGGCAATGTCTGCCATTCCTCTAGTAACGCGTTTCTCAACACCACCGGTGGTATTCTGAGTTTAACACATCTTTTAAGAAAGTCCAAGACATGCTCTATAGGATTCTTGTCTAGGGATCTTGCCAGCCACTGCATCATGGGTATATCCAAATGGTTTAGATGTGCCTGTACTGAGCGAGCACTGTGAAAACGAACATTATCGTGAATTAAACTAAAGGAGTCCACAATAAATGGAGTAAATGGCACATCATGTTCTTCTAAAATGTTCCTAGTGTACCATTCAGAAGTCGTATTTCCTCCATCACCCACCACTAACTCCGTGCGAGCTCCCAAAAAAATCCTTCCCCACACCAGAATTAAGCTACCTCCATAAACCACGATATTTTCAAAATTAAGACTAAATGTTACGTTCTCTTTGTGTCTCCATATTCGCTATCTTCCATCGATCTGGTTTAAGAGAACTCTGCACTCATAAGTGAAGAGATCATGCCTCCAGTCGTTCAAGACCCAATCACGATATTCACGTGAAAAGTTCAATATGTTTTTTCGGTGCTGTGTCACAAGTTGGAGCTTTCTCGGGTATGCACGACCCTATACCAACTTCAGTAAATCTCCTGTGAACTGTGGGCTCAGTCACTCTTACTCCTCGAGTGTCTTTAAGGTTATTTCTGGCTTGAACAGCAGGTAACCGCGACTTTCTGAAAACTCGAAGTTGTAAAAAACGGTCATCCCGTCGCGAAGTACGCCTTTTTCTGACTTGAACCCTCCTCCTAACGACAGAAATGATCAATCTGTACCGTTGGTTACTGCCATGGGTGGTCGATACTGATCAACGACGTCTTACGGCAGCCGATTTGTATGCATGGCCGTTACTTCTCATTTCATCTGCCTTAATGATTTCTGACGGTGCTAAGCTGGGCATAATAAACCCTTATAAGTAACTGAATGCTTACACAACAAAATTCTCAGAAAAAAACATCTTTCACGTAAAAGAAATCCAAATTAGCAAAAGCTTCATTCAATTCAAAACACTCAACGAAACTGTTGATGGGGTAATTTAAACAAAATAATTAAAAAAATATACTGTTGGCAATTATTTTTTTCATATTTAGAATTAAATTAAAAAATATTGTCATAATTAGGCATTTTTTTCCTAAAATAATGATGATATTGATGCTTTTTTTTCCGTTCCTCTAAATCTGCCGGTGTGTGTACATCGCACTATTATTGATTCTGTTCACCATTCTCAAAGGACAAAATATCATAAAATACATTTTAGCTTAAAAGCTGTAGGTTGTCCTTTTCAATTAGAATCTGTTAGAAAGAAAGAAAATGTATGTTTCATTTAGTTTCAAAAATGGTAAAACGGTATCAGTTGTTATTTTAATTCACTTTAATTTAATTTGTTAATCATTATCATCATAGGTAATTGAAAATCATACATTTCTACTATCAACTCAATAAATTATCGAATCAAAAATTGCAAAAATTCTGGTTTTCGCGAGGCTATTCTTTACGACATATTTTTTGGATACATCCATCCCTTTCTCTCAAAGCAAGATGCTGATATGAGTGACTGCGATAGATAGTACCGATAAAGATAGAAAATACGAAAATGGCTTTAAAAAGTCGCCCGTATTACCTTATTTTTGAATTAAAGATGATAAAATCAATGCTTAGTGGTAAAGTTATAACGATAGTTTATAGTGCCATTCATTTTTATTATTAACATTTATTATTACATATTTTTAACAATATATTATATTATTAATTTAATTTGAATGTTAAGAATTTTGTATGTGACTGATGATGTTATTTCAATTATTTTTATTCTTGACTTTCTTTTAGAAATTGCCAAAACTATTTTAGACCCTATGACCATACAAAAACTGTCCCGTATTGTAGACTCATTTATTTTTTGCAATTAGGCTGTTAAAAAGCACTTTTACACGTCCCAGTATTAACCCTACCACTGCTTCGGGACAATAAATGGGCCAGTGCTGAGAAGAAGCAGCGCAAGAAACTTAAATATATTTTCACAATCGCATAGAGATGCTTTGTTGAAAGATGAGTTGAAAAAATAGGTACATACATTATTGTATAATTTCCAGGCTTTATTTAATTTAAGCCTAATTTAATAAGTTTTGGCATCTTCTAAAAAGTTAAAACCTATAATTTGAACTTACTTCAAATATTATTTAAACTTTATATGGTCCTGTGTGGATGTTTCAAGACTGTTTAGATGCGTATAAATTAAACCAAACGAAATTAATTCTATAACAAATTGATTTATGCAAAGAATGCAAAATTGTATTATTATTTTTATTTTTATGGTTGTTTGTTTCACAGAACAATTACCATAATAATTGCGTAAAATCTTCCAAAGATTCCACAAAACTCTATGATCTTTAAAAGGATTGAGTTTTTTTAAATTTTGTTGTTTTAATGTTTATAGCGAAAGATATTTTTCTATGATTCCGAAAGAATTAATGCATTTATGAAGGTGATAAGAGACCTATGCATTTATTTTTAATATATAAAATTTATCTTTATGCTCAATTTAGATGTAGGGCAAGACGTAAAGCCGTGTATCCACTTGAGCATGCTCAGGCGAATGAGCGGCTTATTTGGCCGAGCCACTCGAGTCGAGACGCCTGACACTTAGGCATCAGCCTCGAATTTAGCGGGCAGCGGGCGGCGGCGGTAGCGGCGCGGGAGCGGCAGGATCTTATGCGTAAAATCAAATAGACCAGTTCTCGAAAACAGCGGCGCGGCAGCGGGGCGGCAGCGGGCAACGAGCGGGCAGCGCACTCCTTTTGCCCATAATAAATCAGGCGTTAGGAATAAATTTGAATCGAAATAAAATTGTCGCCGTTGTTCAGACATTTCGTTTGCGAATAAAAACAAATATCTCGACAACACAACCCCGAAGCCGAACACAACACTTCGCCGCTAAAGTGCCGCGCGAGCTGCCCGCTTGTTTGGAGAACGGGTCTGCGTTGCCCGCCCCGCTAAATTCGAGGCTGAGGCCTTAGGTTCAGGCTTGGTTCTCATTCGCCAGAGCATGCTCAAGTGAATACAATGCTTTACGAATTGATTCCACTAAATGGCAAAGCCCTAAAATAAATTACTTGTACCTTTATGATTAAATTATAATGGGTAGTTGTACTGTGAAATTAAAATTAAATGCGTGTTTATTTTGTTATTTTACCAAATCGTAATTATTTATGTGCGAATGACCTCTAAAAGTATGTTGAATTTGTTGCACGCACAACATCTTCGCCATTGTATGTATCATCACTGTCATACTGTGCTCTGAAATATACATTAAGCAATCAATATTCTTTGTTTTATATTATAATGTAAATTCGTATTTGTAAATCCTATTTGTATTCTAACGCCCGTATTCACAAACATTACTATGAGGTCTCACAGTGCGCGTGTACGCACAGGGTCCCAAAAACCTATTCATAGACAATACTAGAGTGGCGGAGTGACACATAATCAATCACAGAGCTCTATTTAACGCCGGTCGACTTCGCTTAGCGTTGCTGCTTCACTTAAGCAAGCATCGTTTGTGAATAAGGGTGTAAGTCCCCTAAGGTAGAGTTGAACAACACTGAAGTGTCCCGGATATGACATTGACAGATGGCGCTACTATCAATGCTGTGTCATTGACGTTCTAGAATCGTTGCACTAAAGTACGAAAGTTGCTAAAGCCCGGTCCGTGAGCACGTAGAATTTTGTCCAATGACCCCTAGCTACCCATCCTTATCGCTCGCGCGTAATTATATTGCTGTTGCGACTGTGCGACTGGCACCCGCAGTGAGTGTGCGAGCGCGATAGCAACATAATTACGCGCGAGCGATAAGGATGGGAAGCTTGGGGTCATTGGTCAAAATTGTACGTGCTCACGGACCAGAATATAGTATGATCGTGTTGTGGAAAAAATAAAAATACAATAGACTTTCAAAATGAAATATATTTTACGGAACCCGTAGCGTTTCTTAGCTGTTTTTATAAAATTTATACAAATTGATTAATAATTTTGCTAATTGATTTTTTTACAATATTTTTCGAAATGTTCTTAGTATAAATATTTTTCGATAAACATCTTTTATTAATTACCTAATTTTAACCTAGTGTCTCGGGACTTTATTGGCACCATTTTTCTATAAAATACGTGTTATTTAACAGACTTGTAAGTGTTGTATTAGGATGTTTGTTACAATGTTTCGAAAGAGGAAAGTAATATCAAAAAGTGTTAAAAGAAACGCTAATATCACTAAAACAGATGAGATTCAAACAGAGAAGACATTCAGTTGAACTAAACAATGTTATAAGTATAAACCGCAACTTATATGTACATAAATCAGAAATCAGTGAGTAGTTAAAAAATATCTTAGACTATATCCACTGGTACCCTCGATCGATGCTCAATAGAAACTGCTAAAAATAAATAAAACGTTCGTAGTAACAAATAATAAATAGGTCGGAAGTATATAAAAATAAATCTCTATTAAATACTTAAAACTAATTAATTAAAACTCGCACTATACAACTGAATCCTGGTTAAAGCGAAAAATAGCTCACGACCGCTTGCACGGGTTTGAAATAAGTATTTATTAAAAAGTCGATTGTACAATGAATAAGCTGAATAAAACTATAAGCTATTACTAAAATTATCAAACGTGAATACTTCTTTCTGAATAATTACTTCGGTTTCTTTGCGAGATTTAAGTAGTATTTGTTGACCTTCAAATGTATGCTGCCATTTCTTACTATTTGTACTGTACACAAACAAATTATTATTCTCAATCTCTCATTTTGAATACACAACTGATGAATAATATTTTGATTTAACTTACATAATTTTATTTTCTTAAAAATAAGTAGTTTGAATTAAGTAGAACTATCTATTAGTTTTAATACTGCGAAAATGTGATGTTATGACAAAATTCTGTAGAATTTAGTGCAAGACGGTCGTGTTTCATAAAACAATGTAAAATGAATTAAAAAGTCCAAATTAAACTATAATATTACTCTAACATAGGCGTATGTATGATATAAACTAAACAGTCGGAAAATGAATAAATGTATAAGCCACTTGTGTGATTATAAGAATACCATTATTTTAACCTTATTTAGATATTTATACATAATACTCGATAATACAAACGAAATGTTGTCAGATAATTTCAATAAAAAAGCGTTTTAAATACTGTGATTGGAATGCGTTACCATTAAATTAAATATTTCAATCTCAGTCGGAGATAGCGAGACAGTTTGAACGAAAGGCGACCGGCGACCTCTGCCTCTGATGGGGAAACTAACCTAGGAGGTGATCTAATATAAACAATCAATGTACTTTACACTCCCACAGCTATCAAGCATTAACACTTAATAACATTAACACTATAGATGTCCTTAATACACATTATCTAAATTATGATAACATTACAATTAGTTGCAAACATAATAATATGTCGCGTTATAGACTAGAATACGTTGAGGATAGCAAGCAAACGTCAATTGGAGGAACTTGACTTTTGTATGCTTTTGATGGCAAAGCGGTGGAGTTCGGCCTTAGTTTGTACGTTGTCTGTGGTGGCGGGCCAAGATGGCGGCCCGTCAAAAGTTGGCGCGAAGTGGTGGGCGGCTGGTGGCGTTAGCGTTTCCCGACGTAGTCGATCATTTGATCTATCTGTTCCTCCTCGTCGTAGAGGTACAAAGACTCCATGCAGCCCTTGAAGTAGGGCGTTGTGAAGCATTTTTCCCTGTAAAGGTTAAATTTTGAAATTAGATCTTTGTCTATGGATCAGTCAAAAGTCGGCTGTCGTAGAGTTCGAAACAAATAGAGCAAAGTAACGTGCTGTCTTTATAATACAATTATCTTGTTATTGTATACTTTGTAACTATGTGAACAGATAAATAAAATCATGTGAAATCTCATAATTTACTTAAGAAGTCATATTACGCAGCACGTGTTCAAATATTTATTGTTGCTAGTTTATCATTTACTGTTTTATAACAATAGAATTAGACACAGCAGGGACAGTTAGGTGGAATTCCCTGTTATAATTTTATCAGGCCTATTCTTATAGGAAAGCAGACGTGGAATTGTTTAAAGCAATCGTAATCATTTGACAGTTCATAACGTACGATAAAGTCAGTTAAACAAAGCGTTTGGCAGAATAATCGTACGTTATGAACTGTGAAATGATTACGATTGCTTTACACAATTCCACCTCAGATTTGAATTGTGCTCTGTGTCTAATTCTATACTGGATTTCAAAATACTGTAGGTATCATAAAATAAATCATGCTATTATTTTTAAATGTTAGTTAAATTCAATAAGAACTACGCTGTTAGTAACTACAAGTAAATTATTATCGTGCATCTTAAAAATAAAGAAATACTTAGGCCCGTATTCTGAAACGAATCTCAACTGAATCCAAACTCAACTCTGAACAAATGTCTGTGATTATTTGACATTTGATAAATTAAACTAATCGGAGGCTTGAGTCTAGGAACAGTTGAGTGTTAATTCATACTTGAGTCACGTTTCATAATAGAGATCACACACATAGGTGTGATAAGAAATTAAAGATTTGCAAAGATAAAAAAGTTAAGGAAGAAAGATGAAGAAATATGCCCCAGTTGTATTGTAACGGTAATACTGAACGTACCTACTTATGATATTACATTATGTTGATTTTACTGTAAATTATCTTATAGATAGGGTAAATAATGCAATGACAATATGAAACATGATGTCTCATTCTAAGGAATCTACTGGCATTTAAGTAAATATAAAATACAAGAAAATATCGTTCAGGTATTTGAGCAAATTCACGTTCTAAGAGCTGCAGGTGTTAATAAAAGCCAAAATTGTATTTCTACGTCGCATGCTGAAAGTAGAAAGAAGAAAAATTCGACCTTCTACAAAATAAATAAAAAGAAAAAGCTCCAAATACTAAATCTGGATGGAAACAATTTTTTTTTATCTAGTTTGTTGACGGTGCATTGCTAGAGTGTTAGTCAAAAATTGCTGGCCAAGTGCTGCGTGCTGTCATTCACCCCAAAAGAAGAAAAAGAAGTCCAGATTGTCTTTGAAGAGCAGACCAAAGACAAGTTTTAGTAAGGAAGCTTTAGATATCCCATAGAGAAGGATGCATAGCTTGCATTAGATACAGTAGGTGCTTAAAAATCCTCTTTGGTACCTAAATCCCTGGATCGGCCCCGTGTAACTGTTTTATATAGGTCTTGAAGAGCTCGAGCTGGTCGTTCTCTTGGAGCACCTCGACGCATCCCTTGAAGTAATCTGTCGTGAAACAGTCTTGCCTGCCCCAACAAGCAATTGTGTCATTATTTTGGTAAAAGGTATGTAAAGTATCCTAATATTGTTGTTTTGTAATAAATAAAATAAATAGGCAAAACTTATTGCCTGTCAATCTTTTGTTATTAATTCATAATTCTTACTGGCTGGTTGATTTGAAACAAAAAAAAACAACAACATTAATTATCTGTGGCACAAAGCGCGCCAAAGTTTGACGTTACAACTTTTTAAAACACACACCTGCACAGAGTATAAAGCTGCGGTTCCCTAAAGAGGTTGTAGCAGTCGTCGCAGATCCTGTCCAGGCGGGCAAAGATGGCCGCGTCGTAGACTCCTTTGCATTGGAGGTTGAAGAAGGAGCGGCGGGCTACGTGGTGGGGCGTAGCCGCCTGTGGCGCGGCCGCCGCTCCCAGAGCCAGCGTCACCAGAGCCGCGCACACCACTTGCACTGAGCTTAGATGCATCTGAAAACAAGGAAAAGTCTGGCTCAAATATTGCATAAGCTACAAAATGACAGTCCAAGGGCAGTGCCGGATTAGCCCATAAGCAAATTATGCAACTGCTTAGGGCAACACACCACAAGGGCACCAAAAATGTTAGCTGGCACATAAAAATATTATCCGCGAAGACCCGTTAAAGTCGTAAGTATTTTTTTTTTCAAAAGATCGATACTAGCTTCGTGCACACAGTGGATTGTGGATGCACAGTGGAGTGTGCACTTGTAGATTGCTTAGGGCATCAAGTAGTCTTAAACCAGCACTGTCCATGGGTGTTGGGGTCTGATGGCCCGATGTTTTACCAGAATACAGTCAAGTATTATTGTCGTCAGAAACTCAAGAAAAATAAAGATAAAAAACTTGAATTTAAATCATTAACTACTTAGATATTAATTTGATAAATGCGATGGTTATTGGTTATGCAGCAGGATATCCTTGTAAGGATTTTTGTTGCTTAAAAGCGGCTTTATAAAAAAAAGATCGATGAATGTCGTTCAAAAATAGAAGATCATAATAAAATAAAACGCAATGGCTTGGACCAACTGAATGTCAGGAGGCATGAGGAAATCATCATGCATTGCACAGCATGAGATAATTGACTTCTCGAACAATTCACATAGGTACATAAAGGTTGCAGGAACACTTGAAATGTAGGCCACTATCAAGTATCAACCGTTCCTACCATTCAGTACTCAATAAATGAAAACCGGTCCATAAGTTTGATGCAATTGCAATATACAATAATCTAGTTATTTTACGGCGTTCGCATATAAAAGCCCGACGACTGGTTTGTTGAAACCGTATAACTTTGTCAATTTCCAACTTAACTACGAGTAAATGAAATATTACATTTAACGATCCCCGTTTACGTTTCACTTAGCAAGTTATGTTCGAGAATTGTCCACCGCACAGTGGGTCGGAACATTCAGCTGTCATTCAAAAAATATCTTGTTAAAATATAAAAATGTAAACCGGCAATTATTAAGTATTTCAACCAATTGAAACCATAAAAAACGTACAGGAAAACTTATCGTAGAGCGGTAGAGTTGGTTAACAAGTATTTAGGTGTCATTTAGGTCGGTGGGTTATTACCTTTTACCTACATAAGTAAATGTAATCTAACTTAAATTCAACTTTTCAAGGCTACAAGTGGTTTTATTGCTTGTAGGTACATAGGTTTACGAATTAAAGCTTTGGAGACATGGTTCAATTTGTTTTGGGGTGTAGAAAAATAACACATCATGATGTGTTGTTTATAAAACAAGCGTTTTGTATTGATTGCATCAAAATCTTGTGGCACTAATGCGTCGGATAAATGGGATGAACTAAGCATTAACTTTTAATTTTATTTAATCATGCCAGGTTTCGAGGCCAGCTGCCAGTGTGCGGGCAATATCAATGCACCGCCGATCGGTGCCATTTAGTCTGATGCACTCGACCATCCACAGCAGACCCCCCAATCGTGGCACAAACTATCCAGAACTGGAGAAAGGGAGGTCTAACAAACTGGTCATGGGTCTATAAGCCTTCTCAGTTTTTGTAGACTTAATAAAATCGGCATGTTTATGAATGTGCGGCTCGACGCAAATGGTTTGTCGAAATGTTACTGATAATTCGATGTCGGGTTGTTTGTATGAGGCTTGTCGGCTTCATTATCGGTGTCCTATCGGGGAAGTGGTTCACAGTGTTGTTTACGACGTACTTAGTCGATGTAGCCCGCGAGAAACTTTTGTGATCTCCTCAAAGAGATTTGATAGTCGGACTGAAAAGCGACTAAAAGTAACTGATTCCATGTGATTTGAAGATTGAATTCTGGAATTTCTGGAACTTTGTTTCTTTGGGGTCTAAACATGTTCAGGTGCAAATAACATGGCTATTATTCGGCTAAAATTACATTTATGTTTTAATTGACGTGGAAGCTATATTTCATCATACATCATGCAAATCGGAACTGAATCTCCACAACTAACATCATTGAAAGAAAGAAAAAAAAAACATTGAACCTGATCCATCGAGGTCTGGAAAACGAGCCCGCGTTGTTTCAAGCTGGGTGGCTGCCGTTCAGTCTAGTGCGCCAGCGCATACTAACTACTTAAGTATGTGCCTTGCGCGCGAGTGCACAAACTGCAAGACACGCACGTAGTGCGTTCACTCGTTAAACGTTGACATCTGCTTCTTTTAGCATTTTATGTCCTTAAAATCCAGAAAATTATTGTGGTTATTGCCAGATTTAGTGACATCGATTGACTGTTTGGACTTATCGTCAGGTCATTTTCGCCCGTATTCACAAACGATGCTTGCTTAAGTGAAGCAGCAAATCGAACGCACGGCGGTGAATAGAGCTCTCTGATTGGTTCGTGTTTCACCCTGTGCGTCCACGCGCACTGTAAGACCTCATAGTAATGTTTGTGAATACGGGCGTTAGTATCTACTGGCAACTTGACCTGGCAAGGAAGATCCTAAATCAGAGGTAATTAATGGAGTATTGTCCTACGGCCATGTTCTCGTTTAGATAACTGCTTTTGGACAAAGATTACAGAAATATAAATTGACAGCAGTTAAATTTTGCAGATGTAATAGCTTCGCGATTCGTGATGCTCTATTTTTAACACGCTTGTAACAACATGCATATAAGTACCTACTAGCGTACTTATAACCTTAGTATGCGTGAAGTCTTATGTTTAATTGATGAAGTCAACTTTACTGGAACGCGCTTTCTTGGAGACGTCGAATGTTTCCAGCATTGCGAAAGGGGAGCGTAATAACTTCATTAAAAGACAACTGATGAGTCTGGGACTCGTTCAAAGAGTGGTTTTTCATCGGGAAGCTTGTCATTGTTTATCCCTTTCATTTATCTACCGCTGCGTTTAAGAGCAGTTAAGTTAGTAAGACCAGATTACATTTTAATACGCGTAATTGCGGGCTAACCTAAAAGTGGAGGTGGTCGAGTCATAGGCGCACTATATTTACACTTTACGGCCCTCCACTTAAGTTAATCGTCGTCCACTCACTTTACACTCATGGAGGGATAAGGGCAGGCGCAGACTGGCGGTGAAACGGAGTAACATTGCGTCTTGCACGCATTGCAAATGAGGTTTCATCTAGGTTGGCTAGCTCTACCATCAAAAGTTTCTGCACCCTTCGGTTGAAGGTTCAAGGATCAACCTAATCAATGTAAATAGAACTTTTATTTTCGACAGTACTTGGACTTGAAAAGATGCTTGTCGAAATTTTGAAATAAGGTTGTGAGTTTTATAAACTGAAGTGAGAGTGAGAGTCAAAGCCGAAGACTCGATAACAGCAAAAAATACTTGTTCAGCCGCTTGCCTCTCGTACCGGGCGCCATTTTTCAATCAGCCAGTGTGGAGCCGCCCTTAATCCGGTCAAGCAACGTCGTTTTGTCGTTAAGCACCTGGCGGCTTCCCGCGGCCGCTGCGTTCGCGCTGCGTAATCGTTGCGACATCGTTCGATTGGGCTAAGGATACGTGATGTAGAGATACAGCATGAGCTATGAAGCCTGATTGCAAGTTTCTACAAGCTTTGAGTCTTCCAGTGACTTGGCCCACTTCTAGCTTGGTCCACGGGCCAAGTCGCTAGTGTGAATTTTTATTTTAAATAGTTTTCCTTCCAGTGACTGGGCCCACCTTCAATGTTTTATTAATAAATTAAACACCAAATCAACAGAAATCTACTCTAGAATCTTAGAGGTGGGCCAGAGTCACTGGAAGAAAAACTATTTAAAAATTCAAATCAGAGACTTGGCCCGTGGCCCAAGCATAAAGTGGGCCAAGTCTCTGGAAGACTCCTAGCTTTGTGCTCGCCGCCGATACTGGTTCCAGTAATAACACTTTTTTGTGGATGTAGTTGTTAAGTGATGCGTAGGGATTATTCTAGGCTCTAAGAATAATCTCAGTCATTCCATAATAGCTGGGATTACTTCAAACGTGGCGCAGTTTATTACATCACCTTATGATCTTGCAGGTAGCTTAGGGTTTCTTATTCATATTTAGCTTCTTAAAATACTAACTAACTTCTAAATAAAACACTATTAGTTAACCGAATGTTTACATAGTAAGTATCTTTCTTTCACAGCAACGTTTTTGATAAAGCAGTAGTTTTCTTCTTTCGCTTGTTTTTTTTATTGCTCTCTTAAAAATTAGTGTTATTTAACTTAGAAAAATTTCGTAGGTAAATAAATATTGCTCTTAAATGAAATCCGAATAATAATGATTATCCGGGGTTTATTACCTTATGTGGCAATTTTATATCCTGTACACGACTAAAATCCTATTAAAAAGCAAAAGCGTTGATTTAGTCTCTGTCTACACTAAATTTATGGTGATTTCCTGTTGCAAAATGGTCGGTAACTGTAAAACGTATTTGTATTCGTCGTGAGAACCTGCAAACGTTAATTTACATGTTAGAATTGTACAAGTCCTTTTCAGTAAAAGGTACGGTAAATTGACAGTAAGTTGGGTCAAACGTACTAATTTAATGTCGAATTGACTACTAAGTTTACTTTTGTAGAGCAAATTTGGTGGGCGACTTACCTACTGAAGTTGCTTACTGTCTCACTTTTATAATAAAGAGAGTAAGATCATACTGTCTGTGTACTACTGATTTGTACCCGAATTTATCTTAAAAAAAACACAAAATGAAGTACCTATGTACCTAAAGAAAACTGAGTAAGTTTAATCTCTGTTTGATCCTTTCAAAGGCTTATTAGAAGAAGAAAAATTTTTCATTGGTTTTGGATCTTAGGATAAGGTAAGGTGGCACTTTATTTCCACTGCCTTATTTGGATAAAATTTTTCGCACACTTAGATTTGCAAAATTGCCAGTTTTTATTTTCGCGACTATAGTATAAAGTAGATAAAAGCTAGCCCACTCCCTGATTAAGTGTAAAATTTTTCGCATCTGATATTTGCAAAATTGACAGTTTGTATTTGCGCGAACTAAAGTACAAA